TAAAAAAAAGGACGTTACGTTTAAAGGGTCTACAACCTAGACCTACATTGATAAATATCAGCACGAGTTCAACAATCATTAATCTCTCCGTCTTAACTTTGAAAACTTCTGGTGTAGCTTGAAATAACTTAGGTCAGGTGAAAGTACCTGAGTATAAAAAAAATATATTCATTTTACTTATTGATTCTTATTTATAAACAAGTTCTTTTTTTTGCAAAATAAAATTAATCTTTCGAGCCTCTTGAGTCAAGAAAAAAAATTCTCTTCTTCATCCAGAGAAAATTTTTATTCAATGCAAATATAATTTATTTGAGTTCAATAAAATAGTAGATATTATTGTCTTAAAGTCTACTAAATTATTTATTTGTTTAAAATAAAAAAATTGTTTGAAACAAGTAGGATAATTTTTGTTGCAGATAAAATTTTTATTTTAAAGAAATAAAATTTATTTAAACCAAATAATATTCATTCGAACCAAATAAAATTTATCTGAACCAATTACGATTTATATAAACCAAATAAAATTGATTTATTTTTCTTTTCTTTCTCTTTTTTCTTTTCCTTTCCGTTTTCTTCTCTTCTTCTTCTTTTCTTTTTCTTCTTTTCTTCCCCTCTTTTTTGTAACTTAACCATGACTTTAAAAATTTAGGAAAATCTAATTTTCCATCCTTTTTCATTGAACAGTAATAAATAAAAACAAAGAAACAATATATGATCATTAATTCCAAAAGGTCAGGAATGACTTTTCGTCCGACCCGTAAAAATAATAGTCTCGGGAATCGCGCCAGTGTGCATAGACTAACGATAAATATAGACCAAGCTTCGTGTAATACGAACTCTCGATGGAAGTGAGAGAGCAAATCCAAATGTTATCTATTATTTAACAAAAGTGTATTTTTAAAATAATACAAAATAATAATAATATTTGTAATAAACATTAAGAAAAATCATATAAAATTTCTATAAACACCGTTTTTCTCTCGAATATTTAAATGAAATGAAAAATAGACACAAACCAATAAAATGTTATAAAATTAAAAAATAAAAATTATGAACAATAGAAAAATTATATAATAATATATAATAATATATTTTATTATATTATAAAAAAATTTGTTTTAAAGAAAAATTTTATTCGACATAAATAAAACATATATTTTGAGACAAATAAAATTTATTTGAAACAAATAAAAAGTCTAGTTAGTTCTGACTTTAATATATCTTTTCTCTGGGTGTAATTATTATTAATATTAATTATTATTATTATAAATTATTTTGTTATTTTATTTATTGCCACAATTGTGTAAATTAAAGTCAACGTCAATTAAAGAATAATAATAGTAATAATAATATAATAAACTATTTTTATTATTAATTTAATGAACAAAAAATAAATTAATAATATTCTGTATTATTAATTTGAATATGACAACTTATTTGTAACAAAAAATAAAAAAAGAGAGTAATTATAGTTTTGTATAATAAATTTATGATCACATGTAAAAAAGCATTGAGAAAGGAGTAATAAATTTAGCTTACGGATCAATCAAATTTTCTGCCAAAATAAACTTTATACTAGGATTAAAAAATCTATCTTTTGCTTTTTTTTAATAATTTTAAAATATTAAAATTTTTCTCCTGATTTCAATTTTTTTAAACATTAAAAATAAATTGTTTTTTAACAACACAGAGATAGAGAAAAATAAAATGAAGTCTTTTAAAAAATAAGTAAACGAAAATGATAAAAATAGAATAAAATAGAAATTCTTAGTCACGCTCTAATGCAAATATATAAATTGATAATTTGTTTAAAAAACAAAAGGAATTTTAAACGATAAAATGTTTTTAAAAAAATTACTATTTAACAATTTTGTTTTTACGTATTTTTCCTTGATAATCAATTTTAACAACAAATTTTTCATTTAAATAAAGCAATTTAAAATTATATGAAAAGGAAAAAATTAATTAATTATTATTACTATAATAATAAATAACAAGAGAAGTAAATAATAATAAATAAACTATCGCGAACCTTCAAAGTTAAATTTAAATAAATAATTTAATTGAATTTTAATCAATTTAATATTCTTTGGAATTTTTTAAGTTGTGCCCAATAAAAAAAATTTATAATTTTTATTTCAAAAAATATATATTTAAATATTTACAACCAGGAATTTTTAATTCTATTTTTAGAGTGTCAAATTTTAATTGTATTTTTAGTATTTCGTAAAATTTATTTCTTTAATTAATTATTTACTTGTAGAATACAATCATGTTAATTATAATTACAAATTAAATTATATAAAAAAATAAATATAGTAAAAATGCTACATTTTTTATGAAAAAGTTTCCTACAAAAAAAAAATTATTTTTTATTCATTTAATTAATATTCCTATTTATTTTAAAATAAGATTAAGCTTCATTCTGGTTTTTCCAGTGTAACCAAATAAATAAATATAAAAAATATGATTATAATTAATTGCATAATTAAAAATTAAATCCATAAAGTAATTCGGAAAAAAATTCTATTTTCTAATTGTTTTTTTGAAATTCACCTTTTTTTTAATTTTAAATTTTCTAAATGAAAAAAAATTCTAATTTTACGTTGGCAAATTTTTTTTTTTCAATAGAAAAATTTCCTTTTGAAGAGAAATATAAAGCACCAGAGATTGCAGAGGAATTTTCACATCCTCTGCAATCTCTTTCTCACCAGGTGCCTGATTGACTTTGATCAATTAGGTGCACTTTTTTTTATTATTATTATTTCTTTTCAAAAAGAAAATCTTAATTTATAATCTTGGTTAAAAAAAAGAAGGAAAGAAAGAAAGAAAGTGTGAAGAAGCTCGTTAGTGTGACATTGTAGTAAATAACAGCTGTGCGCAGTAATAAATAAAAAAATAAAATAAAAAAAAAGAAATAGATACGACAATGATAATTTTGGTCAGGTAAAATAAACTATCGCGAACCTTCAAAGTTAAATATATTTTAAGTGCATAACTTAAGCCTCCGAATTGGTCGATTACAAGGAGCCTAGACATTGCAAAATTCTCACGAGGGTAACGGACGCGTCACATGATTATCTCTGACCACTTTTCTGAATATATATATACATTAAAACTGGTCCAGATGCAGAAATCTTATTCTAAAAATGGACATATTGGAAAGTTTCTAACTTTGTCAGTTCACTTTTTTTTAGATTTTTATTTTTAGTTTTTTAGTTGGCAAATTTTATTTTTTTGACATTTTTTATTTTTTTTTATGTATTTCATTATTTAATTAAATAAAATAATATTAATAATGCCAGCAATATTATTTAACAATAAATTTTATTTCATTTTTTTCCAATTATATTTTATTTATTCATTTTATTGTTCAATTTAATATAAAATAATATTAATAATGCCAGTAATATATTATTTAAATTATTTATTTTGTTTTTGTAAATTTTGATACAACATGCGAAACTCCTATTTTATTTTCGATTTGCAATAAGACAAGTGAATAAATAAATAAACAGATAAAAAAAATACAAAAAACCAAAAAAATTAATAATGTAAACAATTTTCCTAAATAAATAAAATAATAATGAAAATTATAAGAAATTTGTAATTATTTACGAGAATAATGTTAATAATAAATTAATAATATTGAATAATATCAATAAGAATATTAAATAATGTTAATAAGAATATTGAAGAATATTAATAAATAATATTAATGTTTATTAACATAATTTACAAATTAGAAAAAGAAAGTAAATAAAATGAATATTTAAATTAAAATAATTTTTTATATACCTAAAAATATTCGATTCGAAAATATTGAGATCACGAAGTTTATTGACCGATATATGCGAGTTACGCAATTCTGTAAAATATTACCCCATCAAAGTACATTTTTATTAAAAAAATATAAACAAATAGGTACTCTTAAAAATAAATTTCTTTAACTTAACTTTCCATTAATAAGTATTTAAATTTTCCGATGGAAATTGAATTTATTGATTTAATTTATGTTTATTTCTTAAGTTTAAATAAACTATATTTATTCTTTTAATTTTTATTATTTATTATTTTTTTTACCACTAAAAATTTTTTTGTAAGGCCATTTAATACTAACTTAATAAATAAACTTAACAAATTTTTATTTTTTAATTTAATTTTAATTGTAATTTAATTAACTTTTGGCTATTATTTAAAATTAATAATTGTGTTGATAAATTTCAGATAATTTTTTTTTTTTTGAAAATTCTACATTTATCAATTTTGAAAATAGTTCAATATGGATTACCACGTGAATAAATAAACAAATTCAAAAGCGTTTGAATGATTTTTGATAAATATTTGCAAACTTGAGTGTAAGTGAATTTTGCATTTCCGGTATAAGCATAAGCGCACTTGAAATTTTGTGTTGATTGCTAAAAAATGTGTTAATAATTTTTTTCAACAGTTCTATATATCAAAACGCTTTTTAGTGAAACGATAAAATTTAATAAATTTTACATAATTAAAGAATTGGAGAAAAATTTTATTTATAACAAAATTACATTGGAAATTTTTTATTTTTATTGTAAATCAATATTTTCCAAGCTAATCAAGTAACTAAAAAAGTAACTAAAAAAAGTATAAATAAAAGAGTAACTAAAAATTGTAACTAAAAAGAAACTAAAAGAATTAATTAAAAAATTAACTAAAAAAAGTAATCAGAGAGTAATTAAAAAAGTAATTAAAAAGAAAAAACGAAAAAAAATAATTAAAGAAAGTAACTAAAACTAATAACTAAAAATAGCAACTAAAATCTAAAAAGCAACTAAAAAAACTAAAAGACAACTAAAGAAGCAACTAAAATAAGTAACTAAAATATGTACTTAAACAAGTAACCAAAAAAATATCTTAAAAAAGTAATTAAAAAAAGTAACTAAGAACAAAATAATTAAGAAAAGTAACGAAAAAAATAACTAAAACTAATAACTAAAAACGGTTACGGAAATTGGTTTCGAGAAAATGACTGATGGAAACGACTAAAAATAGCAATTAAAATAAGTAACTAAAAAGGTTACCAAAAAAGCTTAAACAAAAAAAATAACTTAAAAAAGTAATTAAAAAAAGTAACCATGAAGAAAATAATTAATGAAAGTAACGAAAAACGTAAACTAAAACTAATAACTAAAAATAGCAACTAAAATAGCAACTGAGACAACTAGAAAAGCAACTAAAGTGAGTAACTCAAAAAATTTATTTACTAAAATTATTATTTATGTAAATTAAAACTAAATTATATTTAATACTAAAAAAGTAAAATAACTAAAATATTAAACTAATTAGTAAACTAACGTACTAAAAACTTCAAATAACTAACTATAATAACTAAAATAACTAAATCAACTAAAATGGCTAAAATAGCAAAAATAACTAAAAATAGCTAAAATAGTTACTAAAATAAATAATAAAATATTTAATTTAATAAAATTAGCAATTATTATTTATTTATTTAAAATTAATTTAAATTCAATACCAAAAAAATACTTTGAATACAATTATTACCTATTAAAAATAAACTTTGAAATTATTATTTTCTTTTTTTAATATTACCACCTAAAATATAATTACACCGAAAATGATTCATATTTCTATTATTATAATGATAATTTAAAAAATGAATGAGTTATTAAAAGATTGAACTAAAAACATTTTCCTTGATCCGATTGAAATTGACTTAATATTTATTATGTAATAATTTTAATGAACAGTCCTCTGGTATAACCATGAATGACTTTTATATACATATATATATGTCAGTTCTGATTTTTTTTTCTTTTTTTTTCTTTCGCAAAAGAGAGTACATTAATCTAGTTCTATTCGGTGCGAGTATATATACTATATGAAGGTCCTTCTGGCACTAAACAAAAATGGAAATTTATTATACTTGTTAAAAAAATCAATACAATCGATAATTATATACACACGACACCATTTCACGAGGTTTTTATTCAAATTAAACAATAATACAAATTTTTGCAGAAATTTCTGTATTTTTCGTTGAGTTTTTCCATTTAGGAATTAAATATGTAATTCAGAAAATTGTTTCTCTTTGTGATTGTTTAATCTTCATGCAGATTATGATATCGCAGTCAATCCTATTATTACATAAATTACTTCGCTTCTCTCTAATTGGCATTCACTTTAATTCGATTAATGGGGCAATAAATAAAATACCAAAACAATTATATTGATAATTATTGATATAATAATTAATATGAATATTTCTTTTTTATATATTTTTTTCATTCATTTTTATTATGTTTACTAGTTAAGGGCATTTGAACCATGATGACGTCACAGCCTTAAAACACATGCTTTGCAGAACCTATGACGTCATAATGGTTCAAATGCCATTAATAAATATTAAAAAATGACATTATTTAAATAAAATTATTTATTATTAATTAATTATTAATAATTAGTATTATTACTCTCTAAATGTGAATTAGTTAAAAATTACTAACAAATAACTAAATAATAAAATATATAAACTAAATAACTAACTATTATAATTAAAATAATAAATTAAAAAAAAATAAATAAATTTACCAAAAAAAAGCAGTTATTATTTATTATTATATGTATTTTTTAATATTAAGTTATTTTACTAAATTTAAATTGCTGAATAAATAAACAAAAATAAATAAATATTGTTCAATTAAATACATAAATAAATAAAAGAATTTTCTAAAGTTACTAAAGAAATTTTTCGATTTAGTTGTAATTATTATAAAAATTAGTTTTAAATAATTTTTATTTATATCAGTGAAGATAATAATTTAGGTCAAAAAAATATAAATTGCACTGTAATTTTTTCCAAAAAATATATGTTTCAAAAATTTAATTAAATATTAAATTAAATATTGATTAATGGAAATAAAATAAAGTAAATAAGTACCAGACATTTAGGTTAAATTATAAATTATAAGCATGAATATATTATATGTACAAATATTAAAAATACTTATTTAAAGATTACAAAATTTCATTGAACTCATTTTAGTGGTGATAAGAAAAAAAAAATTTGTTTCAACTTTTATTTTTTATATTACAATATTATTATTTGCAATAGAACAGAAAAATAAAAAAAAAAATAATTTTATTGTCAGCTTGTTTATTTTTTAAATTGATAAATAAATACATTAAAAAATAAGGAAGTAAAAAATAGATAAATAAATAAAATAAATAAATATAATAAGCAAATAAGAAAATTGACGAATAAATAAATAAATTTTAATACCTAGCCTAATTTTACTTTTTAATTTATTAAATTAAACAAATAAGCAAAAAAGAAAGTGAGCCATTTAAAAAAAAAATTAATAAATAAATAAGTTTATTTTCATTAATTTTACATTTTATATTTTTTTGAATTAAACAAATAAGCAAAAAAGGAAATAAACAAATAAAAAATTAAATTAATAAATTAATGAATGTAGGTATAAATAAATTGGTTTATTTCAATTAATTTTACATTTTGTAATTTATTGAATTGAACAAATTAGAAAAACAGGAAATAAATCAATAAATTAATAAACTAATAAACAAATACTTAAATAAATTTATTTTAGTTAATTTAACATTTTTTAATTTCTTAAAATTAAACAAATAAACAAAAGAGAAAATCAAACAATAAATAAATAAATTAATTAATTAATATTATTAACAATATTTGTTGTTAATATTAATAACAAATGTTATTAATATTTTGTATTTTTACTATTTTGTATATTGCAGTTTGTGTTAAACATTATATTACAAAATTTTCTATAGCAAATTAACAATATTACTAAATATTTTTTATTAAATATATTTTTTTTATTTATACAATAAAATGAAAAACTATACAAATGACACTTATTTCCTAAAGCAATAAATAATATTTGTTTACCTTCCAACATTTCGCAGCCAGCGAATCACATAATTTTCATCAAATCTTCGATTTCACAATATTCAGATGCATTTCTTTAAAACCAAAAATTTAAAAATTTATTAAGAAACAATAAAAAATTGTCCTTGCCAAGCAAGGAAAAATTTGCAATAACATTTCGTCACAAAACTTTCGATAAATTTCCGGTAATGCAAATTTTATTTATAAAACTATTTTTTTGTTTAAAAAAACAAAAAATTGTATTTTTCTATGAGGTAAAAATATTTCAATTTCAAAAATATAAAAACCGAAGAATTTATTCGTATAATTTAAAAAAAAATACTGAATAAAATTGAAATTTATTTCTTTTTTTCTAAATTTCAAAAAATTTGGAGGACAAAAAAAATTTGTTTGACAACTAAAGAAAAATGCACTTTTTTTCAGAAAATTGGAGAGATAAAGAATTGAAAAGAAAATATTGAATTGCTACTAAAAGAAAATGAAAAAAAAATAAAAATGAGAATATTAATTTGAGCCACTTGTGTCTATGTGAATGTGTTATAATAAAAAATGCAAATTCGACAGGTGCGCGCAAGTCGCTCATCGGCGACGAACTGCTCGACAAGTATGCACTCAGCTTGAATATTAACATTGGAACAGAAACGATCTTGATTCGATGGCAAACTTCCCAAAAATCTTTAAAGGGGTTGAATGTCAAGCTCACGAGCATTACCTGACTTTGAAAATTTATATCTGACAACTTATCACTCTATTTTCTTTATTTAATGAGAATTAATTAAAAAATCGATAAGTAAAAGTGAAAAATTTCCTATTCGATTCATTAGAGTCTAAAAAATCCAATTTATCGAATTTTTATCAAGTCGAATTAGAATCAAAAGGAAATTTTAGGCCCAAAATTTTTATTTACAGAGAATTATCATTTTTAAAGAATTTTTTTCACTTAATTTTTTTAAGTCAAATTTATTTAAATTTTTTTGCGGGATTTCCTCTTTAGTGGATTTTTATTAAATAGAATTTTTATTTCACAGAATTTTTATTAAATCGAATTTTTATTTCACTAAATTTTAATTAAATAGAATTTTATTTCACTGAATTTTTAATAAATAGAATTTTTATTTAACTGAATTTTAATTGAATAGAATTTTTATTTCACTAAATTGTTAATTAAATAGAATTTTTATTTCAAAGAATTCTTATTTAACTAAATTTTAATTAAATAGATTTTTTATTTAACTAAATTTTATTTTATGTATTTCTCTTTAACAGTGATTTAATTAAACCGAGTTTGATTTTTAAATAATTTTTATCGGGGAATACCCATTTGACTAAATTATTATGCGAAAGTTATAAGTAATAATTATTATAGGAAAATTCTCACTTAACAGTTTTTTTATGAATTTTTATTTATCATAAAGTATTTTTTTTCACCAATTTTTCTTTGGAATAATTTTTTTTAACAGAATTCCTATACATAGGATTTTTTATTTTGCAGAATTCCACCATTTAAATTTTTCTTTTGTTGAATTTTTATTAAATTGAATTTTTAACTTTATTTATTATAATTAAATAAGTGAATTTTATTTATTTGTTAAAAAAATCATTTAAAAAATAATTTTCTGTTTTTTTCATGAATTTTTATTTAGCATAAAGTATTTTTTTCACCAATTTTTCTTTAGAATAATTTTATTTAACAGAATTCCAATTAAATAGGATTTTTTATTTTCAGGAATTCAAGCATTAAAATTTTTCTTTTGTTTAATTTTTAATCAATGTAATTTTTAACTGTATTTATTATAATTTATTAAATAAATTTTATTTATTTATATTGAAAAAATTAAGTAAAAAATAAATTTCTGCATTTTTTGAACAATTTTGCCTTTACATTAATTTTGTTTAACAAAATTCCGATTAAATAGAATTTTTTATTTTGGGAATTCCTTTTAAAAGTAATTTTTTTATTTAAAGAATTCCCATAAATAGGATTTTTGTGAGAAAATTCCCATTCAAAAGTTTTTTGTTGGGGAATTCCCCTATTTTTATTAAATAGGATTTTTATAGGGGAATTTTCACTCAAGACCTCAAGAGTTTTCACGGGGAATTCCCTATTTATATTAAACAAATTCTTTACGGGGAATTCCTATTCAGTTTTTTATAGAGGAATTCTTACTCAAGAGTTTTTTTGTGAAGAAATTCCCTATTCCTGTTAAATAGAATTTTTATGGGGGAATTCCCACTCAAATTTTTTTTATTATTTTTCGTTTAAAAAATTTTTTATATAAGTGTAAAATATTTTATAGAATAATTTTATTAAATAGAATTCCCATTTTAAAGAATATTTATTTTCTGGGAATTCCCATCTAACAGAATTCTTATGCTAAATTTCTAAATAACAATTATTCGGACAATTCTCATGGAAAAAGAATTTTTATTACGCTAATGTTTCTGCTAAAATATTTTTTAAAACAATTTTTTATTTAGAATAATTAAAATTAGAATTCCTATTAAATAGGTAGGATTTTTTATTTGGGGAATTCCCATTTCAAAGTATATTCACTTGGGAAATTCCAGCATTTAACAATTTTTTTTTACGAATTTTCATTTAATAACATTTTTTTCTATTAGAATTTTCATTTTTTTAAATTTATTTAAAATTCCTTTCGTCTTTTCAAATTGACTTCAATTTTCTAATTTCCATTTACTTTCCGTTTTCAACAATATTACAATAAATAATAATTAATTGTATCAAATGAACACCAAAATTTGCTTATATTTAAATTTTCCCGGTTCAGGTTGACCAACAGCATTTTCATGTTCGCGGGTAAATTTTCAAATATCCCTCTAACCAATGAAACGACTTGTTTACAAATCCCTAACGTTCATTGGTTGATCAGGTTGCTACCGGCTTTTAATGATCAAACGAACAGAAATTTTTGCTTATATTTCACGACGTTTTCGTATTAAAAATATTATATTTCAGCATTTCAGTGATTGTTTTACAATAATAATTAGATAAATAATAATTCTATAAAGTGTTCATAAACCGTTTATTTAGTGTCACAATAAATATGAAATAATTCTGTTATATTTCGATCGGAAAATACCACACAAAAATAGTGTAACATAACCTATAAAAGTCGAATTAGAAGTGCGCAAATAAAATAAATAATGAATCAAGAAAAAACATCATTTTTATTACAAAAACAAGTTCGCGATAATTCTGAAGATTTACAAAAAGAATTATTGGATTTAAAAAATTGGGAAAAAGAAATGAAGCGTAAAGAGGAGGAATTATTAAATTCTAATAGTGAGAAGGTAATTTTATTGTTTTGAATCCATCTCCAACACGTGTTTATTTCAATTTATCTTCTTTTCTAGAACACTTTTTTATTTATTTATTTAGTATGAACGACCTTAGTTTTTTTTTAATTTTAAAAAAATATTGATTTTTTTATAATTATGTTTAATAAAAAAGAAGAACTACGAGAACTTAAAGACGTAAATAATTAAAAATGTTAAATAGTCTCAAAAATATTGTTTGAAAATCGTAAATATCGATAAATTATGTTATTAAAAATTACTTTTTTTGCAGATCAGAGATCTGCCTCCTATTAGAAATAACAAGAAGAAGAAAATAATTGAAACTTCACCTCCGATTCCAAGTACAAGTAAAGCATCAGTTCCTGAACGCATTAAATCATTTGATTACGATTCCTGGAATCAATTTGATGCGGTATGCTTTTTTAAAAATATTTTTCTTTCTTAAGGGCATTTGAAACTTGATGACGTCACACATGCTTTGCACAAACTGAAACGTCATCAAGGTTCAAATGCCCTTAATTATTAAATAACTTCTTTAAAGTAATAAAATATTGAGTAACAAATGTTTCTAAAAAACATTTCTAAACACTTTAGTTTAATTTTGTTTTTTTTAAATAAAATGTTTTTACATTTTATTAAATTCCACCGAGATAAATATTTGAGACGTAAATTAATATTTTCTTTTAAAGGATGCAGCCTGCAGGAAAATGGACGAAGAAAGTAATAGTGACGAAGAGACTGAAAATATAATTGAGAGCGCAGGGAAAAAGCACTCTGAAGCTGTAAAATTCAAAGTTCAGGGCAATAATTTCTTCCAAAAGAAACAATATGATTTGGCTATTAATAGTTACAATGAAGCAATCAAAATCTATCCTTTTGATGAAATATTCTATGCCAATCGTGCCTTGTGTTACTTAAAACAATCAAAGTATGTCTGAATTTAAAATTCTTAATTTTTCAAAGATTTTTTAAAAAAAAAGTTTAAAATTGTTTCATTCAAATTTAATTTTAATTTAAATTCAATGAATTCTTGTTTTCGATTTTTTGAAGTTATGTAAAAAGATTAAGATTAAGTAATTAATAATATGATCTTGAATAAATTCAAGATTAAGTAATTAATTAAATAATTATTAATAAATTTAATATTAAAAAGAAATTAATAACTAAAATTGAAAATTACAGTTTCTATTCGGCCGAAGCAGATTGTACAGCAGCTTTACAAATAGATGACAATTACGTGAAAGCTTATCATAGACGAGCTTTGGCTCGAATCGAATTAGAAGATTACGATGCAGCTAAAAAGGATATCGAACGAGTATTAAATTTGGAGCCGTCCAATAAAGAAGCAATGGCAATGCTTAAAAATGTTAATAAAAAACTGGAAAAATATCAAGTAAGAGGAAAATATTTGTTTTTCTAACTTCTATTTTTATTTAATTATACTTTACATTTATTTGCTTCTGTAAATTTCTTTCTTTTGCATTGAATAGAAAATTTTTAATAATCTAAATTTCTTTCCTTCGCAAAATAATTATTATATTTCACAATCCCAGCCACTCAAGATTTCCGAAGTATTTGACGATACACCAATTGAGAAGAAAATTGGCGAAAAAATGTGTAAATCATCATCGAAATTAACGAAAGAATCAAAAGTCAATAAGCAATCGACGCAAAATTTGAAAACACAAAAATCAACTAAATTAAAAATAACGGAAATTTCCGATGAAACGAACAACGAAAAAGACGAAGGTGAAAAATTGAAAAATACAAAATCCGATAAATTAAGTATCGAAATTCTTGAACAACAACCAATTGTGAAAAATTTACCCGATTGGTTACCGAAATTGGAGGAAAATTACAGTATTGTTGAACCTATCGAATTGCCTCCTCATCAACGATCAAAGGTTAATTTTATATTTTCATTATTAATATTTCTTTTTTGCTTTTTAATACATACTATTTTCATTTGTTTATTAACATTTTTATTTATTACTTTATTTTTATTTATTTATTAATTTTGATTATTAATAATCTTTAAATTCAAATTAATGGGTTTTAATCCTTTTTTTTACAGGAACCAATGAAGAAAATAGTTATTAAAAAAGTTCATTTTGGAGAAGATATTTTACCAAAATATGACAATGAAACTAAATGTGACGATATTAAAAATATCGCCAGCAAAGAGAAAAAGAATACTAAAATTAAAGAAATTAATGTCGTCACTAATTTAGAAAAGAGTCCCAAGAAAACCAAAAAAGAAGAAAGTAAAATTGAAGAAATTAATGTCGTCACTAATTTAGAAAAGAGTCCCAAGAAAACAAAAAAAGAAGAAAGTAAAATTGAAGAAATTAATGTCGTCACTAATTTAGAAAAGAGTCCCAAGAAAACAAAAAAAGAAGAAAGTAAAATTGAAGAAATTAATGTCGTCACTAATTTAGAAAAGAGTTCCAAGAAAACAAAAAAAGAAGAAAGTAAAATTGAAGAAATTAATGTCGTCACTAATTTAGAAAAGAGTCCCAAGAAAACAAAAAAAGAAGAAAGTAAAATTGAAGAAATTAATGTCGTCACTAATTTAGAAAAGAGTCCCAAGAAAACAAAAAAAGAAGAAAGTAAAATTGAAGAAATTAATGTCGTCACTAATTTAGAAAAGAGTCCCAGGAAAACAAAAAAAGAAAAAATTAAAATTGAAATCGAACAAATTAACGATTTTACTAAAACAAATAATGCCGAGAATGATGTGATAAATAAACCAAAGACTCTACTAATAGAAAATGTAAGAAACAAAAATTTTCCGCCACCTCCAAAAACAGCTGTTCAATTTTTCACCGAATGGAAGAGAAATAAATCCCCGGAATTCAGAGCTTTTTATCTAAAAGTGAGTTAAATACATTCAAAATATATTTTAATTTTAATCTTTATCAAAAAATATATGTTTAACTTTTTTTTATAATTCTTTTATTTAATGTTCCTAAAGTTTCGAACGTTCAAATGAAGGACATTTTTTTACTTCTTTTTTTTTTTTTTTATTGTTCTTCATGTATACCCCATTTGGGCTTTTACATATATATGACAACCCCTTATACATTTTTTTACTTCTTTTAATTCGTATTAAAAAAAGTATATTAAATTAATTCCAAATTTAATTAATTATTTTTTCTGAATAGAAATTTTTAGTTATTTTAGCCGAAAAAAAATTTTGTTTAAAAACTTTAAGAGAATTTATTCAGAACATGTTTCTAATATTAAAAGATTAAAAAATATATAAAAATAAAATATCTATTATATTTTTAATATTTTGATATTTTAATGAAAGATATCTAATTATAGTTAAATATATATTGAATACGTTTTTTAATTTAAATATTTTATATATATTTAAATTTAATTAAAAAATGTATGAAAATAAAACTTGTTTTATTCCTAAACTTTTGATATTTTAATGAAAAAATTTTGAATTGTAACATATATATATTAAATACAAAAAAAAGTATTTTCGAAAAATCACTCTCGGGAAGAAAAAAATAAATTTCTTCCCATTAAAGAACTTGATTAACAAAGATAATTTGCAGCAAATTCGACCGAACACGATACCGACATTATTCAAAGACTCAATGGAGTCGAGTGTTCTCGAAGAAATTATTACGATAATAAGAGATAAATTTACTTCAACTGAGTTAAATATTTTCATCATTTTCGAGTATTTGGATGAATTGAGCAATATTAAGAGGTTCAGATCCCTTATTATGTTTATTGAAAGAAAAACTAAAGAAGGTAATGTTTTCTATTAAAATTTTTTATTTCCATAAAATTGAAATTAATTTCCTAACAATTAATATTTATTTATTTCTTACTTAATTCTTATTTTTCAAAATATACAGATAAAAATCAAAGAATTCTTTTTTTTTCAGTTTTGAGAGAGTTACTCGAGCACTGTAAAAAATTTGAGGATAAATCAGAGCAAGAAATTGACAGACTTCGTGAAAAATACGAGTTGTGATTAAAATGAAAATAAGAAAAAAAAATGTTTTTTTTAACTATTTTGTATTAAATACGTTTCAGTAATGTTTAAGTTTCCAAAGGTGATAAAAAGAGTCGTTCCTCTCTAGAATATATCTTTTTTGTATTAAAAATAGTTGTATTTTTTTACTATCGAAAAGTATTCAAATTTTTATTATTTTTCTAATATTAATTTTTTATTTTTCAATTTTTGCCCAATTTATTTATAACTAAATTTATTAATAGCCAGGTTTATTTATAGCTAAATTTATTAATAGCCAAATTTATTTATAACTAAATTTACTAATAGCCAAATTTTTTTTAACTAAATTTATTAATACAGTCAAATTTATTTAAAGCTAAATTTATTTATAGCCAAACTTATTTATAGCTGAATTCATTAATAGTTTCGTTTACGTATAACCACATTTATTTATAGCAAAATTTTTCCTATTTAAAAAAACAAATTTTTTAGTATTTTGTTTCTTTTCCCATAATTTCAAAAATTATTTTCCCTCTAACAAAAAGTTTTTTGCAAATAGATTTAAATAGACAAAAGTTTCGTATTAATAATAAATCATAAAGTGTTTCAGGAAGGTCAGCTGAAGATAGAAAAGAAATAGTCATTGAATTATAAAGTCCCTATAAAAACGTATTATTGTCATTTTTTTCTTCTATTGTTTAAAACGCGCATGTGCAACGTTCGTGACACTATATTCTACATTCGCTTTGATCACTGATTCAGATAAGTTAAGTGGAATATAGAATGAGTAGCTTGGATATCATTCTAAAGCAATGGTCAAATTATTCTAATAAACAATTTTTTCTTTTTAAAATTGAAAGGAAATTTTCATATTTCTTACAAATTTGATTACAGTATTAAAAAAAACCCCGTTTCTTTTAGTTTATGTTTTAATAGAATATTTAATGCGCACCATTTTTGCAATTATCAGTGGCGGGAAAACGGAGTTGTACTTGAACTTGAATTTTCAACTGTAAACTCTAAAGGAAGTGTATTTGTTTATTATTCTTTTCGATAGAATGAAATATATTGCGGCTCTTGACGTTGGCACGACTACTGTGCGTTTTCATCTTTTGAATGAAAATGCTCTTACCATTGCTTCTTATTCTAAAAAGGTAATAAACAGATTTTTTTTAATCATTATTTTCTTGAATTTTTTCCTCTAGTAATTTGTTCTCTAGTTTATTTATTTTCCTGTTATTTTTTCAATCAATTTTTCATTCAATATTAATAAATATCAATAAATATTAATAAATTAATATTTTTTACTAAAATTAAAAACAGTTTAAAAAGTATTTTTATATTTTACTTTTTTAAATAATTATCGTATTTTTATTTTTTTTTAAAATAGTAAAATGTAATTTATTCTAAATGTGAATATTTTCAAGTTTGGCTTCATTTACTTTGAAATTATTTTATCATTGATTATAATTTACTCCAGTAATTTTTTTTTGTACTTTTTTATTATTTTTTATAAAACAATATAAATAAAACGAAAACATTCTAAAAATGACAATATTATTATTTTTTATTATTACTATTATTATTTATTATTATCATTTATTATTACTAATATTATTTTTATTATTTGTAGCCTTTTTATTACTATTACTATTTTATATTATTTTTTTCTTTGTACTTTTTTTAATTAAATTTTTTAAATTAATATATTTTTTGCTTTTTAATTTCCAGTATATTTTGGCCAATTTATTTTATCGATGAGACCTTGATATTTGCATTTTGAACTGAATTTTATGGGAATTTGCTTAAATGACCTCGGAATTTTTATGACGAAATTAAAATCAAGAAAAGACCTTTGCACCCTAAAACATGAGCAAAAAAAATGAAAATTATGATAGAATGTCAGATAATTTCTTATTATAACAGTACATAAAATTAATCATTTCTATTTGTTTTATCTACATTAAACTCAATCAAGAAGTAAACATTTATCGTAAATTTTTATGCAATAAAAGGATAAGCTTCTTTTCTCCAATCTATATATAATGCAAAATTATTTTTTCGCAAGTGGAAAAAAGTCCAATTAACGCATTAAATAATTATTATTAACAATATTAAAAATTCGTAATAACTAATAATTAATTGTAACTAATAATAAATATTACCTACTATTAATATAATTACAATAAATATTATCAATAAATAATAATAATAAACTTTTTATTTCGAACAGAAAAAAATTATTTCTATTCATAAGAATAAGAAAAGAAATTATATAATTTATAACTAGTCAAGAATATTTTTTATATTAAAATACCAAAGTAAAATTAATGAAAATAATATTAATACACAAAATGTAATTTTTTATATATGAAAATGATTAATGATAAATAATTGCAGGTAGAACTTCTGTATCCGAAGCCTGGATATGTCGAAATTGATCCCGATGACCTATGGAACATTATATGTGAAGTAATTAAAAACACAATACGAGGTAAATTCTTAAGGAATTTTTATAGACTGTTTCAATTAATGAACTCCAGTCATTATGTGCATTGATAAAAAAGTATTTATAGTCTCTAGTCACTTGAAATTATACAATATTAATAATGAATTTTAAATTACAATTTTTTTTCTATAATTTTATAATTGACGACTATCTTAGAAGTTTTATTTTCTTTTTTACTCTTCATTGCAGAGAGTGGAATTGATGCAAAATCTATCGCTTGCATGGGAATATCAAGTCAGCGTAGTACGTTCGTCACTTGGAATCTAGAAACTGGAAATCACTATCACAAGTATGAATAATAATTAATATTATAAATTATATTTGATTTTTTTGTATGCCAATTTTTTATTTGAATTTAATAAATTATTAATTAGTTAATTAGTGTGCTTCAAATATGTATAATTTAAATTGTGGATTTTTTATTATTTTTACAGATCGATTGTATAAAACAGTTTTTTTGTAATTTTTTACTATATTCATTTTATACTTTGTTTAGATATTCTTTACTTTATTCATTTTATATTTTGTTTATTTTTTACTTTATTCATTTTATACTTTGTTAATTTTTTGCTTTATATTTTAGTTTTATAACATGGAAAGATTTGAGAGCAGATTCAATGGTGAAGGAATGGAACTCGTCTCTAACATTAAAGGCTTTACGAACAGGAGCAAATATTCTTTATACTTTTTCCAGAAGCAAAAGATTCTTAGCTGGAAGTGTTTTGAAGCTAATGAATACTCAGGTTTTATATTATCACTTTTTTTACTTCTCATTCTCGTTTTCCTTTTAAATTTTATCGTGAAGAGATAAAATTAAATTACTTCTGAGTGGTAATACTGCGGCTCCTCTTTTTATTGATAAATTATTTCAATTTTTTTCATTCTTAAATGAAAATTCTTTACTAACTTCAATTCTAATTATTTGCTAATTTCAATTTTGATATTAGTCATTTATTTAATAATTAGTACTTTTTATATTATGATTTATTTTTTACTACTGTTTATTACTATTTTTTATTAATTTAATTTAATTTATTATTTATTTTTTATTATTTACTATTAAAATTAGTAAATAATTAATCGATTAATTACTAATTTTTCTATTTTTATTCTACAATTTTAATTTTAGTAATTTTTTAAAAGACCAAAGACCACAAATCATTCTCAATTTTATATTATTTAAAAGTTAAGGTCCTAAAAAACAAAAATTTCTAAATTTTTAATTTGAAGTATTTACTAATTTTTATTTTTTAGACAACTTTGAGATTACTATGGGCCCTTCAAAATATACCAGGACTTCATGAAGCTGCCGGAAAAGGGACCGCAGTCTATGGAGGAGTTGATAGTTGGCTTTTGTACAAATTCACCGGTAATTTAACATTTTCTCCAGTAATGTTTACAATTTTCAATTATAAATTCTTTTTACTTTAGACAATACTCGAATAATTATTGATTATTTTAATTTGACAAATACTAAATTTTAGGAGCGCACGTGACTGATGTTTCGAGTGCTTCAGCTACTGGCCTATTTGATCCTTTTACGATGACTTGGGCCGATTGGGGTTTAAATATTTTTAAATTACCTCGAACACTATTTCCAAAAGTATTGGACTCAGCGGGGAATTTTGGCCACATATCCGAAGAATTATTTGGATCTAAAATTCCCATTTTTTGCTCAGTCAGTAAAAATTATTTTATAATTTCAATATTTTATTTTATTTATTCCATTTATTCTATATTATATATTTATCTTATTTATTTTATTTACTAAGAAATGTTACACGCGCCAGACCGCGAATCACAGTATTTATTTTATTATTATTATGTATATTACAAACATTTTTATTTTCTGGTGTGAATTTCAATTTTTGAATAATTTTAGATTCGAAAGTAAAAAATTCATTTATTAAGTAATTGACTAATTAATTATTATTATATTTTATTTTCAAAAACTGTAATCAGCTTCCTCAAAACAATACAATGATTTTCAAAGAATTTTATAAAATTCTTTGCAGAAATTTAATTATTTTTTAATACGATTTTCATAAGATTTCCCGAAAGGAAAACAAATTGAAAATTGAAAAATTGCAATTATTTTTAATAAAATTCTATATAAGAATTGAATTATTTTCAATACAATTTCAATTAAATTCGCCGAAAAAATTTTGCAAGAATTCAATTATTTTTTTAAATTTTAATAAAATTCTTCGCAGAAATTCTATTATTTTCATAAATAAAATACAATTCTTCAGATGAATTCAATTATTCTGAATACAATTTTAATAAAACTCTTTATAAGAATTCAGTTATTTTCAATACAATTTTATTTGAATTTCTCGATAGAAACTTTCAAAATATTCAATACAATTTTAATTGAAATCCTCGAAAAAATTTAATTATTTTCAAACATTTCCATAAAATTATTCAAAGCAATTAAATGTTATGTTTTAAAATAGAAAAATATCACACATTAACGAAAAATTATGCAAAATAAAGTAATTTCTAAATTTTTTTTACGATAATATTATCACAAAACTTATTCAGTAAATTTGAATTAATTAGAACAAAATTCGTAAGAATTTTTTAAAAATTAAATTTTTAATTCTTCATAAAACAAGACTTTAAAATAAATAAAATTCAGTTTTTCTTAGAAAATAAATTTTAAAAAACCGTATTTTGCAATTCGTTTTCCTACAGTAATTTATAAGTAACTTTTTTCATATTTTCGAATGTTATAATTAATTTTACAAAATTAAATTACGTTTTTTTATTCAAAACAATTTTGTGTAATTAATTTTTTATTTATCAATTTTTGAAATTATATTAAATTAGATTTTTATTAATTTAAATATTCAAAGCATTTGAAAAGAGAAATTATCAGAAAAATTATAGAAAACAAAAAATTTGAATACAACGCATATAGATTTTATTTATTTTATTTTGAATGAACAATTTTTGAGTTTCGGTATTTTTACAGATGGCTGATCAAGCTGCCTCTTTGTTTGGATCAGGATGTTTTAAACCCGGTGATTTAAAAGTCACAATGGGAACGGGTTCTTTTATGAATGTTAATACTGGCAAAGAACCTCATGCATCAATAACTGGTAATTAAAATTCTTCAAAATGAAAAATTTCTTTTTAATTTCTTAAAAAAAATAAAAAATTTATTTTTGAAGGCCTGTACCCGTTAGTTGGCTGGCGAATTGGTTCTGAACTAGTTTATGTTGCCGAGGGAGCTGCTAATGATACTGGATCAATAATCGAATGGGCAAAATTTTTAGGTATTTAATTATCATCATTTAATTAATCGACTCGGACTATAATATTTTTTTATATAACAATTTTTTTCATAATAGAAATTTTTTATACTAAAACTTTTTTATAGTTAAAATTTTTTATTGTAAAACTTTTATGTAATAAAAACATTTTGTAATGAAAATTTGTTATTATAAAAATAAATAAATATATTAATTTTTATTATTTCAAACAGTTCTGTAATAAAACTTTTTTACAACAAAACTTTTTTAAAATAAAATTTTTTTATAATGAAAATTTGCTGTAATAAATATTTTGTATACTAAAAATAATATTTCGCTTTTATTTTTACTTCAGATATTATCAATGAACCTTCGGAAACGTCGGATTTAGCGAATTCAGTTGACGATTCGGATGGTGTTTATTTTATTCCTGCTTTCAGTGGTTTACAGGTCATTCAACTTTCAATACAATAAAAAAATTTTCTTTTCAAATATTAAATTAATATTATTTTCTACAAGGCACCAATCAACGATCAGTCAGCAGCAACAGGATTTTTAGGACTGAAACCAACGTCCGGAAAATCGCATCTTATTCGCTCTTTACTCGAAAGTATTGTTTTTAGAATAGTCATTTTGTACCAGACAATGGTTTCTGAGACGCAATTTTCTTACCAAAGAATAAGGTAATTATTTTCAATTTTCATATTTTTAAAAATGTTTTCAAGTACTTTAATGTTTTTGAAAGTATTTCCAAATATTTTGATAATTTTGATATTTTTGAAAATATTTATAAATATTTTGATAATTTTTGATATTTTTGAAAATATTTCCAAATATTTTGATAATTTTTTATAGTTTTGGAAATATTTTCAAATATTTTGATATTTTTGGAAATAATTTAATATCTTTGGAAATATTTACGAATATTTTGATAATTTTTGCTATTTCTGAAGATATTTTCAAATAGTTTCACAGAATTTGAAAGTCACATTTGTATTTAATTTAAGGATCGATGGAGGTGTATCGCAAAACGATTTTGTAATGCAACTTCTGGCGGATTTGACAGGCTTAGAAGTGGAAAGATCCAGAGACACTGAAATGTCAATTTTTGGAGTTGCTCTCGTGGCAGGACTGCAAGCCGGTAAAAATATGTTTTAAATAATAATTATTTATTTTTCCTTTTTCAAAAAACTAGTTTATTTTTTCAAAATTTTCTCATATTCCTGTCTTTTCAAAATAATTATTTCATTGAAGAATTTTAGTTAAATATAATTAAATTTGTCGCCTTTGATAGTTTTATAAAAAAAATAGTTTAGAAAAACAAAGAGTAACAATATCTTATACTAAAAGTTAATAATAGAAATTACTAATCCAAAAATCAATTTCATACAACAAAAATACTAATTTTTCAGGAATCTGGAAAACGAAAGAGGATTTATTGCATTTACGAAAAGTCGATATTTTTAAACCAAATAATGAAAGACATTTAGAATACGAAACCATTTTTAAAAAATGGAAAAAGGCTGTCGATAGATTTAGAAATTGGTATTAAAAACTGTGAAAGCTACAAAATATTTTATACATAATTTTGATACAAAAAAGGACATTTATTTTTGTATGTGTGTAAATTCAAAAAATTATAATTATAAAATATTAAACTTATTGAAATAAAATATATTTCAAATGCCAGAAATTTATAGAGAAAAATAGCTAAATATTTAATTTATAAATTTAGTTTCCTCAATGTTAAAATAATTAAGTTAAGATAATTTAGTTTCCTCAATAATAAGATTTTCTTATTAAAATAATAATTTAACTCTTTTAGTAATTGAATTTTTTGTTCTTCGATTCTTTTTCTGCAACTTTATAGCTATAAAAAATTTTATAGCTAAAAAAATATTACAAAAAATCTCAATATGTAAAAATTTCCTTCGTATCGAAAACATTTTAGCATTTTAATGTTTATTCATTAATAATTCAGGAACTCGGGTCACAAGTCAACGACTCAAATAGCTTCACTGAAGAGACATCTTTGTTAAAGAAACTATAATACAGTTCAGATAAAGTTAACAGTAAGAAATCGAGAGTTCCCATTAATACATTTCGAAAAAATTCACTTTTAATTTTCAAAAGAATATTTCAAGAAAGAAATACGATTACAATTTTTCTACTTTTGTAAAGTGTGAACTTTTTTAAACACAAATTTCAACTCAACAATAAAGTTTGATCGCAACGGAAAACGGAAATTCAAATTTGAAAAAATTTACTGAACCATTGATAATTTTAGACAATAATGCTTTGATTGATGAATGGAAATCAATGTGTGTATTTTTTTTTTATTTTCCCTCCGAGGAAATGTGGAGCGGAAGTGGCTGTTGTTACGTAAAATGCTTTTACAAACGATGAACTTGCCATTTTAATCCAGAAAAAGCAAAGCAACAGTTCGATGATCGATGATCTTGGCAAGCTTCAAGTTCCGGTAAAAATCGGAATATTCTCTTGGATATTTTGCTGAATCTTCAAAATCTAGATTAACGGAAATTATCAGTTGTGACGTTTGAAAAACTCAATAACCGGTCTGAATAAGACAGCTAGTCTAAAAACATGGTGAGTGTGGTTTATTTTGTTATCCATGAATAAAACTGGTTTTCATCAAGACTTTGTTAGAATCCGCAGATTCTTTTCGAGATTGAAATACAGTTTCTATTTCCCCGACTTCAAATCAATACGTTCTGTCGTTAATGATCATTCGATTCTTTCTTTTGAAAAAATACTTTACAATACTACAAAGACTTTTGGTTAAAAGAAACTAATTTGTTTTGTTTAATTTTATTTGTTTTCAATTTAAGAAAATAAATTTTTTTCGTTAATTTTTATTATAAGCAAAAATCATTTTTCATTACTATCAATTTATAATCTCAAATGTCTTTTTCAACGTAAGCATTTTAATTCACTTCTTTTTGCTTCTGCCTACAAAAAACTTTTTAATTTAAATGAAATAATTTTTATTTTAAAACTGAAAAAAATTAGAAGCTAAAAAATAAAAATTTTATATTTTTATTTTAAAATTTTTTATTTTTATTACTAAAAAATAAGAATACAATTTTTACTCTTTAGTTTTAATTTCCTTTTAGTATTTTATTTTTTCTTTTAAGTTTTTTTAGTTCTTTAATTCTTTTTCAATTGAAAAAAATTTTTTTTTAGTTTTTTAAAGTTTTGTTTCAATTTATTCAAAATAATAATTTTCTTAACAAGTTTTAAATAAAACAATTAAAAGTTAAAGAAAAAAGGTAATGTTTGAAATGTTTATTAATAACTTTCAATTTAGAAACGTGTGAAGTTATTTCGTTTCTAATTAACAAGTCAAATGAATGGATTTTTGAATAATTATTACATAACTGCTACTTGATCAGTTCTAAAAATCAAAATAGGTGCACAATATTTTTTTTATTATTATAAATAAATAATTATTTGTAATTTTCAACCCCTTATATAATTCATGGTAATTTACTTTCTTTGACAATTTCACCTTTATCAAAGGCTGGTTGAATAAAAATTTCACATAAATTTACGCTCAGTCTTTAACTAGATTCGCAAGTGCTCTTATTCATTTTAAATCTAAAAATAAAGTTTGTACATTTTTCTACTTAATATTTTCTTGCAGTTGAGATTTCATTAATTATTTTCATCTTTTTTTCATTTTTTATTTATTTATTTCATTGATTCAATTTTATTTTTTTATTTCAATTTAAATGGACAGACAAAAAATTACGAAACAAATAAATATGAATTATTATTTTGTTTTAATTTTTTTAATTTTATTTTTATTTGTATTGATTCATTTTTTTAATTCTCTTCTTTATTGACTTAATGATTTTTAATAATTACATTTTTATTGACTTAATTTTGGTTGAATTAATAATATTTTTATTTTTATTGATTTAATTATTTTAAAAATTTTATTTTGACGAAAATTTTTATTATTTTGTTTTATTTTTATTATCTTAATTATAATCTCATTGAATGTTTATTTATCTCTTTTTCTTCTATTGTCAGATTATGACAATTATATATTCATAACAGAAAATTGATTCACCTTGTTGATAATGAATGTATTCTGCTATTTTTTTTTACACAATTTATGCAAATTGAAAATTTATTCTACATTTTTTTTCTTTTTGTATTTCATTCTCAAGGAGAATTATAAGTAAATTACTGTGTTGTTTGTGATAGAAAAATAATGGGAGAATTGACGACATTTGCTCTCTGGAAGTAAATGATAGGTGATTTAGAAAAATAATATTGGCTCAAATGATAAATCATTTTTCAGGCGGAAGAAATTGTGCTGAATATTGTGGAAATGGATTCCAAGGATGATAACGATGGACCTCAGGAGGCTGCGGAGTCGGAAATTTGTAGGATTGAAATTCCGCCGCCAATTCTGCCAGTTTCGAATCCGAGTAAGTTTTTTATTATTTCGTAGATTTCTTTTACTCTTTAAAAAATTAATAACAATTTAATCATAATTTATTATTTTAAAAGAATTATTTTAATTATATAATTAAATTTTTAAATTATTTATTTATTGTTTATTTATTGTTATTTTACTATTTCTTTTGATTTGAATTTTTTAAAAATAAATTTTTATCTTTCAATTATTTTTTTATTAATATTTATTATTCCCATTTCATTTGATTCAAATTTTTTAGAACTAAATTTTAATCTCTCAACTAGCAACAAATCGCGCGGCTAACTTCTTACTACCTTTTTTAAATAAAATTAGCAATTTTAGAAATAATAAAATTTTAAAATTTTCTAATTTAAATTTTTGTTGAAAATACTAAAAAAATTCAATTTTGTAGAATTTAAAAATAATTGCAAAAATTCTTTAAAAAAAGATAAAATTCTTATTAAATTCAACTATGTTTAAATCTTGAAAAAAATTCTCGTAAAAATCCCAATTATCTTTATAAATAACAAAATTCTTCTCCAAAGTTCAATTATTTTCAGAAATTTTTCTAATTTTAATGATTTTCAATATCTACGATTTTAATAAAATATTTCCCAAAACGAATTCAATTATTTAAAAAAAAATTTAATTTGAAATTTTAGAAAATGACAATTTTGAATGAATGAATTAAATAATAAAAATTTCAGAGGAATTCTATTATTTACAAATTTTTTATAAATTTCTTCGCAATAAATTCTATTATTTTCATGAAGAATAACATTTTTTTAACCAGAAATTCAATTATTTTCATAAATAATAAAATTCTATAGGTATGTAGGTTTTCAATTATTTTCATAAATAATAAAAATCATCGCAGAATTTCAATTACTTTTGGTACAATGTTAATGGAATTTCTCGAAAAATGTAATTATTCTTAAAATTTTTATTAAAATTAATTTTCAAAGATTTTAATGAAATAATTTTTAACAATTCGATTTTTTTTCAAAATAATTTGAATTATATTCTTTGTTGAATTAGATTAATTTCAATAATATCAAAATTCAATTATTTTTAATATCTACTATTTCAATAAAAATTCACAAAAGAATTCAATTATTTAAAAAGAAATATATTATTAAAATTCATCGCAAAAATTAAAGTATTTTTCATAAATAATAAAATTCTTCTCAGGCATTCAATTATTTTCAATACAATTATTAAAAAATTCGATTGCATTCAATAAATTAAAAAAATTTTCCAAAAAAAATTCAACTATTTTCCAAAATTTTTTAATAAAATTCAAGAATTAAATGCTTAATTTCAATTATTAAGAAAGAGGATTATTATAAAAACTTGAAAGAAATTATTCATATAGAATTCAATTACTTTGAAAACTTGTAATTAAAACGATTAAAGAAAGTCCATTATTTTAAAAAAACTTAAAGAAATTCTTCATAAGAATTTAATTAAGATTATGTAAAATTTTAATAAAATTCTTCCTAAATTCAATTATTTTCATAAACAATAAAATTCTTCGAAGAAATTCAATTATTATCAAATTTTTTTTATAAAATTAATAACATAAGAATTAAATTATTTTTGAAAATTTTAATAAAATTTGTTGCAAAAATTCAATTATTTTAAAAAAGTTTGATAAAATTCTTCGAATTAATTCAATTATTTAAAAAAATTTTGAAAAAATTCTCGGCAAAAATTTCAATTATTTTCAAAAATTTTCCTCAATTCAATGATTTTTATAATATCTACTAAAATTTTTCAAAAGAATTCATTTATAAAAAAATTTATTGAAATTTAGCGCAAACATTTAATTATATTCATAAAATAATTAAAATTTCTATTTCTTAATCACAGTTGTTTAATAATTTTCTAACTTTTTTTAGAAGTAAAGAACAAAAATAATTTCAATTTGACAAAACATAATATTTAACAAAATTTTAGTCTTTTAATGAAAAGAAGTAAAAAAAATTCTGATGATTTCTATTTTCTATCTAAAGTTAACAAAAAACAAAAGTATAAACAAAAGACAACTTCAGAGTGTGAGGGATAGAAAAAGTGAATGAAAGAATGAAAGAACATTTAAATTAATATAGTTAATTATTTATTTATTATTATTATTATTATTTCTTTGAATTCGAATTATATTAACTATTTTCGAGAAAAAATTATAAATTCATTTTTTGTTTCGTAATTTGTTAATTTTAGGGGAAAAAATTTATTCACATATTAAAATCTCAAATTCTAAGAAAAATATTTTTCTGTCATTTTTTTATTCTTTTTTTTGTATATTTTTATTATACATATATACAATTTTTTTTTCTCTGTGTAAATTTATCAATGTTATCGCCTCAAGATTCTCCTGAGTTCAGAACAAGTTGAACTCTCTGAGAAGAAGGTATGAATTCACTCGTATCACTCATTTCCTTGAAGATTATACAACAGAGTGCAAGTGATTATTAAGAAAGAACTGTGCTCAACATTCTGTGACATAATATTATATGGTGACTTTTTACCGTATTCAGTGATTCGCATCAAAAAATTCACTCGTCGCTTTTCAATTTTTATGAAGGTAGAGAAAAAAAAATAATGTAATAATAATAATTTTTTCACTGGGCTAAATTAATTATTTAAATAGAAATTGTTTCGTAAATTGTTACTATTAACACTATTTATCACTATTTAGATAATTTATTTACTACTGTCGCTTTGAAAATTTGTCAGAAAACGAATTAATTAAATTAATGATTAGTCGTGAATAACAGATAAAATTCAATTTCAATTTATTATTTAATGGAGTAAAAATTAATTATCGCAATGTAATGGAGATTAGAATGTAACAAAAATTAAATATTGCTATTTTAGTGATACTAATTATTATAAATAATATCACTGTATTTTTTCTATAAATTTTAAACCCAAAAAATTTTTAAGTGTGAATTTAAACCCAACTAAAAAATTTAATTTTGAATTTAAACCCAGTTAAAAAATTTAAAGTGTAAATTTAAAGCCAATTAAAAAATTTAAAGAAAACATGAAACATTTTCTCTAAAAAAAAAAAAAAAATTATGCTCAGTAAGGAAATAATCTTTCTAGAGAAATATTGATCAAAATGACACATTTTTTTGCTCATGAACAACTTTGAAAATTATTTTCATACTTGATCACCTTCATCGATACCTTCAAGATGGAATTTAGACTGCATTTCGATTGACTATGTATACATTTTTAGAAAAAATTTTATTACTCAAAAAGTAGTTGCAAAAATTTTCGTCTTTCGAATTCAAAAAAAGGATTTCTCTATAATTAGAATGAATAAATAAAAATTATATTTTTTCTACAAGTTTTTTTTGTCTATTTTAAATTAGTTTACTAGAAAAATAATTTACGTTCAAGATGTCTGTTTTTTTTAATTAATTCATAAATTATAATTCATCTTAAACTCGTTAATTATTACTATTACTTGAAATTTAAGTAGCGTGAACTAAATAATTAAATAGTTAATTATTCTTTGCCTTTAATGTAAACTAAATAAGTAAATAATTATTATTTTTTACCTCTGGTGTAACCTTAATTAAAATTATTTGAAACTAGAAAAAGTGAAATTTTCATTACCATTGTTTCTTTAAAAAATTTGCTTTTTGAAATTTAATAAAAATTCTTCATTTTTTTTTAAAAAAAAGGTATAATTTTTCTAACAGTTTTTTTTAAATTTAATTATTGAAGATATTTCTAACAGCAACTTGAATATTTTTCATTAAATAATTGAACTTTCCAGTGGTGCTCGAGTACCACTGGAACTATGGTAATAAGTTTATTCTAAAGTTTTTTTAAGCTCAATTATTTTCAAAATTTTCAATTAGAATTCTTCAAAAATACGATTATATTTCAAAGTAATTTTTAAAAGTAAACAAATAAAATTCTTTAAAATATTAAATTTTTTTCAATGTAATTTGAAAAAATTTTCAATTGTTTCAATTTTTTAAAATTATTTTCGAAAATACAATTATTTAAAAAAAATTTTAATTACATTTTTTCAAGAAACAATTTTTTCGAAATTTCTGAATTAAATTATTCAAAACTTCAATATTTTTTGTTAAACAAAAATTTAAAAATTTAAAAACTTATTCTTATTTATTTTTCCAAAAAATTAAAATTTCATATAATTTCAATGAAAAACCTTTTGAAATTTAATTATTTTAAAAAATTCCAATTGTAATTCTTCCAGAATTCAATTATTTTTTTAGAATTTTTGAATTAAATTATTCAAAACTTTAAGAATTATTCTTAAAGAAAAATAATGTAATTAATAATTTTTTTAAATAAAAATTTTAATATTTTTATACTTTTGGCTTCCCTTACATTTTTAAGGAATTTAATTTAAAAAACTTTTAAAATTTAATTAATTCTAATTCCTAAAATTCCTGTTATAACGCTTTAAATATTTAAATATTTTCTAAAATTTTAACTGAAATTTTTTTTTAAAATCAATTCCTATCAGAATTCAACGACGAGAATTAAATTATTTAAATAGAATAATTTTTAAAGATGTAAAAACAAAATTCTTTAAAATATAAAATTTTACAAAATTTCCAATTGTTTTAATTTTTAAAAATTATTTTCAGGAATTCAAGTATATCTTCAAAAAATTTTAATTACTATTTTTGAAAAACCTAATTTTTTCAAAATTTCCAAATTAAATCTTTCAAATTTCAATTTTTTTGTAAAATAAATATTTAAATACTTTTTGTTCTTTATTTGCTTAAAATTTCATAATACTTTCAATGTAAAACCATTGGAAAAATTTTTTATGAAAATTTAAACTGCAAGTCTTCCAAAATTCAATTATTTTTTTAGAATTTTTGAATAATATTATTCAAAACTTTTAATTTTTAAGGAAGCTAAGAAATTAAGAATTTGATACTTTTACAGCAATTAGAATTCCAAAGATTTAAATTTAAAAACATTTTGTAATTTAATTATCTCTCAAGAATCCTACTTTAATACTTTTAATTATTTTCTAAAGTTTTAACTAAAATTCTTTTTTAAATCAATTCTTATCAGAATACAATTATTTAAATACAAAAATAAATAATTCATAGGTAGAATAATTAATTATTTTAAAAAAATTGCAACTGTACATCTTTATTGATTTTTTGAAATTGGGGTTAAATTTTCTTTCTCTACTTATTTTATTATTTACAAATTAACTGTCAAACTTTTGACAACAATTCGAACTATAAAACAAAAAACTGGAATAAAACAATACTAACTTGAGGTCAGGATAGATTATGTCAATTATTATAATTGTAATTATTGCCAGTTATTGCAATTGGGAAAATATCGAAAAACTAAAAAAAATTGTCAAGGGACAGAAAGAGAGTGAAAGGAAAGTGAAAACAATGTTTTCGAATCTCGAATGTAAACAAATCCCTTTAAATTTGACAACTGAATTCAGTGCCTCCTGGTGACAGAATTGAAAATTAATAAATTGACGCGGCGGCACGAAGCGCGGCGGCATAAGGCGAGATGAGATTTTAACAACAAAGATAAAAAAACAAATAAAGATTGTATAATTCTTTCACCCAAGTAGCACAAGTGGTACAACAATATTGTTTCTGTAAAAAATCTAACAAAGAGAAATTTACTTCAGGTAATTGATATTTTTCACAATTTATATTTATGACAATGTGGTATATTCTTTTTCGTCGCAAAAGAGGTTAGATTTCATCTGTCAAATTTGGTACATGGGTCAAAGATCACTTTTCTATATTTATCCTCTCGATCAAAGTATCATTTTTTCCATTTTATAATATTAATTCGATTATTTTGCATTATTCGAAAAGAATATTTTTCTACTACATCGTAATTCTAAACTAATTACTGCATTTAATAGTTACGTCACGTAGTTTATTTACTTGTGTAAGTAATATGACTATACTGTACTATTTTATTAATTATTACTAACTTAGTGTACTACTTTTGTTATTACTTTAATTAAAATTCTCATTCAATTACTTCATTATTTCGAATGAATTTTTGTTTTTCCTAATATATAATATACGAAGTGAGTAAGTGAAGTTTAATCTGAAGTTGATAAAAATTGTAAGAAACAATTACTTCAGTTTTTGTTCATTACAAAGTAGATAAGATAAAAGAAAATTGATCTTTTGAAACAAAAAAGAAAAAAATTTCCATTATTGAATAATATCTCGCGTGTGACATTCTTTAAAAAGACAAATTCCTTTTTTTCTTTAAATTAATTTTGTGATTTCATTTCAGCTGAAATGAACGGAAAAATGGAAACGGCAAACTACGCAGATGTAAGTAATTAATTCTTAAACAATTTTTTCTCGAATGCAAAAAGAGAAAAAAAAATTTTGCCAGTCATTATTAATTTACTTTCTGATTGGAAAATTGTCTAAATGAATTTATTTCTCTTGTCAGCTCGTTCAAAAAACAAGAGACGCATTTTACAGTGGAAAAACAAGACCTTTAGAATGGAGGATCAAACAATTGAAACAAATTTTGAGAATGCTGGAGGAAAACTCGCCTAAAATTCAAGCAGCGCTTGCCACTGATTTACGAAAAGTTAGTTTTTGAAAAACTTTTTTTTTATTTTAAATTTTATTTTAAATTCCTTTTTTAATTCCTACAGGCTTCACAGTCTGTCCCCTATTTCCCTAAAGGTCCCCTTTTTTTAATTTTGGCCCCTAAACGTACCCTATTTTGAAAATTTCCCCTATTTTTTTCGTCACAGGAAATCAATTATTTTCAATAATTTTTAAGTAATTCTGCAAAAGAATCCAATTAGCTTGATAAACAACAAAATTCTCCCCATAAAATCAATTATTTTAAGGATTTTTAATAAAATTCTTTTCCAAAATTCAATTATTTTGATAAATATCAAAATTCTTATCAAGAATTCAATTATTGTCAAAAATGTTAATTAAATTCTTGGCAAACTTTCAATTATATAAACAAAATTTAATATTATACTTTGCAGGAATTCAATTATTTTTATAAATTTTAATGAATTCAATTATTTTTATAAATTACAAAATTTTTCGACAAAAATTCAATTATTTTCAAAAATTTAAATAAAATTCTTTACAACATTTCAATTATTTTTAAAAGTTTTTCGCAATTCAATGTTTTTAAATATTTACTATTTTCATAAAATTTATCAACAGAAAAAACTTGTTGATACAAATTTTACGAAAAGATTCAATTATTTTCATAAATAATAAAATTTCATTTACGAATTCAATTATTTTCATCGCAGAATTTCAAAATTTTTAATACAATTTTAAATAAATTCCTTGAAAAATGGAATTATTATTAAAAATTTTATTAAAACCTGAGTAAAGAATTCAATTTTAAGAAACATTCAATTATTCAATAAAATTATAAATTTCGTTGCAATAATTCAAATATTTTCATAAATAACATTTAATTCGTCGCAGAAAATCAATTATTTCCAAAAATTTTTAAGTAATTTTGCAAAAGAATTCAATTAGCTTGATAAACAACAAAATCGCATAAATTCTTTCCATAAAATCAATTATTCCAAGGAATTAAAAAAAAATTCTTTTTCAAAATTCAATTATTTTGATAAATATCAATATTCAACACAAGAATTCAATTCTTTTGAAAAGTAATTAAATACTTTGCAGAAATTAAATTATTTTCAAATTTTTTTAACAATTCTCGTTAAGAATTAAATTATCTTTATAAATAGATAGGGAAATTCATCTCAAGAATTAAATTATTGTCAAAATTTTTTTGAAAATTCTTCTCAAGAAGTCAATTATGACCCAAGGCCACAATATAAACAATTTTATTTGACAAAAATTAAGGTCCTGAAAACACTCTACGTTTCAAAAATTTTAATAAAATTCTTCTCACGAATTCAATTGTTTTCAAAAATTATTATTTAAATTCTTCTCAGGAATTCAATTATTTTTAAAAAATTTAATAAAATTCTTCAAAAAGTTTTCAATTATTTTCAAAAATTATTATAAAATTCTTTAATATAATAAATTTCATTAAAATTTTAATTAAATTCCTTAAAAAGAAATTAAATATTTTCAGAAGTTGTTAATACAATTCTTCGTAAAAATTAAATTTTAAGAAACATTCAATATTATTTATTTTTGTATTTAAATAATTGATTTCTCGTAGAATTAAATTATTATTTTTCGTACTTTTAACTAACAATTCTGTAGAATTAATTTTTTTGAAAAAGTTTAATTGAATAATAATTGATGTTATTGATTTAAAGTAGAATTTTAGTTAAAAATTCTAGAAAATGTTAATTGAATTAAAATGATACAATGATACAAACAATTTTGAAGAAATTACAGTAACAATATTCTTATAATAATAAAATAATGATTTTGTCAGCCAGTCATCTTTATGTTTTATAATAATATTCTTATGAGTTGTTCAATTTTAAATTTTTGAACATCTTAATTCCAATGAAAAAAAAATGATTAAATATTTATTTTAAATAAAACTATTGATGTTTTCGAATAGTTTTACTTTTGAAGAAATTTGTAGAACATTTTTTTGAGTATCTAATAATTTTTAGAGTGAATCAGAATATTCTTTAGGGTCAGGAAAAAAGTCAAAGTTGTGTTTGGAAATCAGGGAAAAGTCAGGGAAAAATAAAGTAAAATTTTTGTGTCAACCCTGCAGAAATAAATTATATTTTTATCTTTATTTAACCAATTTTTATGGTCCCCTAAAAGTCCCCTATTTTTTAATTTTTAATCCCCTATTTCCCCTAAAATTCTTTTTAGGGGCACTGTGAAGCCTGATTAAATTTTAAATTAAATTATACTTTTGGATAAGTAAATAAATAATAAATGATGATTGAATTTAATTGATGTGATTAATCATTTTTTTTTGCAGAGTAAATTTGAAAGCTACGCACTAGAGATAGATTTCACAATTAATGAAGTAAAGTCTATGTTAATGAATATCAAAGAATGGGCAGCAGTCGAGAAGGTATAATTTTTTACACTCTCATAAAAAAAATGAGAAGGTTCCTTTTTAATTGAAATTGAAATTAAAACTAAAAAAATAGATTAAAATACAAAATTAATATTTTTTTAGCCTCCGAAGCCGTTGGTCAATATGTTGGATGACATTGAAATTTACAAGGATCCTTATGGCGTTGTTCTCGTAATTGGAGCCTGGAATTATCCACTACAATTGGCTCTTTTGCCAATGATGGGAGCACTCGCAGCTGGAAATTGTGTTATTCTCAAACCTTCAGAAGTATCTCAAGCGACTTCCAAAGTTGTCGCCGAAATGATTCCGAAATATTTAGATAACGTGAGTTATTTTATTTTTTTTTTTTTTGTTATCGTATATTTGCAATTTTATTTCGAATCTGTAATCTTGATATTTTATTTTATTTTCCAATTTCCAAAGTTATTTTTTGTATATAAATTTTTTCTTAAAATTTTGAACGTTTAAATGTTTAAAGTAAACGGAGAACTTTTTAATTCGTTCAATTTGAACTTTGCTTCAAAATTTTGCTATATTGAAAAAATTAATCAAACATTCAAAAGTTTATTTTCTATTTTTTTTTTTCTTTTATTATTCTTCATTTCCGAAGAGTAATTTTTGGAAATATTTAAATAGAAAAAAATTCGTTCAGTTCAACGTTTAAAACTTTAGGAAAATTGATAAATAATATTAATATAAATAGAAAAAAGAAATTGGTTCACTAAGCGTTTAAAACTTCAGGGGAATTGATAAATAATATAAATAGAAAAAAGAAATTCGTTCGATGAACGTTTAAAACTTTAGGGAAATTGATAAATAATATTAATATAAATATAAAAAAGAAATTCGTTCACTAAACATTCAAAACTTCAGAGTAATTCTTAAATAATAATTATTTATGATAATAAAATTTTTGAATGTCTAAATATTAATTTTTAATTTATATTTTAATTTACAATGTTTGTAAAGAGTAAAATTCAATTTTTTCGCAGGAATGCTTTCACGTTGTATATGGAGGTGTCCCGGAAACGACAGAACTTTTGAAACAGAGGTTCGACTATATTTTCTACACAGGTTCGACGACTGTTGGAAAAATTGTTCGCGATGCCGCGAATAAATTTTTAACACCAGTAACATTGGAACTTGGTGGCAAAAGGTTTTTTGCTTTTAAACAAAATAATTTTAGAAAACTTGTAATTTTTCGAAATGGGAAAAATTTAACTGTACTTTAATTTCTTTTTCAGTCCTGTTTATGTTGACAATACAGCTGACATGAATATCACTGCCAAACGTGTGCTATGGGGTAAATTTATAAATAGCGGACAAACTTGCATTGCACCAGATTACATATTATGCACACTCGAAGTACAAAATCGACTAATTAAGGAAATGAAGGAAGTTTTAAAGGAATGGTACACTGAAAATATGCAAAACAGTCCCGATTTATGTCGTATTATCAGCGATAATCACTTTCAGTGAGTTAGAAAATATTTCTGTATTTTTGTCCATTATTTTTATTTACCTCTGTTTTTATTTCTTTTCTTACTTTTTATTTATTTTAATTTTTTTTTTAAATCTATTTATTTTTAACCAGCCGATTATCAAAATTCCTGACGAACGGAACAGTTGCAATTGGAGGGAAGACGGATCCTTCGGAAAAATTTATCGAACCTACAATTCTCATTGACATTAAACCAACGGATCCAGTGATGCTGGAGGAAATTTTCGGTCCAATTTTGCCAATTGTAAATATCAACAATGCCTATGAGGCAATTAAATTCATAAATGCTCGGTAAGTTTAAATGTTTCGTCACTAAAATTAAATTTATCTTCAATTTTTTCTAGGTATACATTTTAATTGACATTCAAAAAAAAAAAAAAAAAAAATTAAAATCATTTTTATCGCTTTTTAAATATTGTTCTAAACAAAAAAGAAACAATAGTTATACATTTTTCATATTTACAGTGACACTGTTAGTTATCTCATTCACCTACTTTACATATCAATGCTTTCTACTTGTCATTAGTACGCAAATGAATTCTTTCAATTATCATTTTCTTCAAATGAGTCGTGTGAATGTTCTTGGAGTTTTTCTTTAAATAGAAAATAAAAATAACTAATGGGACACTTCAGAAATTATTTTTCAATTGTTGCAAAATTCTTTTGTTATTTTTACTATTATTACTGTTCACTGTTATTATTTTTAAAGATTATTACTTATTTATTTACAAATATAAAAGGGACATTTAGTTTTAGTTCTTTATTATTATTTATAATAATAATAATTTTATTTTTATCTACTGTTTAATTATTTTTATTTACTTATTTTCTATTTATTTTTTGTTTATTTATATTATTAAATTCACTTATTTATTTCAACATACAATATAGGGGCTTACAAAGAAAATTTATTTTATTTTCAACTTTATTAAAATTCTATTTAAAAAATAGTAACGAAAACTATTAGAATATTTTTAATTTGTTGCGAGTAGAAGAATTTCTAGAGAATTTCTAATATTGAACTGAGCGAAGATTATAGTAGAAAAAAATGTCTAAAGTCAATTAATTATTTACTGAAAATCTTGAATTTTGTTATCTTTTTGTTATCCGTACCTAGAGATACTCCCCTTACAATGTATATATTTACAAAGGATAAAGGAGTAGGAGAATTGATAATAAATCAAACGAGAAGCGGTGCAGTTTGCGTCAACGACACTATGATGCAATACGCTGGTGAGTTAGGTTTAAAGAACGGTGAAGGTTTCTAATGAATCTTGTCTAAAAAAAGTGTCTAAAAAAAATTGTAAATATTATTATAGGTGTACTAAACCGTATATTATATATAATTTAGGTGGTATGCTTGAAAAATTGATGTTTGGATTCTATGTACATATTTTTCGCTCCCTTTTCTTCTCTTTTCCTAATATTTAAGTCTACTGAATTCTCTATTCGTCCAAATTTTTAATTTTAAAAAATTAATGCTCTTTTTCTTCTAATCATCAAAAAAAAAAAAAAAAAAAAAATGAAAAAGAATACAAAATTAATGCATGACTTTTGATTTATTTCAATGGTGCAGGGAGAAGCCTTTAGTACTCTATATATTTAGCAAAAATATGGACGATGTTAAATTATTTGCTCAAAATACCTCATCTGGAAATTTATGTGTTAACGAAACTATTCTACACCTCGCAGGTATTTTTATGTTGACTACAACTTTTTTATATTTACTACTTTATATATTTATATTTATTTACCTTTATTTATATTTATATTTTTATACTTGTATTTATATTTATATTTATTTATAGTTTTGTAATTTTTAATATATAAATATTTATATTTATTATATAAATTTATATTTCATACTTATATTTATTTACAGTTTTATAATTTATTTATTTTATTTCATTTTTTTGCTTATATTTTGATCAATTTTGATTTTCTTTTTCCCTCTGTAATTTTCAAATGCAAAGGCGAATTTTAATTTTGAGTGAATTTCAACTGAATTGTAAATATTTTACACTCACTATTAAAAGAATAATTTTGTAATATTGATAAATTAAGAACTGCTTTCTTATTGTTCTTTTCTCAATTTTGCCTGTAAATATCGCTTTTTTAATTAAATTGCTGTACATACCTATTTGCTTTCTGATTTAAATAAATTAAGTACGATTTAGAATATGCGAATATAATTTAAAAATTGAATTCTATTGAGAGAAATAAAATAGGTAAACACCGTCGATTGAATAAAATTTCGAATTAGATTTTAACCCAAGAGAAATATTATTATGTATTATAAATTTATAATTAATTAATTTTAATTGTTAATTATAATTAATTAATTAATTTTAACTGTTAATTATAATTAAATTTTATTAATCCTAGTTGTAGTTTATAATTAATTTCTATTAATATGATCCACAAGTTCTGAACGTTTAAATGAACGAAATATGTATATATTTTTAATATTTTCAAAAATTACTATTTACATTTAAAATTAAAAAATTAAAAAATTCCCTGCAGTTGAAACCATTCCATTCGGTGGCGTTGGAAATTCAGGAATGGGAGCGTATCATGGACAATTGACATTCGATACTTTTGTTCACAAAAAGGGATGTCTCGTTAAAACTTTCAATAAACTTGGAGAATCTCTAGGATCGTAAGGAAAAAAATAAATTCACCTTATTCTCAACTTTTGTGTAACAAAACTAATTTTTCTTTTAAATTTCTTTTTAGAATGCGATATCCACCGTACACGGACAAGAAATTATCTGCTCTGCGTGTTTTAATGGGAAAGAGGCCAGATATTCCTGGAATCAAATATTTGCCACATCTTGTCATGTTTGGTCTCGGCGTCGCTGTCACATTCGCTGTCAAAGCTATCGTCAAGGTACAAAAGGCATCACACGCGTAACAAAATCACATCGCCGTGTACTTTTGAGTTTTCTCTTTTTTTCACGTCTCACAATGAAACGCACAATTGCCTTTCACTTAATTTTTCAATTTCATTCTGTTTCTCGATTTTCTAAGAATCATTTTGTATAAAAATAATTTAGTAATTCGGTGTAGAAAAATTATTTGTTTGCAATTAGAATCAAAATTGCCAAAAGTGGAAGAATTTGTTTATAACAAATTTTTTCATTCGAAATATACGAAAGTGATTTAAATTTAAAGAATTACATATAATAAATTATGTATATTAAAATTAACATTAATTTTCTTGAAATTAATTATATTGAATTAATTTTATTAAAATTAATTATATTGAAATTAATATTGAAATCAAATATGTTAAAATTAATCATATTGAAATTAAATACAGTATAATTAATTATATCACAGAATATAATAGAGAAAATAATTTCACAAATTTTCTCAAGAATATAATTAAAGCACAAAAAAATAGTTTATAACTTTTTTTTAAAGTTTGTACAATCTTTTTTTTGCTACGCGACTAATTCACGCACAATTAAGTTCTCTTTACTGTAAAATTTAGATCAATAAAGTTTATTTCATTGCACACACTTTCACTTGAAATTCCCTTCACTATTCAACTTTTTAAATTAAAAATTTTTGAAATTTTGAAATTTATTTTTTTCTTAAATTGCAAATATTTTTTAGAGTGAAATACAAAGTGCATGGAATAATAAAGTAAAAATATAAGAATCTTTTAAATCTGACAATTTTTTAAAAATGATTTAATGAAAAAAATTTAATTCTTTTAATATTAATTAAATTTCTTTTTAATTGTAAATTTTTACAGGAATATGGCCAAGCGGTTGAGAATCAATAGAAGAAGAGAAGGAGAAAAAGAGCCTTTTTATTTAATTTTAATGTTGGGAACATTTTTTGTATAGAAAAAATATAAAAATTACATTTTTTCCCTGAAAGAAGGAATTTTTTGGGAAATAAAATACTTCCTTGAAATTATTTGCTACAAAATCAAGGACTTTGTAATTATATTGAATTGATTCAAATTTTTTAGGTATTAAAATACTTCCTTGAAATTATTTGCTACAAAATCAAGGACTTTGTAATTGTATCGAATTAATTCAGTAACGAATATATTTTTGTAATGTTTCAATGACGAGGAATAATTTTTTTTTTGTCAAAAATATTGCCAAATATTTGGTAAAATATAAAAAATATTTTGCCAAATATTACAAAATACTGTAAGTGCCTTTATAATTTAAAGTATTTTTTTTACTGAAGTAATATTTACTTCGTTGGGTGCAATTTAAAAAAAATTTAGAAAAAGAAAGAGTAGAAATTTTGTACACATTTTCAGCATTACTATTTTGTGTAATGTGTTGCACTTGCTACAAATATCTCTACCAGAGAGAAAAGCTTTTTCTATAAAATAAATATATTTTTTCTTTTGTAAATTTTGTACTTCTGTGATTAATATAAATAATATTATTTTCGTGTTCAATAATAATTAATAAGTGATTGAAAATTGTAATTTTACGTAATTTTACAAATTAGTGGCACAGAATATTATATATATTTAATTATTTACACTATATACAAACACATGTATATATATATAAATATTAATGAACAGAAAATATATAAAAGTGGGTTATATTTTTCTGTAAAAAAAAGTCTTGTACTCAAGTTATTTTTAAACACCTCTGCCTTTAATAGCAAATCTTCGCTTAGCCTTCATTTGCAGGGTCATAATATGAAAAAGAAAATCAGGTCAATAAATGTATACATTTGACGGAATTTTTTAATTCCCATAATTATACAATGATGAATAAACTTCAAACACTTTGGACATTTTTACAAATTCTTCACTAATTTTCCAAAAAATCAATTATCAAATTTTTTTCACAAATCTGAAAAAAAATATTAAAAAAGAAAAGAAATTGATTTCTGAAATATTTTCAATCAAAAGCACGTTTTATTTTAATTATCAATTCAATTTTATCGAGAGAAAAAAAGTGTCACACATATTTTCGATTAATTACTGTATAAAATGAAAATATTTTCTTGTATCTTTTGTTTAGAATTTTTCAACAAAAAAAAATTTTTATTTCATCGAAAATCGGACGTATAAATTGAATGTGAAAGTTAAAAAAAAATCGACAGTTACAATTTATTGCTCCTAATAGGTAAATATCTATATGGAATTATATTGTTCTTTTTAATTATTAATTAAGTAATTAAGTACAATTATTAAATAATTAATTACAATTATTATTTAATTAATTTCCATTGTTAATTAATCAATTTCAATTATTATTTAATGGTTTCTTTTTCTTTTAGAAAGAGAGAAAATGAAGACTGCGTTGTATTTGACGACATTTTGCATTGGATTTGGCACAATTTTCGCACAAATTAATCCACTAATGAAAGGAATTAATATTGATGAAATTCTGCGAGACTTTGATCGACGAAATAATATAATTTCTTGCTTTTTGGATGAGACGGAATGTGACGCAATTACACAAAATATTAAAAGTGAGTAAGAATAATTTTTTGTTTATTGTAATACTATAATTATATTTAAAAAATTATAGCAACAAATTATCATTTAAATTAATGAATCAATCACATTCAATTACTTTTTTTGTAATAAATTTTATGATTTCAATTTTAATCGATTCTTTTTAACTTGTTTTATTTTTAATTTATTCTATTTTTAATTTGTTTTTACTTTGTTTATTCACTTTTATTTATAATAAATTTCATTATTTAAATTTTAATTGATTCTTTTTAATTTATTTGTTGTTAATTTGTTTTTATTTTATTTATTTACTTTTATTTAAAAAAAAATTTCATTATTTCAATTTTAATCGATTCTTACTAATTTATTTGATTTTTAATTAATTTATTTTTATTTTATGATAAATATTGTCTTATTTTAATTCTAATCGATTCTTTTATATTACAGTTTTGATTCCCTCGGCGATAAAGACAAAATGTGAGAAATGTCCAATTCCAGTAAAAATGTACGCTCTTAAATTTATTACATATTTACAAAAAAATGATTCGGAAAATTGGAGCAAATTTTTGGCGAAATACGATTCTTCTGGTGAAGATATTAAGAATTTTTTGGAACAAGTGTCTAAAATCAGAGTAAGAAACTGAAACAATTCTTCAAAGAAATTCGTTTCTTTTTATTTAAATTTTTTAAATTTGCATTCAATATTGAAAATTGAAAATAAAGGAAAATTATAGAAATAATTTAGCATTGAATTTTGAAAATAGAAGATAAAAGAAATTAAAGAAATAATTTTGCATTAAAATTCACTTTCAATAGAAGACGAAAGAAAATTAAAGAAATAATTTTACACACTTAAAAAATTCCACTATAAATTTTAATCAGTCAGAGAAGAAATACAAAAATAAAAAAACCAAAGACAATTATTATTTAAACGTACAAAATTACAGACAACAGTAAATAAGAAAATTTCAAAGAAAATATAATATAATTCCAAATAATTATTTTCATACGAAATGAAAGTGATGCTTTTGATGAAAATAAAAAACAACCATTTTTTTTAAATATATTTATATTTAATTAAATGATGCAATGTACAATTAAATTTACAAATGAAAATTGTTTTTCGTAAACATAAGTTTTATCGATAAATTACATACAATTACATTGATGAACCTATTGGATAAATTATTGCTTTGGCTTGTTTTGAATATCTTTGATTGTCTTCTCAAGAACGGCTTTCCATTTTTCCGGTTCTTTCTCCGTATAATAAGTGACAATTTTATCGAAACCTATTTTCTGTGGTTCAGTGCAGTACTTGCATTTTGTTACCAATGCTTCCGGAAATTTATCTATTTAACATAAAAAATTGTTTATTATAATTACTATATTGGAAAAGGAAACGAAATATTTTTGTCTCGTCGAAAGGTAATTTAAAATTCTCAGTCGTCAAATTAAATAATTCGCATATTAATAATTTTAAATAAAAACTATGTAAATAAAAATAAATTTAAATATTAATTATGAAAACAAAATATTTTTCTCTTCGAATGTAATTTAAAATTCTCCATCGCAAATTTAATAATTCGCATAATAATTTCAAATAAAAACTGTGAAAATAGAAATAAATTTAAATATTAAAATTGAAGTTTTTTACTTAAAGACCAGTGTTTGTGATACGAAATTTTCCAGACTATGTGAAAATTATTGTTTCAATATTCAGTTTTGAAAATTAAGAAATTTATGCCCAAGTTTATAAAAAAATGTTCATGTTGCCTGAAAGCAACACTGGTCCTCAAAGGGTTAATAATTCGCAACTGGTTTTTTTGATAAAAAAAAATCTTATTCTCACCAATGTTGTTTATTTATTGAAATACAATTTCTATTTTGTTTACTTATTGACTTACGATTTTTATTTTGTTTCGTTCAAATATTGTTTCGATTAAATTTTTTTTTTATACTTTCTTCTAGTGAAAGATATTTTTCTAATTCGAAAACTTAAAAAAAAAAAAATTAAAAAGAGAAAATTTAAGAAGAAAAATGAATTAGTATTAATTTCTAATATATATTTTTTCTTTTTGTATAAAATTTGTCCAAATTTATTTTTGTACAAAATTTGTCTTTGTATGAAATTTATTTTTTTACAAAATTCGTCTTTGTATAAAATTTATTTTTCTATAAAAATTTCGTCTTACCTTTAAAGAATGTAGCATCATCACTTAAACAACGAGAAGATCCCATAGCGCAACTGTAATACTGATTTCGAAGTCGATCATTGCTCAAAATTTCATCGTAATCCACATGATCATATTTATCCGTATATTTTTTGACTTCTTCACATTTTGTTAAATAAATCGTAGCCGAAATTAATAGTAAACTAAGAAGAACTGACACATTAGCCATTTTTTGAGCAACTATTTTTGTTAATAAAAAATAATAATTAAATAAATAAATTTAAAGTAACTTTTTTTTGTATAATTAATTTTTGCTGAATTGACGAAGGATGATTGCAAAAGAAGGTAGATGCTCCTCTGCATTTATACAAATCCCCCTTTTTAAGAATCCTGAATGACGTCAGATATAAATTATTGTCATTCACGTGGTTTGCCGAAGAGGTCAACTTGTTCTTCAACAAGTGCAAAAAATTCTTCTTCCTCTCCAAGAGTAAAAGAATTTCTTTAATTACAATAGAAAGTTATAAACAAAAACAAATAATAAAAAAAAATTTCTTTTCGGAAATAATTAAATAATTTCTTTTCTATCTTTGTTTTTAATAAATAAATACGTATAATTAAACAAAAATAATGAATTTTATATTATAGTCTTTTCTTCTCAAAAAATGTTATTTTTCTTAGTTAAATAATGAGTTCGCGTGTTAAACAAATTTCCATAAATAGTTTTTTACAAAATTGAAATTGGTCTGAAAAATATACAATTTAAATTCTAAATGTAACAATTTAACGGATTTTTTGTCTTATTTTTCGTATAAAAAAGTAATATCTTTTAATCCCTTGTAATTATCTTTACTTTGTATCATCAAGTTTGAATAATTTTCTCAGAAAGGAATTCAATTGATATTAAATTAGTTTTTTTAGTGCAAAATCTTTCATTAAATTATTCTCATAATTATTATTTCTTTTTTTATTTTAATTTTTATTTTTGTATTTAATTATTTAAAATTCTTAATAATAATAACAATAATATTATTATATTATATTATTTTCATTCTATTTTCTAAATTAATTTTTCTTCAATTTCCAGTTAAAAAAAATTATAAATTTACATTTAAAAAAATTATTATAGGCTTATAATAAATAAATGAAATGAAATATTTAGAATTGAGTTGCATAATGTGTATAATTTCAAATTTGTAAACAAAAAATATACAAAACTGCAAAATGAGTAAAAATTGCTGGTTAACAAATAATTGACTTGCAAAAAAATGTTTTCAAATACAATATAATCTCACAATTATAATATTTTAATAAATTACTATATAAATATATTTACTGTATTTTTTCACAATTATCTCGAGAATAGTTTGAAGATTTTTTCTATTCAGTTTTTTTTTTTTGCTCATCTCGTGTCATTGAAATGAATTCATGAATAATTCATAAGAATTGATAATTAATTACAGTTTTATTAAACGCTAAAAAGTTTTCAATTTCTTTGAATTTTTATTTTTCAAATTTGTAATTTTATATATTTGTGGTCTTATAAAATTAAATAAATTGGCTAATATTATTATATCTATAATCTCCGGACGGAATTCAGAAATTATTATTTCTATATATTGTTTTAACAAGTATTTTCAAATTATTCCAAAATAATTATAATTATTTTTTTATTAATTAAAAAAAATAAATATAATTTTTTTTATTAATAGAAAAAATGAATATAACTTTTTTTTATTAATAAAAAAATGTATTGCAAGGAACTATTAAAAATTGTCAATTATATAATTTCTATATTAATAAATTGAAGTCTACGATGATCGTCTTCCTTTAATTAGATTTCCTAATATAGTTCTCCATACTTCTGGCTCCTCTCTCATGTAAAAAACGACAATTTTTTCAAAAATCTCCTTTTGCTTCTCTGTACATTTTTTGCATTTTGTGGCTATTGCGTCTGTGAAGATTTCTGCGAAAAAAATACATTGCAATAATTAATTGTTTATTTATAATTTAATTAATATTATTTTATTTATCAACAGTTAAGAGAAGTTATCGATTATTTTATTGTATATATTTATTTTTAACTTAAATTTAAATTATTTTTCTTACTTTGTTTTTTAATTTATTTTTTTTCTTTATTTTTTATGCTATTTATTTTTTCTTACTTTATAAAACAAAAAATCTAAAATAAAAAAACAAAATAAAACTACTTTTTATTTATTTGTTTATTTATTATTTTTTTCTATTACCTTTTTGTTAAAAAAATATTTATAAAGAATAAATTATAATTTAAATAAATAACAAAGTAAAATCACATATTTTATTACGTAATAAATTTGTTAAATAAATATAAAAGTAGAAAAATAAAGAATAAAGTAAAAAATAGAGGAAATAAAAAAAAGGCAAATTAAAAGAAACAAAAATTAAATAAGAACTAAGAAATAATAATTAATTAAATATTTAATACAATAAATTTATTGTTTTAAAAATTTTTTAATTTTAATTTAAAATTTAAAAAATACACTTAATTTAAATTAATTAATTTAATTAGAAATATTTACTAATCTGTTAATAATTATTAGATTTTAATCATTTATATATATTACTAAAGAGCAATGAAGGGAATTTTCCATTTTTATTCTTTTGAAAAATCAATGACAAGGTTATTGCATTGAAAAATTGTTAATTCAAAAAAAAATATATGAATAAGATTGATAGTTATGTCAGTTTGTAAATTTTCGCCTTAAACATTTTTTCTTGTTTGAAAGGTCGACAACCGATGTCTTGACATTGTATATCGAAACTGGTTTAAATTTATTAATTTCATGGTCAATATTTCGTAAGAAACGTAAAAAAAGTATTCTTTTTTTTCTATTACGAGAGAAGCGGAAGTCTCTGCACTTTGAAAAATTAAAAAAAAATTATTTTGCACATTTATTATTATAAAAATCCAAATGAATTTTAAATTATATTTTTTCTAATAGAATGTTTCAAATTGCTGATGATTTTTGGAAAAGAGGAAAAAAATTTATCATTTTGGAAAATAATCAATTATTAAAATTTTTTAAATAATTTTTCTAAAATTATCCAAATTAATTAATAAATTAATTATTTGAAAAGAGAAAAAAATTATTAGAATTATTATTAAATTATTTAATTTATCATTTGGAAAATAATCAACTTCTTAATTTCATTTCAGGAAATATCTTAATTTCAAAATTAAATTTTTTCTAAAATTTTTCAAACTCTATTTGAAAATAGGAAAAAATTATTAATTTATTTCATTTATCATTTGGAAAATAATAAAGCTTAAGTACTCTTGGGGAAATAATTTTTTTTTTTTTGAAAATAGCAACAATTTTTTATTAAAATTTTTTTTAATTAATGTTTTTTAAAAATTAATTTAATTAAAATTTTTTACTTTATTAGTATGAAATTTTAATTAGTCATTGTAATTATTTATTTTAAATTATTTAATTTAGATTAATTGTTATAAATCTCAAGGGCCTTGCCCTTATGTACTTTAATTAAATAAATTAAAAAATTAAAAAATGCAGTACATAAAAATACAATTAATAAATAAATTAATTAATTAAAAAATAAACAAATTACTTTCTCAATTTTTTTAAATGATTTAAATTAAATTTTGCACACTTTATTATTAATTTTACATTATGAATTAATTTTTTTAATCAAAAATAATAAAAGGATAATTTTACCTTTAAAAAATGTCGCATCCGACGTTACACACGGTCCAGTGCCTAAATAACACATCGAATATTGTTTACGAACTCTTGAATTATTAAGAATTTCATCAATATTAACGTTATCATATTTAGTCGGATAAAAATCAGCTGCATAATTAAATGCAATGCAAATTGTTAATACTGCAAAAATTAACAATCGTGACATTTTTATTTTTTGTTTCTATTTTTTTTGTTTTTTTTTAATTTTTTTAAAGTATTTTTCGAATTTTCCCCACAACTCTTACTAAAGACGATAACACAATAGTAGAAATTATTTTTTATGTCGTCGTATTTATATTTTTTGGTGGTCCTTCAATACCTATAGACACAAATCATGACATCACACATTTAAATCTCCACTCAAAGTTCTCTTCAATTCGTCATTGAATGAGTTATAGTTGAAGGCCTATATTTTAAATTCTTTTAGCAAGTTTTGATATTCATATTAATATTTGGAGAATGTGAAAAAATGCCAAGGTCACTTCCTTATTATTAACTATATACAAAATTTTTTTTTCTCTTCATTCAAATATATTTCTTTTTTTTTCCTCTATTTATTAAAAAAAACAAAAACAGTAAATTCCAAAAATTTGGATGAATTTTTCATGAAAGTGAAGAAATCAAATTCATTAAAGAATTTTCTTGCTTCCAGTATTTTTCACATTTATTTTAAAGTTTAATTTTTATTTTTACTATTTAAATAAATAAAATAAAAAAATAAATAAATATTTGAAATATAAATTTTATTGTTTTGTTAATCTTTCTGTTTTTAATTTAATTTTCTTGAATTTTTTCTAAAATTTCAAATAGAAAATAAATAAATATTTTTTATATTTATTTTTAAATAAATTTTTATTTTCCTATTCTAATAAATATTATTTAAATAAAATAAATATTTTAAAATACCTTAAAAAAATAAAGAAACAAGAAAAATAATAAATTCTGAATAAATTATTAACAAAAATTTTATTTTTCTATTCAAATAAATATTATTTAAATAAAATATATATATTTTAAAATACAAAAAAAAATTAAGAAACAAGAAAAATAATTGTTAATGAATAAATATTTTATTTTTCAATTCAAATAAATAGGTATCATTTAATTATTTAAAAAAACGGATATTTTAAAATAAATATAAAAAAATATAAAAACAAGAAAAATAACCAATTAACGAATAAATTAATTATATAATAATAAAATAATTAAAGAAAATTTGTCTTTTTCAATTGTATAAATTGTATTTTTTATAGAATTAATCGGAAAAAATTGCCAAAGGAAGGTGATAAAGAAGATTATCTTATTTTTAATTATATAATAAAATCTTATGAAACCAGTTGTTTCATTGAAATATAAACTTCTTTGAAAACTGAAGAGTCGATTAACGAACAATAGTATAATTAGCTTTTCACTTTTTGTTTCATGACAAGCTTAATTAATCATAATCTAATTCCCTGAATAAAAAACTAATGAAAATTTGTTTCACAAACAAAATAAACAAAAAAAGGAATTTTTTTCTCTAAATTCCTTTGTGTTTATTATTCATTATAACTATTATTTAATTCACTTCTTTAATTAAAATGAAAAAATGGAATTTAATTCATCAAACAAAAATTTTTTGATTAAAGAATTTTTAGTCATGAAAATTTTTTCAATAATTAAAAGCGAAGTTATAATACAAATCAATAGAAAAAAAATAAATTATAAAAGAATTCTTCAAAAATAAAAATAAAAAATAAATTTTATTTTTCACCCATTTTCTCATGGTTTTAATTTTCAAAATATAAATAATAAAAAATATGATTATTTTTTATTAATATTTTATTTTTTCTTGTTTATTGCGCTTAAACTTTTTTTTTCTCTTAATTTTTTATTCTTCATTCATTTTAGAAACAAAGAGTTGAAACAAAAATTCTTATCAACAAATATATTTTTTAATGTTTCTTTTTTAATTGTCAGTGGTTTGAAAAAAAATATTTTTTATTATAAATAAAATTTTTGTCGTGAAGTAAAAAAAATTTTTTTTAGATCCAATTTTTCCAGAATTTTTAGTACCATTTTTTTGGTCTGCGATTAACACACGAGTATGTCTTCTTATCTAGGGTTATTAATTTTGTTTGAGATATATATAAATTTTTTTTAAAAATTGATCTTCGTATGCATAATAAAATGCTATTTATATATCAGAAGGACCTTCATTAGCATGAAATTCTCACGACAGTCGAAGGACAGGATTCTTCGATAATTTAACAAAATAATAAAAAGATTATGTTCGAGGAACGTTTATATATATATATATATTATAAAATAAAAATATATAAAAAATCACTTACATACTAATTTAGGAAAATTATACACGAATGTGTAAATAAAAAGAAAAAAAATCAATGTATATAGAAACATGTTTGATAAATGAACATTTTTCCTTGTTTATTACGCTTATAAACTTAGTTTTTTTTCTCCTTACATTTTTTTACTTTTCATTCATTTTAGAAACAAAGAATGTTGGGAAAAAACTCCTATCATTAAAAAAAAATTTTTTTAGTTTCTTTTTTACTGATTTGAAAGAATCACTTCTTCCACTCTTCGATAATTTATAAAAAGAAAATAAAAACAAAAATTTATCCAAGAAGGTCACCCACATTTCTGATTCTATTTTTTTTCAAACTGGTTCAGTTTTACGAGAATTTTTCTTTTTATTCTATACTTTTTAGTTATTTCATACATTATGCGTTTTTAAGTTGATATTCATTTCAATCCAGTATTAATTTAATTCAATAATTAATAAATTAATTTAAAAAAAATAAATAAAATATAATAGTTTAATACTCATTAAATTTTAACATTTATTTATTAATTTTACATTATTAATTAAGTTTAAAAAAATAATTAACAGTTTAATGTATAAATAATAATTAAACGATGAATAGTTTTTTTCTGAACTTCTGTTCTATTTATCTGGAAATTAGTTCTGTTATCTAATATATTTTTTTTCTTTGCAAAAATTTTCAATTCTGATATAAGGATATTACTATTGCATAGTCATTATTTAAAAAGAAATGTATTACACAATCCGAAAAAATTGCAATTGACAATTAACCTTCTTTTGAAGCGTTAAAATTTTGTCAATAATTATATTTTATTAGTTAAAGTAATTTTTTTATCGTCTATCAATTTTTTCTTTTTTAAAAATTTGTAGATTAAAAATTAATTAATTAATTGCATAAAAAAATTAAATATGTAAAGAATATTTTATTAATTATATATAAGTATTTTTAAACACTAATTATGTCTACTAAAAACTCTACTACAAAAGATTGAAAACAAATTTTTAAAAAAAATTTTCAATTAAATTTAATTTTTAACTAATAAAATAAATAAACAAACATTGAAATTTTATTTTTTTAATTAAATAATAATAATGAACAATAATAATAATTATAAATAAATAATGTTAATAATAAATTAAAAATAATTTTTATTAATTATGTTCCATTTTAGTAATAAAACATAATATTTAATACAAAATAGTTTTAAAAAATTATAATTACAACTTTTATAATCAACTTTTTTTTTAACTTTCTGTAATTAAAAGAATATGTATTTTAATTTATTCTAAAGTTTTTACTTTGGAGTCATTACAAATTTGACGTAAATAATACTTATCGTAATTAACATTGTAAAAAAACAATTCATTAGAAATAAATCATATTTTTGTTTTTTGGAATCAATTGAATTATTTTTTAAAATAAATTTTCGAATAAAAAATTTTGCAATAATTTTTTTTATTTATTCGAGTGTTTTCTTCAATTCTATGTGATTTTATTTATTTACTTATTATTATTGTCATTATTATTAATATTATTATTGTATTAATAACAAAAACATTTATTTTGAAAATAAATAAATAATAATAAATTATAACAATAATAGTAACAATAATAATAATATAGTAATAATAATAATAATAATAATAATAATAATAATAAAAATGAAAAATAATTATAATAATAACAATAATTTAATTTAATTTAAAAATGTTTTGTTATATGTTCTATTGTTATTATTATAATTATTTTATTATTATTATTATTATTATTATTATTACTATTGTTATATAACTGGTGTTTATTTATTTCAAAGTTAACGGGAGTTTCCGTTAAAAATTATTGTAATTATTTTATTATTACTTTTACTATTGTTGCTACTATAGTTCTAATTATTATCACAGATCATTTATTATTATTTTATTTATTTTGAAAATAAACAGGACAATGCAATTATAATAAATTAAAATATGTGTCTGTCTCCTGAAAGCAGTTTCAACTTTCTACTCTAATGCACGGCGGGTTGCCTGAAGTTGCCTGTAATTTCTAACCTGTTTTTCCTAACCTACAAATACATAAATAACATAAATAACTTTGTTCACTTTGTTTACCTTATAATCGTGCGTGAATTAAGATGTAATACATTTAAAGACAACTGTAATCACTAACAATCCGAAGTAAGTAATCACTATACTTTTTTTATTTTTAAATTTTAAATTTCTAATATTTGGTCACATGGGTCACGTGATGTACACGTGACCACGTTAGGTTAGGTTGCCCAGGGCTTATTGATTGATTGAATAAAATGTATTATCAGTTTACATTTTAGAAATAAAAATCATATACAAACCATTTTTCCAATCGAGTGCTTCTTCTATTCTATTTCTTTAGGGGGAAAAACGAATCTTTTTCATTATTTTAAAACTCCACTTTCGGAAAAATTTGTTTAAAAAGAACAGTGCTGCTCTCTTTTCAAGTGTTCAACCTCAAATTTTCAGTAGTGTTCAAGCGTCATATCAATGAGCGTCGGTGTGTAACATAAAATGGCTGATGGTGACATTGATTTGTATGCCGACGATCTTGAGCAAGATTTTGCACAGGTAATTCAAGAAATTGTTCATTATAATCGCGATTATTGATATTATCAAATACCCATTGTCGGGAGTGGCTTAGATTTTTTTTCCGAGCTCTAATGGTGCATTGTGAAAATAAAATGGAGTGTTCGGTGATTCTGAAACTGTACAATTCTTAAAAAAAAAAATTTCGACAATACCGACTTCTTTTTTTTATGTAAACAAATTTCATTTTTCTTCATTTATTATTATAGTTTTTTTTCTAATAAGGTTTCTTGCAAGACACAAGAAAAAATAAACTGAAGTCTCTGCCAATTTTCACAAGTTTATAGTAAAACTTCATCGGGTAAAAAAATGGAGTTACTGGTGAGAGAAACCATCGAAAATTAGCCCTAGCTTCCTTTTTTTATTTTCTTAATATTAATTAATAATACTGCCTTTTAATTTCCAACTGTTCGCTTGTTTTTCTCTTTTTTTTAATTATTGAAGGCTCATCACACCTCCGTGTAATAATCGACCCTACCATTCAAAATATATTTTTTTTTTTGGTCGCTTATAGTTCTATTATAGCTAAAATATCCTTTTGCATGTATTTTTATCCTTTGAAATAGTTTTAAAAGAAATATATTCGTTTTGTAGTTGTGATTCACTGGTATTTTTTTTTGCTTGTTTTTTTCTCGTTGTAATACTTTTTTTTGAAATTTAGGATGAGTTCGCTGGAGATGGTGTCGATTTGTACGACGATGTGATAGCTGCTCCTCCAGGTGGAAATGGCGGCGTACCGAATAGTGAGAGAGATAGAGATAACGCCTCGCCGGGCGAGGAAGCTAATGGCAATTCCGCTTATCACCATGGAAACAATGTTCAATCTGGTGGTGGTGGAAGGCGTCATCAATTATATGTCGGAAATTTGACCTGGGTATGTTACATAAAAAAGGAGAAAAAAAATTGTTCAATTAAAATTAAATTTTTAATTATAAGAATAAAGAATAATTCTTCTCTTGTTCTTTTTCATTTTAAAGTGGACAAGTGATCAAGATATTTCGGATTCAATACAAGGTGTTGGTGTCACCGATTTTATTGAAGTGAAATTCTTCGAGAACAGACCAAATGGACAGTCGAAGGGGTTTTGTGTTGTTTCGTTAGGCTCTGAGCAGAGTGTAAGATTATGTATGGACCGTCTACCAAAGAAAGAATTACATGGACAAAGTCCGGTTGTAACTTATCCTACTAAACAGGCATTGAGTCAGGTAAGAATCGTCTTTTCTTTTCTTCTTTTATGTAAAGTTTTAACTTCTATGTAAAGTTTTAATTTCTACGTAAAGTTAACTTCTATGTAAAGTAAGAATCGTCTTTTCTTTTCTTTTTTTATGTAAAGTTTTAACTTCTACGTAAAGTCAATTTCTATCTAAAGTTAACTTCTATTGAAACGAAAAAATTTTATATGACATAGAGAAATTATTATTTTAGTTTGAATCACAAAGTAAATCCAGGGTTGCCACGCAACCTGAAAACCTGGAAATGTCAGGGAATTTTTATAAACCTTGAAAAAACCTGGAAAAGTCAGGGAAATTTGATTGGAATCCTGAAAATTATTGTTTTCTAAAGTTATTGTACTTATTCTTGAAATCTAATTTTATCTTAAATTCAATTTTCTTAATTCAAATTTCTTAATTCAATTTTAAAAGAGTTGCATTTACAATTTTTCTTCGCAATAATTCAATTATTTTCATAAATAATCAAAAAATTTATAGATTTACAATTATTTTCATAAATAATAAAACTCATCGCAAAATTTCAATTATTTTTATTACAATTTTTAATGGAATTTCTCGAAAAATGTATAATTATTCTTAAAAATTTTATTCAAATTCATCAAAGAAATTCAATTATTATCAAAAGTAATAAAATTCTTCGCAGAAATTCAATTATGGTCAAAAGTTTAAAAAATTTATCGTCAAAATTTCAATTATCTTTATAAATATTAAAATTTTTCTCCAAAATTCAATTATTTTTAAAAATTTTTAATGAAATTCTTTTTAACAAATTCAATTTTTTTTCCAAAAATTCTCCTCCAGTCAATGAGTTTCAATATCTACTATTTTAATAAAATTTTCCAAAAGAAATGAATTATTTAAAAAATTTTTTATAAATTTCTTCACGATAATTCTATTATTTTCAAAAATATTCAATTTATGTTTACAGAAATTCAATTATTTTTATAAATATGTAATACAATTTTTTACAGGGATTCAATTATTATTTTCATAGATAATAAAACTCATTGCAGAATTTCAATTATTTTTGATACAATTTTAATCTAATTCCTCGAAAAATGTGATTATTCTTAAAATTTTATTAAAATTCGTCAAAATAATGCAATTATTTAAAAATTTGTTAATAAAATTCTTTATGAGAATTCAATTTTGAGAAACATTCAATTATTCAATAAATTATTTATTTTTGTATTCTTAACAGAAATTCAATTATGGTCAAAAGTTTAAAAAAAGTTAAAGTCAAAATTTCAATTATTTTTATAAATATTAATATTTTTCTCTAGAATTCAATTATTTTCAAAAATTTTAATAAAATTCTTGGCAATATTTCAATTATTTAAAAAAAATTTAATAAAATTCTTGACAAAATTTTCTCAGAAATTCAATTATTTAAATAACAATTTTCATAAAATTTTTGGAAAAAATCAATTATTTAAGAAGATTTTTATCAAATTCTTGTCAAGAATTCAATCATTTTTAACAATTTTAATAAAATTCGTTGGAAGAATTTAATTATTTTCATAAAAAATAAAACTTATCGCAGGATTTCTATTACTTTTAATAGATTTTTAAAAGACGTCCTCGTAAAATGCAATTATTCTTAATAATTTTATTAAAATTTTTCAAAAGAATTCAATTATTTTTTTAAAAAATTTAATATAATTCTTCTTTAAAACTCAATTAAATTTCAAAAATTTGTCGAAATTCAATTATTTTAAAAATTTACTATTTCAATAAAATTTCTGAAAAAAATTCAATTATTTTAATAAATTTTTTAATGAAATTCTTCGCTAGAATTCAATTATTTTCAATACAATTTTAATTAAATTCCTCAGACGAACTTAAATTTTCTTTGAAACAATTGAATTTATATTTTTACAAATTTTATTTTTATCTTTTATTTTCATAAATAATAAAATTTTCTCAGGAGTTCAATTATGTACTTAATTTAATTAAATTTCAATTTTTTTTAATACAATTTCAAATGAATACTTCGAAAAATGCAATTACTCTTGAAAATTTTATTAAAATTCTTCGAAAGAATTCAATTATTTTCAAAAATTTTGATAACTTTCTTTATAAGAATTCAATTCAAAGAAATATTCATTTATACAATGAATTATTTATTTTTGTATTCAAATAATTGAATTCTTGTAGAACTTTCTAATAAGAATTGATTTAAAATTGAATTTCAGTTAAACCTTTAGATAATTATTTGAATATTAGAAGCGTTCTAGTGTGAATTTTAGAACTAATTAAATTTCAAAAGATTTTTAAATTGAAATCATTGAAAATTTCAATTGTTGTAAAACTGTAATAATATTTAAATTTTTATTTTGAAATGAAATGGTTGAAGTTAGAAATAATTTTAATTTTATTTAAAAATTTCATTAAAAAAATGATTGAATTTTGGAAAAATTACAGTTGTAATTTTTAGAAATAGTTAAATTTCAAAAAGTCTTTAGCTCGAAATGATTAAAAATATTTTAATTCCTGGGGAAAAATAAATAGATATTTAAATATTTATTTTAAAAAAATTATTCTATTTTCGAATGTAATTTAATTAAGTAATTATGATTGAAAGAATCAAATCAAATTTAATTTTTTGATAGCTACACTTTTTTACTACTTTTTTCAATCTAAGCTACTTTTTGCTACATTTTTAAAATTATTTATTTATTTAATATTTATAATTATTTATCTAAGAAAAACAAAGTTCCTAGTTCTAGAAATTAATGCGTACGAAGGAAAAAAAAGTTTTATAAGACAAAGATAAATGATTAATTTCAGTTTGAATCGCAATGTAAAACGAGACCGGCGCCTGCTCCACAACAAAATCAAAATCAACGACCACACACGCAACATCAACCGCAAATGCCACCACATCAACAGCATCCACAGCATCAGCCTCATCCGCAACAGAATCATGGATCGAGAGGCGTAATGATGGGTCCACCGCCTCCGGGTGGTCCTAGACAGGGCCAAAGAATGCCACCGCCGGGAATGGGTCCGCCAGGCCCTCAGGGACCACAGGGTCCGCCTAGAATGCATGGACCACCAATGGGACCAGTTCCAGGTTCTCATCATCCTCTTCCTGGTCATCCGAATCAAGGACCACCTCCTCCTGGTTATCAGCAAGGTCCTTGGAATGGTCCACGACCGAATGGACCTCGAGGACCCAATGGTCCCGGGGTACCACCACAGCAAGGAATGCCCGGACCTGGACCTGGACAACGTCCACCACCCGGAATGGTATTTTTTCTTTCTTTTCACTAATCATCAATTTTTCGATTGAAATTTCAATCGAATTTCAAATCGAATTTCAATCTAATGGAAAACTAAAATTAAACTTAATTTTCATTTCTTTCGGATCTGAAATATAAAAATATTTGATTCACAGCCATTCCATGGGGGACCACCAGGACCTCCTGGTCAAGGACCGCCACGTGTACCACCTGGACATCCAGGACCTCCACCCGGTGACCCGAGAGGAGCGCCACCACGAGGTCCCGATTGGAATAGGCCACCAGGTATGTTAATTTACAATTTTTGCTCCATTTTTATGAAAATATTGGAAAAATTCTAAAGAAACTCAACAGGCCTCGGATAGTATGACTTTTTGGATTTTTATCCACTATTTTCAAAACTGGCGACTTTTTTCGATTTATTTCCAAAAAATGTGACTTTTTCTACTTATTTTCAAAAAATGCATCCAAACATTACAACAAAATACTTTTTTTTGTATAAAACTGAAGAATTTTAATTGCAAATTTTGAAAAAAATTAAACTTTCAAAAAATTTTAATCAGATAGCAAATATTTTCGAGAAAACTATCATTTTCAAAATTTTTAAATAAAATCCTTTTAAAAATGTTAAATTGAAATTTCGTACAATTTTACTTGGAAATAATTTGATTGTTTATAAGCATTTCATTTGAATTTTTTAAAATCTTGATTTGAAGAATATTAATTGCAAAATTTGGAAAATAATTGAATTTGCAAAAAATTTTAATAAAAAATCACCAATAATGGAAATTTTAAAATGAGAAATTAATGAAAATGATCTTTAAAAACTTGTATTAAAATATTTGTTTAAAAAGTAAATTCTCCGAATTTCTTTCATTAGATTTTTTAAAAATTTAATTAAAATTTTGACAAAACATTTATTTCCCTAATTTTTAAATAAAATCCTTAAAAAAATGTTAAATAACTGAAATTGTGTAAAATTTTACTTTTTTGTGGCAACCATGTACTTCAAAATAATTGAATTTTTTAAAAATATTTTATTTGAATTTTTAAAAATCTTGATATGAAGAATATTAATTGCAAAATTTGAAAGTAATTGAACTTTCAAAAAATTTTAATCAAAAATTAATGAAAATTATCTTTAAAAAATTATATTGTAAATATTTTTTTAAAAAGTAATTCTTCAAATTTCTTTCATTTGAATTCTTTGAAATTCAATTACTTTGAATTAAAATTTTAAACAAAAGAAATTCTTTAGAAAACAATAATTTTCAAAATTTTTAAATAAAATCCTCAAAAAAATGATAAATAATTAAAATTTTGTAAAATTTTATTAGAAAATAATTGAATTTTTTTAGGCATTTCATTTAAATTCTTAAAAATCTTGATTTGAAGAAAATAATTCAAAAAATTGTAATAAAAAATCGCCAAATGGAAATATTTAAATGAAAATTTAATGAAAATTATCTTCAAAAAATTGTATTAAAATATTTTTTTAAAAAGTACCTAATCCTCCGAATTTCTTTCATTAGAATTTTTTAATTAATTGATGTGCAGAAGTTCAGTAATAAGTATGTTGTCAATAATAAAAAATTATTAAATTTTTAAATAATTGTAGTTAAAAAATTCTTTAAAATAATTGAATTTTGAGACAATTACATTTGTAATTTTTGAAAATTAGGTATTTTTGAATTGAATTAAATTTGAATTGAATTGAAATTGAATTTTAGAGGATTTAAATCTTTGCAATTTTAACTCCTGTGGAAAAATAAATAAGTATTTAAATATTTATTTAGCAAATTTTATGAAATTTTGAATAATTGATTTTAGAAATCAAAGTTCAGAGAAATACAAAATCAATTTTTTTGACATCACTGAATTAAATAAACGACTTTTTCAACTTTTTTGTATTTTTAATCGACTAAAGTGATATTTTTACCTTTTTTTATCCTTAAAGTCGATACTAGGCATGTACTCATATTTTTCTTCTAATTAAAAAAATAAGATCTATTTTATTATATTTTCAATGCAGTGGATACAAATTCTATACCAAACAATTATCTTGCAAATTAATTTTTTTACGTAACATTTTTATCACCTGCTTGTCGTTAAATAATTCCCCTTTCTTCTAGTTTAAAGAAAAAACAGGTTTTTTCATCAAAAAAGTATACGAATAAAATAAATAATAAATAATCACAAATAAAAATGTGACTATAAAGTTTCGTTTCCAGTAAAAACTTAAAAAAAGAATGCAAAAATTTAGTAAATAATTGTATTGATTTATGTAGGAATGCATCCTGGAGCTCAGGGACCACCAGGTTTCCCTCAACATCAACATATGCAAGGCCCTCAGCCTGGCCAAGGCCCACCACAAAGAGGACCTCCACCAGGTTCTATGGGTGGTGAGCATCTCAACTGATAATAACAAATTTCAAACTTCATCAATTTTCAACTAAAATAAAATGTTTAATGCCAAATTCAAAATTGGTCAATTTTTTATTTTAATCATAATAATTAAATAACAAAAATTAGTATTTTATATTAATAAAATAAAAAAAATTAGTTAATTTGTCATTTTAATCATCATAATAATAAAATAATAAAATTTAGTCAATTTGTTACAGTAATAATTTTTTATCTTTCATAATAAAAAGCAAATTAGTAGAATCAGTAGTTTTTCCAAATTTCTATTAAATCTTTCAGGCTAAATTTTAATTTGAGTTTTGAATTTTCTTAGGAATGATGCAAGGACCTGGGGGAATTCCACCGGGACATGGACTACCACCGCAAGGACCACCACAAGGACCTCCAGGTGGACCGGCGCCTCATGTTAATCCCGCATTTTTCCAACAAGGTCCTCCTCATCAACAGGGACCACCTGGACCAATTCATGGGCCACCTCATGGACCCGCTCACGGTCCACCTCATGGTCCTCCTCATCCTCAGCCTCATGGGCCACCACATGGACCACCTCACAATTATGGTCCACCCGCAGCCCAGGTAATTAGTTTTTAAATTATTGTGAACAATTTATTTCCTTCTTTAAGAGTTGCATGTAATTTTTTCTTCTTTCCATTAATTATTCATTCACTTTATAACATTTTTCGGTTAATTAAATTAAACAAGGTGTAGGCCTCGGATATTATGACTTTATCGATTTTTTTCGAGTATTTTCAAAAAATACTACTTTTTCGACTTTTTTTTCTAAATACTTCAATAAAATACCACATTTTTTAGTATAAAATTATTTTCGAAAAATTACATTTCAATATTTTTAAAAAACTAATTCTTAAAATTGTTTTATCATAATTTTTTAAGATTTAAGAACTACATTTTAAAAGAAAATAATTAAATAAATTTGCTTCTATTTCACAATTTCATTACTTTGGCAATGTAAAATTACATAGAAAAGGCAATTAGGTCCTCTTTAAAAAAAAAAATTTGATAAAAAAAAAAAAAATTTTTTTTTGAAAATTTGATCAATTTTTAAAAATATTTTTAGGTTCATCCGCCATTTTGAAAATTTAAAATTTGACTTCAAATTCGTATTCAGTGACCTCAAAAACCCCCGAGTAGCCAAATTCAAGCAAATTTGATCAATTTTTAAAAATGTTATTTTTAGGTTTATCCGCCATATTGGATCCCCCATTTTGAAATTTAAAAATTCGATTTTAGATTCTTATTGAGCAACCTTAAAAACTTCTTTTTAACAAGTTGAATGAAAATCTATTAAAATTTGTTCAAGTTATTCAAGTTTTTACATTACTAATTTTGTAATGGTTGATTGTTTATTTTATATGATACATTATCAGTCAACTGGTTGATTTACTATACATCTACGAAGAATTTTTTCAGTTTTTCCATCCCTTAAAACAGTAGTATACTTGAAATAACTTGTTTCTTAAACCTCGCTTAACTACAGTGGTGTTTACATTTACCCCGAATTTTAGGAAAATTTCAAAATCTCGGGGTAAATGTAAACAGTCAGTTTTAGGCGATTCAGGTGCATCAATATTTCTTTGTACCTCATAAAATTTTTCTAGGGAACTCTAGTAACAAGTTCATGCAAAGGAAATCCGTCCGTTTTACCTTTTAACAAAAAAAATTAATGTTTTTCGTGAAAAATAGATATTCTGTTTACATTTACCCCAATTGACCCTAATTAAAAAATTTTTGAATTATTAAAACATAATTAAAATTTTCTTGAATTATTAAAATATAGGTAATTAAAATTTTTTTGAATTATTAAAATATAATTAAAAAATGTTTGAATAATTACAATTTTGTAAAATTTAATTGAAAATAATTGACTTTTTTTCATCAAGTATTTTATAAAAAATTTTGAAATCAATTTTTGGAAATATGTAATTGAAAATTTTGAAAATAATTGAATTCTTAAAAATTTTAATGAAAAATCTTCAATTGTAAATTTTAAAATGAAAATTAATAAAAATTAGTTTCCAAAAATCATGTTAAAATATTTTTCCTAAAAGTAATTTTTAAAATTTTTTCATGTTTAAAAATGTTTATTAAAATTCTTCAAAAATTAATTAGTTTTTTTTTAAATTGTAAAAATATTCTTTTAAGAAAAAAAAAAAAAAAAAAAAAATTACAGTACAATATTTAAAAAAAATTAATTTTTAAAATTGTTTTATAATTAATTTGTTAACATTCAATTATCTCCAAATAGACTAATTTAATTTTTTAAATTTACTTTTTTAGACAAAATTTTTTTTATTAAAATTTCGGTGAAATCATGTTTATATTTATAATTAAAATTCTTCAGAAATTTGATTATTTCAATATTTATATTTATGGGTGATTCTCCGCGTAGCGCAGAATTTGGTTTATGAAAGTAAAAAAATTTTTTTTTATTGTTATGATAATTACTAATATATTTTTTAAAGATATAGGGTCCATAAAGAAAAATCCATGGCGGGCCGGAAAAATTGTTTATAATTTTTTAATTTTTTTAAACAATTTGAAAGAGAGATTTTTCAATTTCGTAAAATATTTAAATCTTGATATAAATTGTTCGGAATCAAAAAAGCATTTATCCAGAAAGATTTTCTAGCAGAATTTTTCCTGAAAAATTAATTACATTTGTTATAAACAAGTATAATAATTAACAAATTCACTGTTTGGACAGTTTTTGGCGTAAAAAGGTGTTTTCTTCTGGTAATTTATGAAAATAATAGACTTATTTATAAAAATTATTGCAGTAATTTATAAAAATATTGTATCGTGAATCTCAATTAAAAATTATTATTTCGGTAATTTATGGAAATTTTCAAAATAATTAATGGAAATTTATGCGGTAATTTATAGAAATTTTCGCAATGAATCATAAAAATATGTTCCACATAAGTTACAATTAAAAATTTTTAGTTTAGAAATTTTTGGAAATTTTCGCGGTAATTTATGGAAATTTATAGAAATTTTCGCGATAATTCATAAAAATATGTAAAACATAAATTATCATTAAAAATTTGGATTTCCGTCATTTATGGAAATTTTCGCGGTAATTTATGGAAATTTATGGGGTAATTTGTAAACATTTTGACAGTAGTTTATAAAAATATGTAAATCACAAATTAGAACTAAAAAATTTGACGTCGGTAATTTATGGTAATTTATGGAAACTTTCGCGGTAATTTATGGAAATTTATGCGATAAGTTATAAACATTTTGACGATAGTTTATAAAAATATGTAAAACATAAATTGGAACTAAAAAATTGAACGTCGGTAATTTATGGTAATTTGTGGAAATTTTCGCGATAATTTATGGGAATTTATTTGGTAATTTACGGTAAATTGACTATGATATAGTTTATAACAAGTTTTGTTATTTTTCTTTATGTTCCATAACAATAAACTTGAAGTAGTTTCTTGATAATCCAATGCCGGTGAAAAGTCTGAGGTCGGTGGAAATTTTAGGCCGGTGGAGACTCTTAGGCCGGTAGAAAATTTTCAACCGACCTCAGTATTTTTTTATTTTTTGAGAAAATTATCATTAATTATCAATCGGTTTCAACTGGATCTCATTCGTATTGACCAAAGCAATATAATTACGCTTCATTTAACATTTTTTATAAATAATTATTTAATTTATGCTAAAATATTTTAGGGTCGGTGGATGCCGGTGGAGACTATTTTGTGATTCCCTTTTCAAATTTCAAACTTGAAATGAGTAAAAAAAGAAATAAATTCATTAGAAAATTGATTTTTTTATGGATTAACTTAAGGAAATTAATTTTTTTCTATTAGTAAAGCAATTTAAGTAAACATTTGATTTTTTATTTAAATAATTCACTGTTTATTAATAAAACAAAGAATAGCACCCAAAACTGTAGTCAAACAGAAACTGCAAAAAAATATACAATAATTGTTTTCTTTAAAAATCTTTTTTTTTTATTTAAATCTACTAAAGCATATGATACTAAAATGTCAAAAATAATTGTGTTTATTATTGCATATTACTAAAAATATTAACATTTTTCTTTAAACTTCCTGCGGGGACAAGTCAAAATTGGACGTTTTTAGCCTTAAAATCACTTATTTAAGAAAAATTATAATATTAAACATAGATGTATCTATTGGTTTTTATTTATAAACATATAAATTGCCTTCTTACGTCGGAATTATAAAAATATATGAAAATTATTTATTATTTTTCCTTCGCAACATGGAAAAAATCAAGTTCTGCGCTACGCGGAGAATCACCCTTATATGTTTCTAAACTTCAATTAATTTTTAAAGAATTTACCAAATTTCGATTATTTTTAAAAAGTTTTTACCAAATTTCAATGGTTTGGAAATTTTTTCATTGAATACAATTGAAAAACTATTATCCTTCAAAAATTGTTTTAAAATATTTTCAAAAACTTAATTTTAAGAATTTCTTTATTATAATTTTTTGAAAACAATTATACCCTTGATAACTTTGAAAAAAACATATACAGTTACAATTATTTTATAAAATTGAATTTTTGTATTTAAATAATTGAATTCTCGAAGAATTTTTGAAAAATTATTAAAAATAATTGATTTAGAGATGAAGTTAAAAATTGTAGAAAATAATTGAATTTTTGAAGGATTATAGTTGTAATTTTAAGAAATTATTTAATTTACAGAAGGTTTTAAATTGAAAGTTTTTAAATCTTATTTTCCGTGTAAAAACAAATAAGAAGTATTTAAATAATTATGTAAGTAAATTTGAAGTTTTGAATGATTGAATTTAGAAATCAATGAATCAGGGGAAGTCAGAGAAATACAACATAAAAATTTTCTGACAAACCCTCAATTAAATAAACGACTTTTTTTCTATTTTTAATCGATTGAAGCGACTTTTTTTGCCCCTTGAAGTCGATAGAGGCCTTTGTAACATTTTTCCCTTAATTAAATTAAAGAAGGTAACTAAATTGAAAAAAAGAAAAATTACATGCTTCTGGTACATGAAAACTGTTTTGTTCCATTCTTTTTATTTTTGGGTTTAAAATATTTTTTTTCGCCTATCACATTAAGATATTAAATATTTTTCAGTTAAATTGCATGAAGAAGTATTTAAAAATTCAAACAAGGAGAGAAATACGCGCTAACTGAAAGAGTGAGAGAAGAAAGAAAATAAATTTCTCTCTTGAATTTTTCGTTTTTGTTTTAAAGCACTCATTAAATTAATTCCATTGAAAATGTATAATTAAAAGAAAACTGTTCATATCTTCTGTAAATATTATCGTTAAATGTTGTTATTATGAAATAAATTTTTAGTTGCATAATACGTATAGTTTTTAATAAGAAAAATGTGTTGCTAATTTTTATTCTCTTTCAAAATATTCAAATTTTATTGAAAATTCAAAGAAATAAATATTTTATCACTTTGTGTATAAAATATAATTTATATATTTATTCTTCGTTAGAAAACAATGTGTCACTATTTGAAAATTTTTCGTTATCATTTTTCATTTTAGAAATTTAGTCAATTTTCATTATTGTTCATCGAAATTTTTATATTTGGTATAAGTATGCAATAGTTCCAAATAAATAAATAAATACAATAAATATTATAAATAGATAATAAATTAATATAAATATTTAAATATTAAATAAGTAAATAAAGTAAAGTATATTTAAAGAAAAAAAAGTATACGAAAATATATTTAAGATTAAAAAAATGAATTTAATAAAGTATGATTATTTCTTTTTAATTTTAGGCACCGTACGGTGCTCCGGCTCCTGATCACAGAGCTGACGTTGCTCCACCTCTCAGCGAACAAGAGTTTGAGGAAATTATGGGACGAAATCGAACAGTATCGTCGTCGGCAATTGCCAGGGCTGTTTCTGATGCTGCTGCAGGAGAATATGCGAGTGCGATTGAAACACTGGTCACTGCAATATCGTTGATAAAACAATCTAAAGTCGCTGCCGATGATCGTTGTAAAATTCTCATCAGTTCTCTTCAAGACACCCTGAGAGGATTGGAAACAAAGGGTTATGGCTCATCCAGAAGGGGTAATTTTCAAGCTATTTCAATTTCATTCCATAAATACGAATAAAATGGCAAAAATTTTTTAAAATAATTTAATAAATTATAGAATACTTTTTTTCTATTTATGGGAATTTTATTTTTATTTCTAGTCAGAAGCCTTAATCACTCGGCCAAGATTGCTTTTTTAATTTATTTTGCAATGAAAAAGACTTTCATAAGATTATGTAACTTATTTTTCAACTGATTAATTTGAATTATAATTATAAAATATATTAAGGCAACAGCTCAGAATAATTATTTTTGTAAAAAATGAAAATATAATTACAGAATTTAATATTAAGGCAACAGAATATTTATTTTTACTATTTTTTGAAATGAAATTATAATTAAGGTAACAGTCCGTATATACGTAGAGAAATAAGCAATTATTTATTTATTTAATATTTTAGTAATTAATATACAAAATATTGAATTTCAGTTTAATTTCAGTATTTAATGTACTAAAATAAATATTTGTTTCGTTAACAGAGCGATCGAGATCCCGTGAGCGAGAGAGAAGTCACAGAAGGCGTCGTGAAAGGTCCAGGAGTCGCGATCGAGAGTACAGGGAACGTAGCCGTGAACGTGATCGAGATCGTGAGAGGGATCGTGATCGTGAACGTGATAGGGATCGCGATAGGGAGCGATATTACAATGAAACCTATCCCAGAGAGAGATCACGCAGCAGAGATCGTGAGCGAGAACGTGAACGCGAACGGGAGTACAGAGAGAGAAGCCGAGAAGAAGCGTAAGTTTTCAAAACAAAAAAATTCTATTTATCAATTTGGATTTTTAATTTTTTTTTTCTAATTTAAATAATATTATATAATATTTTAATAATATAAACTTGGATAATTTGATAATTGTAACAGGCTTCGCACTCGTCTACTAAAACCTACTATTTACTATTATTTATTACTTTCTTTTATTATTTGGACTTTTTTTTTATTTGTGACACTAAAAGCTACTTTTTTCTTTTTTTTTTTAGAATTTTTACTACTTTAAACCCACTAATAGTTGAAATAACAAAAATTATTTATTATCTTCAATATAATCATAAATTCAGAAATTACGTATTCAGCTCGTTTTATTAATATTACAAAATTTTGTTGCTAAATTTAACTTTATTAATGCAAGCTAATCTAATCTAATCTTTGTCGATTGAAATTTCTCTCTATTTAAATTTCAGACTACTAAAATTTTACGTGTTGATAAAAAACTACAATTGATTCAAATTACAAAACATTAATTAATTTACAAGTTAAATTGCTATAATAATCCATTACTTTATCAATTATTCATTTCTGTATTTAAATTATTCGAATTTTCGTATAACTTTCTGAGAAGAATTGTTTTAAAAAAAATTTCAGAAAATAATTGAATATTAGAAGCGTTATAAATTGAAATTTTTGAATATTTTAATTGTTGTAAAAGTATAATAATATTTAAATATTTATTTTTAAAAATTATTAATTTTTCTAAAAAATTATTTCGGTAAGGGAATAAATTAAAATTATCGAATAATTAACATTTCATAAATTTGAATTGTAAACAAGTGGAGTTCAGAAATGTTTTAGGTGAACTTTTATTTATTTCAATAATAATATTTTTTTTCTATAAATTAATTCTCAAAGAACTTTCTCAAAAATTGTTGAAAATAATTGACTTAGAAAACTAATTCATTTTAAAATTTTTTTAACAAAAAGTTTTAGTTAAAAATAAAGAAAATAATTGAATTAAAATCTTGAAAATAATTTTGGGAAAGTTTCGGTAGCAATTTTTATAAATTATCGAATTTCAAAAAGTTTTTCAAAATTAAAACATTTCGACATTTTAATTGTTGTAAAAGAATAATAATATTTAAATATTTATAAAAAAGAAAAAATTTATATTATTATTTTTCTAAAAATTAATTCAAGTTTTGCATAATTTTTTAACAAAATTCTAAAAAAAATAATTGAATTTTGCAAAAGTATATAAGTTGTAATTGTCATAAAAAATAATTGGATTACCGAAGATTTATCTTTGAAATTATATAAAATAATAATTCTCCTGTGGAAAAACAAATAATAATAAGTATTTAAATGTTTACTTAACAAAAATTATTAAAATTTTGAATAATTTGCTTTAGAAATTCTGAAAAACTTAGTTTTTTAAAAAACTGTATTTAATCTTTTTGAAGATAGTTGAAGTCCCGAAAATAGCAATTTTAAAAGACTAAAACAATTAAAAATTTTGTCAAAATTCATTGAAATAAATTTTTTTGATTTAAAAGAATTTTCTTTTTGCTTTAAAAAATTATTTTTTATGTATTTTTTTTTAAGATTTTGTATTTTATTTTATTGTCTTTTGTAGTTTTGTTGAATTCTAACTGAAAATTTAGAAAATAATTTGATTTTTTCAAAAATTTATAATTAAAGTTACTAACACAATTGTTTTGCATTTTTTTTTAAAATTCTTTTTGTATTTTTTTTCAGTATGTAAAATCATTTTTTTTAAAAATTAATTCACGAGTGTGAAGCCTGTTTTAATAATAAATAATTTCATATACCTAATAATGAAAAATAATAATTCAAATGAAGAAGAAAGAAAAATTATTTTATTTCGTTTATTGTCCTAAAGAAGCAATGACAAAAAACTTTTAAAAATGAAACGTTTTATAACGAAATAAAAGAAATGAAAAGAAAAAAATTAAAAAAAAAAGAAATGAAATGAAAGAAAAATAAAACAAAAAAATAAAATAAAAACAGAAAAGAAGTACAAAGAAAATAAAACAAAAAGAAAATAAGGCAAATAAATAAAAATTAAATGAGAAAAAAAGCGAATAAAATTTCATATTATTTTAAAATTCGAAAAATAGGAACAATTGAAATTTTTTTGCAATCAGTCTCAATTATAATTGTTTTAATCATATCCTGCAATAAAAATTAAGCGAATATTTTAATGTTAGCTTGTTTTTTGATTTATAAATTTATTTATTTATTTCTTGATTTATTTTAATTCTAGTTTTTATATGAAAGTATCCTTTGAATAAAGGATATTATAATAAAGGATATTATTATTCTGTTGGAATAAAATAATAATTTTGTTAGTAGTAAAATAAATGATCATGGGAAGGTGAAAAATTGAAAAATTCAATGTATCGTCAAAATTGCGACGGAAACGTCGAAAACGACGTTAGCCAACCTCATCAGGCAGATTCGTTAAAACATAAAAATCGCGTTCTAACTCGTCAATATAAAAAAGATTTCATTGAGAAAAAATATTTTTTTATAACAATTTCCACATATATCAGAATTAAAAATGAAAAATTTCTTTATATGAAAGGAAGACATTTCAGCACACTAGTTGACAGCTGAACTAGTGTGTTGAAATGTCTTCCTTTCATATAAAGAAATTTTTCATTTTTAATTTTGATATACATATGTGGAAATTGTTATAAAAAAATATTTTTTCTCAATGAAATCTTTTTTATATTGACGAGTTAGAACGCGATTTTTATGTTTTAACGAATCTGCCTGATGAGGTTGGCAAACCTTAGCCAATGAAACGTCGCAATTTTGACGATACATTGAATTTTTCAATTTTTCACCTTCCCATGATCATTTATTTTACTACTAACAATTAAACTATGGAAGGATTTAACGCTTATCACTCAATAAAATAATAATTTTGTTTTCAAATTTTTGAGAGCAGTATCCATTAATCGTAAAATTATCATAAAAAAACAATTTTTTAATAGTGCAACACATACGTCTACGAGGCCGAGAGTGAAGGAAGAACCAGCAGAGACGCCATCCGTCTCATCTTCTAAAACATCCAGGTAATATTTTTATTTTTAACTCGAAACTAATTGAGAATTTTTTCACAAAATAATCAAAATTCTTTTTTGAAATTTATCAATTTAAAAAATTTTCCTGTAGTAAAAATTCTCTAGTAGTAACAATAAAAAAAAAATAAATACTTTATCTAGATATTACGACGATCGATACAGAGAACGAGATCGTGAAAGAGAACGCGAAAGAGAATCAACTCGAAGACCAGCTGAAAGAGAACGTGAACGTGAACCAGAACGCGAAAGAGAACGAGAACGCGATCGTCGTGACGAGAGAGCAGATTCAACACATCGATCTCGACACTGAACAAAAACAAACAAAAAAAATACGAATAATCAACAAATTTAAAGAAAATCAACTTCTAGACTGCAACTAAAAGAATTTGTTGCAAAGCAATTTTTGATCTTCGGGGGGGCATAACACAAGGATTCTAATTTTGACAAGATTTTTTTCCCAGTCATATATAGATTTTTAATTATTCTTAAAATTGCTTTTCACGGGACAGTGTCTAAGCAAAAAAAAAGAGAACTAAAAATGATTTTAATGATTTTTTTCTCTCTGTCTCTCTCCATTAATTCAGTTTTTTTCCTGTTGAGTGACGAATACACAGGCACACAATTATAATACACGTGCATTTTACGTTACAAGTAAATAACATATTTTACATACTTATTATGTAATTGCGTTGTAGTTAAGGGATCTGTTTGTTTTTTTTTAATTAATTTGAAAGCAAAACTGCCTTTCAAAAAAGTAGAGAAAAAATAGTTTTTAATTCGAAATTGTGCACAGCCTGTGACGAAGATTTACCAAGTAACAAGATTTTAAAGAAGAATGAAGAGAAAACACTTCTGAAATTCAACAATCATCTATCTTCACGACGTTGCAGATTGTATCTCAATATAATACATATAATCGCTTGAAAAAAAAAATATATATGCCAAACGTGTCTTCAGTTTTATTCATCTGTACACACAAAATCCTGTAATAATTTTTTTTTTAATTTTGCTTTTCCAAAAGCAAAAATATTGTTCTTCGACAAATATTTTGCACGGAATGAAATTCCTTCATTCCACCGCTTTTCCTGTAAATATCATTGTTAATCATTCTTTTTACAGGAGAAAAAAAAATTGTTTTTAAGTCGCTTGTAAGCACTTTTTTTTGTGAAAAAAGTTTTTATTTTTTTTCTGACTAGAAAATTTTTTGATACAAAAAAATATTTCTTTCCCTTTTTGGGAGAAAAATTACTTTTATTTTTAATGTTTAATTTGGAAAAAAAAGTGTTTTACGATCTTAAAAACTTTTTTTTAAAAAAAGAATATTTAAATACCTGTAACTATTAACGGTATTGCCAGTTCAATTATTAAGAGATAAATGTGCAATGACTGAATTATATGTGAATAATTATTATTGTTAAGAAAATTTCTGCACTTTATTAAAAATGTTTATTAATTATCAAAATTATTCGATAATTAATAAAATTGAATTTTATTTCAATATATGGAAATTTTGTAAAATCGAAAATATTGGCAATACCTGCGAAAACTACAGTGAATCAATCTGTCTCTCTTTAGATTTAAGAAAACAAACGCGAGTATAAAGTTCCTTATTTTCTTTGTAGTTCGTAGAAATCATCTTCACGAATCACAATTTGTTTTCTCTCATAATTCATTATTTAGAAAATTGTCCTCTTTTTATTTTACAAATTTTATATACGATTTTAAAAGTTACTACTTTTTAGTAGAAAAAAAGAAGGTAAAAATGTTATTAATTTTTTTTTTAAATATTCCTTTTTCTTTTTATTTTACAAATTTTATAAACATGTTTTTAAATCATTAAATTATAGTAAAAGAAAAAGAAGAAGGAAAAATGTTATTAATTTTGTTTTGAAATGTTTGTTCCTTTTTCTTTTTATTACAAATTTTATACACATGTTTTTAAATCTTTAAATTAAATAATACTAAAAGAATAAGAAGAAGGAAAAAATGTTATTAATTTTTTTTTTTTGAAATGTTTGTTCCTTTTTCTTTTACAAATTTTATATACATGTTTTTAAATCATTAAATTTAAATTAAATTATGCTAAAAGAAAAAGAAGGAAAAAATATTACTTTTTTTTTGAAAAGTTTATTCCTTTTTCTTTTTATTCCACAAATTTTATACACATGATTTTAAATATCACTAGACAAAAAGAAAAAGGAAAAATTTTGTTTAATCAAATTTGAATGAAAAGACGTATATAATTTTGCTTTTGTCAAAATTTTGAAAAAGAACGAACTGTATCTATAATTTTTTACCAAAATTTCATTTTTATGTGCATGACTAGAATTAAGAAACAGAAAAATTAGTTCGATATTTGAAAGACCAAAAGTCCAATTGACAAATTGTTATGAATTGTGTGATAATTTTTAAATATTTAAATATAAAAATTAGTAATTAGTAATTATAATAATTAAAATAATTAGTAACTGAAAAAGGAGAACAAATGAGAAAAAAAGAAAAGCTTGTTTCCAAAAAGAATTTTGCTTTTTGAATAACAAATTGACAATTAGACTAAAGGTTGCGCAAGAGAAGAAAAAATTGATAAAGCGAGAATTGCTTCCGATTTCTTATTTTTTGTTATAATTTCACTTAATTTTATTTTTTCCCCGGATAAATTACACTCTGGTCACTGTATTTATTTTAATCGAAATATTTATTTATTTTTAAGAATCGCTCATTTCGATGAGAAGCGTTAAAACAAGTTTATAGAAGCGTATTTCCAATTAATTGATTGATTAATTATTATTAATCAATTAAAAGTCAATCATCAAGTAACGCATGGTACTCGATACTTTAATTACACTTGATACTAGTGATTACCGAGGGTACTCAATATTTTAATGTGATTTTGAAAGTACCAGAGGCAAAATTTGTCCTCGAGTAATTTTTAGTTATATTTTTTTTAGATAATTGTATTTTTTATAGAATATTCGTATATTATTATTATATTTATATTATATTTTAAATATATAGAAATAATTAGAAATTAATAAATTAAAATTATTATTTTTAATAATTAAATTCAATTAAAATTAAATTCAAAATTATTAAATGTAATAATATTACAATTATATTAATACTATAATTATGTCTATATTTTATATTTATATAAAAATAAAAAATTATATACTTTATTTCTATAAAATATAATTATAGTCACATTGATAAAATATAACTATAAAATTTGTTCATAATTAATTTATTTATTTCGTAATAAGAATTACTATTTTCTTAAAGAGATTACTACAACTTTTGTCTTTAGTACTTTCAACAAAAATTTGTTTAATTAAAAAAAATATCACTACCTTATTTAGAAAAACTAATTTTTAATACATTTTTATAAAGAAAATTTCAAATGAAACAAAAAAAAATGCTTAAATCATTTATATTTTTCTCAAGATGCAAAAAATGTTTCTAAATAATTGTAAATATTCAAATTTCAATTTTAAATACTTTTGCAAATAAAAGAATACAAATATTCTTTTTTAAACTAACAAACAACAAATTATCTTATTTGTTAAATTATGTTTTTCAATATTGAAAGCAATTTTTTTGTTCAAAATTAAATCTAGATATTGAAAAAAATTTTTTGAAATAATTAACATGTTTTTTTCTGTGAAAAATGAGTCTTGAGAAAATTGTAATTGACGTTCAAATTTCATGATAATGGAAAATTGGCTTTTTTCCTTTTCATAAAAAAACAAACACTTTGTATTAGGAAACAAATTGTAGCGTTATTCGTAAATATTTTGATTTTATATTACACATCACTAGATGTTGACTATTTTTTTTTTATTTTAAAAGAGAAAAGCAGCGAAAATATTTTAATCGCGATTATAAATTAATGTAATTATTTATTTCAGAATGATTGTTTGGTATTTTTTAATGTGATTTGCATAATTTTTCAAAATGGAAAAAGGATTTTTAATTATTTATATTAATAATATAATAATAATTATGTAGAATGAAAAAAAATTATTTGATTCAAATAACCGACTACTTGTCTATTATCAAATAAATATTTACTTGAATCAAATAATTTTTATTTAAGTCAATTAAATTGTATTTGAAACCAATAATTTCAGTATTTGAAGCAAATATAAATTCAAATTAATTGATTTAAATAAAAATTATTTAATTCAAGTAAATATTTATTTGATGAAAAACAAGATGAATCGGTCATTCGAATCAAAATTTTTTCTCAGATTATTAACAATTTATATTATCAAGAATAATAATAATAATAATAGTATAAAGAGCTTAAAATAGCCAAATTTTGCAAATATTGCAAAAGTAGAAAAAATTGCACCTCACGTTAGAAAATAGCAACAAAAAAACAATATTTCTTTTTTTGATTTTGAAAACTAATTTAATCTAATTTACTAATTTTGCGAAGGAACGTCATTTGTTGTACATAATGAACAAATGAATTTCAACAGATCGAAATTCTGCGATGGACTACTCTTGTACTCTTTTAAGCCAAGATTTTATCATTTATTATTTGCTATAATAATTTCTATCACATTTTTAGCAACTTTTGTTAATTTAAAAAAAAAGAAAAAAAAAGAAAGAAAGAAAGAAATGAATTTCGTTTTACTTGGCTCTAATGCTGCAGCGACAATTGTTACTTGTCCTGGGCGTAAAAGCGACTTACAGGGTAAGTGTAAAAATGCTATGCAGCTATAATTCTTCATCACCAATTTTTTATTAGTGTGAATTTCTTATATTGACAAGTTTTAATGATACCACATTTCTAATATTGTCAAATTATTATAAATAAGATTTGTGCTTTAGAAAAAAAAAGAAGGAAAAAAAAATCCGAGCGTCTGAATTCCGTGTGGATTGAATTATATTTAGTGCGTTTTTGACAATTTTATAATTTTACACCATTTGAGATTTTTCTGTGAGTGTTCTTTTACTGTTTTTTTATTCTAAAATTCAATCACTATTTTATTTTCGCTTGTTTGTATTTTTTTTATTACTATTTATTTATTGTTGTATTTATCAATTTATTGTTTGTAATTATTATTTTTCAACTTATTGTTTGTAATTATTATTTATCAATTTATTGTTTGTATTTATTATTTATCAATTTATTGTTTGTAACTATTATTTATCATTTTGTTTGTATTTATTATTTACCAATTTATTGTTTATAATTATTATTTATTAATTTATTGTCTGTATTTATTTATTTATTTTTTTATTTGCATTAAATAAATATTTTTATTTTATTTATTTTATTGTCTGTATTTATTATTCTGTATTAATTTATCGTTTGTATGTGCTCTTTTGAATCGTATATAATTTATTTCTGCAATATTAAATGAGGTATCATGCAATTGTAGTTATTGTACAGTAATTAGAAGAGAAAGAAAGAAGATTTTTAATCGAAAAAAATATGAGACTGAATTACAATTAATAATAATAAATTTAATTGTATAATAAATTGTATTTACATTTAATGTTAATAATTAATAATTGTAAATAACGACAAATGTAATTAGAGAAAAAAAGAGAATTGAAATTGTAAATTTAAGAAAGACTGACTATTTTTGTAAAGTAATAATGAGGTCTCATAGTTTTTGTAAAAAAAAAAGATTGTCATGAAGGTGTGAATTGAAAACAGGAAAAATTAATTTAACTTTTTGAGATAATTTCAAGAATAGATTATAAATTGCAAGGCCGATCGTAATTTGTTGGAAAGAAAATACAAAATATTTTCTATTTTATTTTCTTTTATTTTGTAGAGGAGAAAAAAATTTTTTTTGTCAAATACTAGTATTTAAGGAAAATAGATTTAGAACAATAAAAAAAGAAAATGATAAATTTTGTAAAGTGCACTGGAAAAAATGAATTAAATTTACAACAAAATATTTTTAAATATTTTTGCATATAAATTATTTTTATATTTTAATCAAATTTTTATAATCAGGAGAAATGAAAATTTCAAAATCAGGAAAATGAAAAGAAAATGTTGTTCAACAAAAATTCAACAAAGAAAAAAAATAATTTTACCGAAAAAAGTGAAAAATAAATCTGAGAATTTGCCTATTGAAATAATTTAATTATTTATTATGTAATTATAACACTGTATGTTATATAATTATAATTTTAATTAATAATAGTTAATAAAAGTAATTGTTCAACGAAATTTACAATAATTTAGAAATCAAAAAACAAATTCAACAACATTAATAAATTGAAATTAATTGTTCTACGAATGATAAAATAATTTGCAAATTAATGAATTGAGAAAACTTAATACGAATATAATTAAAAATAAAGTAATTTTTTGCAAAAATATTTTGTAGTAAAAATACAAAATATAAATTAATTAACAAAAACTCAATACGAATATATAATTTATAATTAGAAATAAAGAAAATCTTTTTGCAAAAATAAAATATTTTGTAGTAAAAATACAAAATAATGAATTAATAAAAACTTAATAGGGAAATAATTAAAAATTAAGGGAGTTTTTTTGCGAAAATAATAAAATATTTTGTAATAAAAGTACAAAATATTAATTAATTAATAAAAACTCAAATTTAATTAGAAATAAAGAAATTTTTTTTGCAAAAATAACAAAATATTTTGTAGTAAAAAATACAAAATGTAAATTAGTTAACAAAAACTCAATACGAATATAATTAGAAATAAAGAAATTTATTTTGTAAAAATAAAATATTTTGCAAAAATATTTTGTAGTAAGAATACCAAATTTTTAAACAATTAATTAAGAAAAACTCAGTACGAATAATTATAATTAGAAATAAAAGAAATTTATTTTGTAAAAATAAAATATTTGGTAAAAATATTTCGTAGTAAGAATACAAAATATTAATTAGAAATAAAGAAATTTTTTATTGCAAAAATAACAAAATATTTTGCTGATAAAAGAAAATATTATTTTCATTGCACTTAAAAATTTGAAAACAAATTTTACAAAAATTTTGATTGTGATTGAAAAAAGTTACTATAAAATTTTATAAAGAACAAAGCAAAGAAAATTTATACTTAAAATTAAAAAAAATTATAAAAAGAACAATTGAGACAATTACAAAAAAGTCTTATTTGTAAATATTTTACAAACTGTAAAACTTTATTAATATAATTATTAATTATTTTTATAAATTTTTTATACACAAAAAGTAACCAAAGTATTGTTATACATCGTATTTTTTTATATTTTTTAATAGATTCTATTTTAGAATTTGAATATTATAGTTTAAAAAACAATAAAAAATTGTAATTATAATTGAAACAATGAAATTAATTCATTGTTGTGATTATAATTGAAAAAAATTAATATCCGCAACGAACTGTGATGTATTGACTGATCAACATATTTTATTATCATAAAATGTTGAAATTATCTGTGATAGAAAAAAATCCCCTTCTTAAATCTAAACAAAATTTATAAACTTAATTTATTTATAACAATTTATGACAAAATTTATAAAATTTTATATTTTTTGTCGCATTACTCAAAATTTGTTAATAACCGTTATTTTTTTCTTACTTAATAATTATTTCCTAAATTTAAAAACAAATCTGTGCACTATAAAAAAAATCGTTCAATTTCCTAATTAACAACTTTTGTTAAATTCAAAAAAAGAAAAAAATTCGTGCACTATAGGAAAAAAAGAAAAATATCTGAGAAATTTTGAAACAAAATTATATTTTCTTATTGTAAATGTTTACTTTCTTTCTATTGTTAATATTGCAAAAATTGTTAATTTTCATTTCGGGAATTGTTTTACAAAAAATAAATCTCAGTAATGTATTTTTTTCTCACGCAAATAAAGAGATTTATTTAATTTCAATAAATATTTATATATATTTATATATATAGAATATTTTATACGTTTACTTTTATTTTTATATGTTAATTTTTATATTTTACAGTAGAAATATAAATTTTTTCTTTTTATATTAAAGAAAAAAAAAATGTTGACACAAATATTCAAATCGTTGAAAAATACAAAAATTTTATACATATTTGTTCTATTGTGTTAAAGACAATCGTATGAATATTTATACATTCAATATTTTTAAAAGGATAATATCAAATTTTCAAAATATAATAGGTATTTTGTACATTTATCAAAACAAAAAAAAAATCGAACAAAAAAGAAAACTTATCATTGTCGTATATATTTATTCGCTCATGGATAATAAAACCGTGAAATAAGAAAATGACGTTTTCATGCCCTGAAAAAAAATTATAATTACATTTAATTTGAAATTTTTAATATATCCAGGAAAAATAATAAATCTTGTTCAAGTATTAAGTAACGTAATTAATTCAGTAATTAATTATTATATAAGGTAATTAATTCAGTAAGTATTTATTATGCCTATAATATTCAATTAATTCAGTAATTAATTATTATGTGAAGTAATTAAGTAATTAATCATTGTATGAAAGTTATTAACTAATTAAGTAATTAATTCTTGCATAAAATAATTAAGTAATTAATTATTGCATAAAGTAATAAATTAATTATTATACTAATTAATTATTATTATACCTACTAATTAATTAATTAATTATTATACTAATTAATTATTATTATACCTACTAATTAATTAATTAATTATTATATTAATTAATTAATTAATTATTATATATGTAAAGTAATTAATTAATATACAAAAGTAACTAATTATTTTTCTATATTTTAAAAAATCATTTCAATTGAGAGGAATTTAAAAAAAATTTGTTTCAAAATCCAAAATAAATTCCCCTTTTTTTGGTATAAAGTAGAAACAGATTTTTTTTCATAATTGAAAAAGATTTAAGTCAAATAATCTTTTTGACGGTACAACAATTTTTTTTCTAATGGAAATTTTCTGGGTTAATTGTTATATGTTATGAAATATAAATTTACCGAACTGAATGATTCCATAGAAAGAGTGAATATTCCACCAAATGCCTGAATTGTGCAAGGACGACGAAAACTTCGAACCATTAATAAAATTAGAAGCTTTTGCGCTTTTACTGGCATTCTATACCATTGTGCACTGTTTCTGTAATTAATATTAGATATAATATTAATTTAATATACAGTGCGTTTTTTATTTTCAAAATTTATTTATTATTGTTATTTATTTATTTATTTCATGTATATACGGGTAAAAAAACCCTTTCGTACAAAAGTACTAGAATAATGCTTAGAAAGAAAAAATAAAAACGTAATTAGCAAAAAAAAAAAACAATCTGCGTGAATCAGCGTTAGATCTAGTAAATTAAATTCTGTAGTAATCAAAATTATTATAATACTCATTGGCATCTACACAATCTTATCAAAAGTGAGTATATAAATAGAAAATAGTAATTGAATTAACATCTGTAAATAGAAATAATAAATGCAAAGTTTGTAAATTGGATTTCGAAGAAATCAGCTGACTAGATAAAGGGGGTATTATTATATATATTTTTATTATTAATTATTATTCTCTGGGTGTAATTGTATTAATTAAATAATAATTATTATTAAATATGAATAATATTATTTTAAATATTAATAATATTATTATAGAATAATAATAATTATTGTTGTTATTTAATTATTATTCTTTGTTGTTATTATTTTTATTCATAGTTTTTATTAAGATTTATCAATTTTTTATAGAACTTACACTGAATCCCCAATTGCTTCACTAAAATTTATTAATTTTTGTCCTGGAAGGGAATTATAAAACAAATGTATCACCTGTCCCATAGCAAAGGGCAGAATTTGCATAAATTCATTAAATGTTTCTAATTTTACCGCGGCCTGTATAAAAAACAAAACGTGTTGCTTAATTAGTTTAATTGTAGATCGAATTTTCCGAGAGAATAAATATTTCTTATCGAACAAAAGTTATAATTTTGTTAAATTACACTGAAAAGAAAAATTGATTTTATTCAAATAACCGATTACTTATAATTAACTTGAATTATATTTTTATAATTATATATTTAGTTGAATCGAATAATTTTCATTTAAATTAAATAAATTTTATTTGAAGCAACTGATTAAAATTATCATCATAAAAGTTTAAATTAAATAAAATATTTTAAATAAAAATTATTTGATACAAATAAATATTTATTTGATAATATAGACAAGTTGTCGGTTATTTGAATAAAACAAATTTTCTTTTTTCAATGAAAAACATGAACACCCAGAGAAAAATTTTATTTTTTCCAAATATAATTTATTTGAAATAAATATAAATGTATCATTGTCTCAGAGCCAACTAGATTATTTATTTGCTTTAAATAAAAATTTTATCAGGCATAAATAAAGCTTTTATTTGAATTATAAATTTAATTTTATTTGAATTAAATAAAATTGTATTTGAATTAAATAAAATTGTATTTGAATCGAATAAAATTGTATTTAAATCGAATAAAATTATATTTGAATTAAATAAAATTTATTTAAACTAAATAAAATTGATTTTAACCAAATAAAAAGTCAAGTTGACTCTGAGTCGAATTTATATCTTTTTTCTGGGTGTATATAAATTATTTTCTACTTACCACATAACTAGTTGCGCTCAATAATATCAAACATGCCGATAATTGTAAAAATAATGCTAATCCATAAATAGATTCGACACATTCAGCATGTCTAAGGAAGAAGAAAAAATTATAAGTACACTAAAAAATTTCTTGTCTTACGAATAATAATAATAATAATAATTAGTAATACTTGATTGCTTCTCGGTGATAAGCGATACAAAGTGAAACTTCTCTTATTATTTGTTCATCATTTTTGGAAGTACGATTTTCAGAAAATTCCAAATCAGAATTTTTTATAATATTCTCTAATCGGTATCTAAAATTTGATTTTTTAATTATTATAAAAAAAAATATATTTATTATATAATATAATATAAAAAATTTATATCTTAAATAAATTATTATTTACATTTTTTCATAAATAAATAAATCGAGTTTTTAAATAATCAACTATAATTTGAATATAAAGGGAATATTACATTTCATATTCGGAATATTCGAGTGGAATGTTCCAGGGTTCTTAAAAAAATATTAAAATGTCCGCTCCACAGGAATATTCCAGGTTGATGTTGAGGGAATATTCCCCGGGAATATTCCAAAATTTCATACTTTGAAAATATTTGACATTTTTTCTTTTTTTCTGCTTTCTTTAGTGAAAATGAGATTCAATAGTATTTTCAACATATTTAATATTGCGGTGGAACATTCTCCTCAACATCATCCTGGAATATTCCTTCGATATTACCGTGGGACATTCCCTCAGTGTTATCTTGGAATATTCCTCTGGGAGGACATTTTAATATTACCTTAAGATCCGTGGAACATTCCACTAGAATATTCCGAATATGAAATGTAATATTCCCTTTATATTCAGATTATATTACGTGCTGCTTGGGTTAAAATTATTTCAATACAAAATTTAAAAAATAAAATGTTTTTAAATTAAATTTTTATTATTATCTACTTGAAAAAGGTGTTTTAATTAACTAGAATTTTTTCCATAATTATATTAAAAAATTAATTTAAATTTCTTTTTAAAATTTGATAATTCAATAACACGGATTAAACGGAAGGTGAATAATAAATAAATATTAATATTATAAATACTTTGTAATAATATCTATAACACTAATTTTATTACGAAATAATTAAAAAACATTTTTAACAAAATAACAAAAAGGAAATAATAAATTAATAGTACTAATAGTATTATAAAGTAATAATATTAATATTATTGTAGAGTAATAGTATTAATATTAATGCATAATTTAATAGTTACTAAAAATATTTTATAAGTTAATACTATATATACTCATTAGGGATTAAACAATAATAAACGATTATTATGATTCTCAAATGAGAATATAAAAAAAAATATTCTTAACACTCTCCCAACAAATGCACCCAAGAACAAAACATTTTAGGTTATGTTTACAATTTTTGGAGTACAAATAAAGAAAGAGAATCAACTATTATTGCAAAATACTGATGTTCAATTCTTCATTATATCGAAAATATTCTATAAAAACTGTATTCAAATTTCAATAATTAAAAAGGAATTTTTAATCAAGAGAAATGTAAAGCAAACATAACCTCAATTCGTTTGCTTCTTATATAAGACCTTATTCTTGGGAGCGCGTCACATTTTTTGAAATAATATTTAAAGTCTAATAATAATTTTTTTTTTATAAATAAAATAATTTTTTTTTCTAATAAAATTAAAAAAATTTTAATGTAATTTTAGTGTTTTGTACCGTAAGACGGAGAAAATTCCACAAATATGTTCAACATATTTCACGTACATTGTATCGACACAAATGACAGTTGTCATGTTTAAAAAGACTGCCAATTGCTCATGAAATAATAGGATATAAAAATGTTTTTCATCATCAACTAAATAATTTGATCTGTAGACTCTTCTTTTTGGACGAGACTCATTTAATGGATTAATAATATCGAGAACTTGTGGCGTGTATGATGTGAGCAAAAAAACAGACATCGTCGAATACACGAGAACTGTTAACAATTTGCATTTTAATTATAATTATAATTTTTTACTTTTTTTAAAAACTTAATCAATAATTTTACTTAAGGAATTTTTATTTTTATTTGTAGAAATTTAATTATTATAATTTTACTTGTAAAAATTTAATTAAAAATTTTACTCAGAGAAGTTAGCTGGAAATTTCATTATATTTTTGCTTCGGGAAATTTTATTATATAATTTCTTTTTCTGAAAACTTAATTTTTCTCTACTTTTTCATTTGATACAAAGAAAACAAAAGGAAATTATTTTAATTAAAAAATTTTACTGAAAAAGAGGAATTTTTTTACTACATTTTTGTATAAAACGTACTCTATTTAGTACTATATTTTATACAATATTTTTACTATATATAAAAAATCCTTTTAATATCAAAAACCAAAAATAAAATTATATTAAATAAAAACATTGCAACGAAAAAAAATTATTTTTTAAATTCTTCAATTTTTGGCATTGAAGGGGCCGTTCAAAAAATACGTAACGGTAATTTTTGGAAATTTGGACCCCCCCTCCCCCATGTAACGCAATTTTGTATACATTAGCGCCATTTTTTTTGCTGACCGTAGCAAATAGCTTGACCCCCCCCTCCCCCCTAAAGCGTTACGTATTTTTTGAACGGCCCCTTTTTCGCTAGAATTTAATTTTTAAAGAATTATTAATTATATTATCTTTGATAAAAAATAAGTTTTTGGATAATTTCCAAATTATCAAAATTAATTATATTAATTAAAAATTAATTAGAAAATATATCTGATTGAAAAAATTGTAACAATTACCTAAATACGCAAGAATTATAATTTTTCCCTTATCCGAACCATTTAGCAGAATTTCAACTTCCTTCTCTGACATCATCATCCAATTTGATTTGAAACGATTAAGAAGATTTTTCATCTGTTTTTATTTTATTTCATAATAAATGAATATGTAAATAAATTTATTTAAAAAAAAGTCAAAAAAAATTCTCATTCTACTTTTTGTTGCTGAAATACTTCATTGTCAACACGCACCTTTTTTTTATTGAAGACACAATTAATTAATTTTCCAAATACTCCTATGTTGGTCAAGATAATTGTTATATTGTTCAGAATTTCATCAAAATTCAATTCTAATGTTATAAGACCAATCACCTATTAAATCAACGTATTATCAACTGGTTCAATTTTTTCCCCTTAATTGTTGCTCGCTTTTCCATCAAAAATAAAGGATAAAAATAAATATATTTGTCATTCGCAATTTTTTTACTTCATAAAATAAATTTGTATAGTTAAATTCATAATATTAATATTATATTTGTTGTTTTAAATATTAATCATTACGTGTATAATTTAATTTTTATTTATTAATAAATAATAATAGTAGTAATAATAATACTTAATAATAAATTAATATAATAAATAAAATAAATAAATAATATATATAATTATAGGTATATTCAGTCAATTCTCGATAAACTGACTTTTGGAAAAATTACAGTTGTAATTTTGAGAAATAATTTAATTTCAATTGGTTTTACATTGAAAATATTTTGAAATTTTAATTCCTTGTGGACAAATAAATGACAAAAAGTATTCTAAAAGTTATTAATAAACAAAAAAATGAGGTTTTTAAAAAATCGAAATAAAAACTTTGTGAATATAGTTGAAATCTCCTAAAATAATTTTAAAAAATTGAAAAAATAGGAGATTTTCTCAAAGTTTATTAAAATAAATTTTATATTTCAAAGAATTTTATTTTTTCACTTTCCTCCCACCCTCCCTCTATTATTTCCAAAAAATCCCAACCCGAAATATTCTTTTCCTTTTAAAATCAAGTGTATTCTACGAAACCACTATTTTTTCCCGGATGACCTTAAAATAATTCAATTATCGAAATTAAAATTTTTTAAAAATAGTTAAATTTCCGAAAATATTTTTAAAATATTAAAAAAAAAATAGTAAAGTCTCCCAAATTTCATTAAAATAAACTTATTAATTAATATATTATTTTTCTTTAAAAATTATTAAATTATTGAATAAATTTAATTCAATAATTCTAAAAATTCATTGACTCTTGGAAAAATTGCAGTTATAATTTTTGGATATTTTACATTTGAAAGAATTTAATTTCACTCCTCTTAAAAAATGTACTTCGAAAAATTAGATTTTCTCTAAAACAATAAATTTTTTTCAAAAAGAAAGTTTTTGTAATTAACAAGGGGCTTGAAAGTTTAAATTTCTACTTAGTAAAATTTACTTACAATTTTTATTTATTCTGGAAATTTAATTATAATTTTTACTTATGAAAGTTTACTTATAATTTTTACATATGGAAATTAATTTATAATTTTTAATTTAATTCCAATTTTTACTTATGGAAATTAATTTATAATTTTTAATTTAATTTCAACTTTTACTTATAGAAATTTAATTATAATTTTTTACTTATGGAAGCTTAATTATAATTTTTATTTGAATTATTGTAGTGAAAAACACTGGAAAAAATACTTGAAATAAAAAAATTACTAGAAAAAAACTTCAATTATCCAAAGTTTTATTTATTGTAGTAAAAAAATTCTGAATAAAGTACTCGAAATGAAAAAAAAAAATTTAAATTATCCAATTTATTTATTGAATGTTTTCACTATCAAAATTCTTCCAAATTTCCCGAAATTAACTTCAATTTTTTGACCGTTTGAGTATCAAAACATTATTGCGTAGTAAAAACTTTGAAAAAATTCTTGGAATTAAAAAAAATTTTTTTTTAATACTTCAAAAAATATTTTAATTAACCAGATTTTTATTTATCGAATGTTTTCAGTATCAAAATTTGTTCGCAGAACCTAGAAAATAAACTTCAATTTTTTCGAAAATTTCAATTATATTGAGAGAAATGCCTGTCTACGAATTTCATAAAATTCAAAATAAAAATTAAATTACACCACAAAAAAATTCAAAATAAAAAAAGAATTTTTATGACAAATATATTAAAGAAAAAAAAAAAATCGCGCCACATAAAAATAAAAAGAAAACAGTTCTTTTTTTTACTTGATTTTACTACCGTGACAATAGTAAGTGTTGTATTCATAAAAAAATAAATCGACGAAATAATAATTGTCTGTTTTCTCGTTTGAAATGGCCATTGTCCAATGAAAGACGATAAAATTTTATTTAATCTAAAACAACGATTATCAAAGAAATCCATAACTTGTGTGATAGTTGAATATTAACTGAACATGAAAAAGTAGTTGACTTTTGATTTCAAAGAATAACAAAACATATTATGACACAAAAGTTTCACAGAGAATGAAATTATTTATTCATCAAAATTATATGGTGTTATTGCGTGGAAATATCAAATATTCTTTGTCTCTAGTTCAAAAGTTATAATTGAAACATTTAAAATGTATAATAATAAAACGCACAAGTTTTGTATATATGTATATATATATATATATATATATAATAATTTTAAATTCATGGGAAATTTCATTCAGATTTCCAAGAGAGACATATATAACATAATTATATTTTTTTTTCACATGCACAGAATGAACCCCTTTACAGTTTTATTGATTTTAAAGTCATTTCAAACTTTATCTTCAACAGCGAAACATCGAAAGGACAATTTAAACAAATATCTTTTATTATTAAAAAAAGATAAGAGAAAAGTCCAATTTTTATTATTCCTATTATTTAAAAAACATTTTTTGTCATGAAAAACAAATATTTTATTTCTCAAAAAATTACTCTTAGTGAATTTTATTACTTTCTAAATTATAAGAAAATAAAAATATTATTTTATTTTTGAAAAAAGTGCATTAAAAAATATACTTTAATTATTTAAAATTTCTTTTGGAAAGTCAGTGGAAAAAGAAAATAATAGTCAGACGAGAGTTTACACTCTAAATCTCAATCAGTGAAAATTTTACTGATTTCAATTCAGTGGCCCAGTTTTTTTTTTATGAATCCGTGAAATTTCACTGACAATCAGTGGTTTTTACTGATGAATTAAAGAAAACTGGACAACTGAATTTAAATTAGTGAAATTTTTACTGATTCAGATTTAGAGTGTACCACAAAAATCATATAAATTAGACATCAGTAGTGAAACCAATGGTATAGTCAGACATTTTTCGTAGTAGTTGTAGTTTTATCGAATTGCAATAATTTCCTTATTAGTTGAAAAGGATTATTTCAGTGAGAGAAGATCCTTCCACATTGGCTTGAAAATTCAGCTCCAGTAGCGAACCCTATGGTAAAATCAGACATTTTCTATTAAAACGTAAAATTTTCTCGAATATAAAAATAATAAAATTATTTTTTTTTCAATTATTTTATTTTTATTATTATTGTAATATTTTATTATTATTAATAATATTATTATTACTGTAATAGGTATAATTATTATTGTAATAATAAAATTATTAAAATTCCGGTAAATTTATTTAAATAAATATCAAATAAAATTTGATTTAAGAAAATATTCATTCGATAAAAAACAAGTAATCGATTATTTGATTAAAATAAATTTTTTTCTGATGGCGTATAAGACTTGAAATGTTATCAAAAAACTAATTCTATTATAAACAGTAAGAGACAGTTTTCGTGAGACCCAAATTTTTAAAAAAAATTGCGTGTTTTTTGTTTTGTAGTCTGATTTTTATTTTCAGTAGAACATGTGATTAAAACTCAGAATAGGTTATGAAATTTTCACTTTTTTTATTTATTTTTGTATGAGTAGATAAACCAAATGTACAGTCAGAGACTGAAAAAATTTCTTAACTTTAATAATACAGTAGTTATCGGCAATTTATAGTCAGACATGCCAAATTATCGTAATTTGGAAAGACAGTAGTTAAAGTCAATTTATAGTCAGCCCCCTGTTCTTTAATTTACTAATAAAGTAGTTAATGTCAATTTATAGTCAGTCATTCCAAAAGTATTTCAATTTATACTGATGCAGTACTAGTTAAAATCAATTTATAGTCAGACACTCCATATATTTTTTATATAGTGGTATAGTAGTTAAAATCAATGTATTTTTAATGTATTTTCGAATCAGATTTTTAAATTTTTTAATCTAGTACTAGAGTAGGTAAACTCAATTTATAGTCAGACATTGAATTTTCTTTTAAGATATTCCTATATACAGTAATTAAAGTCGATTTTAGTCATTTACTCTAAATTTGTTAAATTTTGTATATAAATATAGTAGCTAAAGTCAATTTATAGTCAGATTCCCCTTATTTTTTGTAAAATTTAATAATACAGTAGTTAAAGTCAATTTATAGTCAGACACTCCCAATTTTTTTAAATTTACAGTTGTACAGTAGTTAAAGTCAGTTTATAGTTAGTCCCCTGGTTTTTAATTTAATAATACAGTAGTTAATGTCAATTTATAGTCATACATTGCAAATGGTCGTAATTTTGAAAGACAGTAGTTAAAGACAGTTTATAGTCAGACATTTAAAATTATTTGTGTACTCATTAGTACAGTAGTTAAAGCCAATTTTTAGTCAGCCCCCCACTTTTTAATTTAATAATACAGTAAATAATGTCAATTTATAGTCACACACTCCAAAAATATTTCAATTTATTGATAAAGTAAAACCTACTAGTTAAAATCAAATATCACACCTATAATTCGTAAATTTTAACCGAATTCAATTTTTCTTTTTGGAAAATGCCAGGCAATAAATTTGTAAGAATACTGTGCATTTTTTAAATTTCTATTGGTTTAAATAAATTATTATTATTGTTAATTACTAACTTTTTTTTGTTGAAAATACTCGTGAAATAAGTGGGAATCGAATCATTGTTATTAAAAACAAAAAAAAAATTGCACTTTTCAAAAAATTGTTTATTTAAAAATTATTTTTTAAATAATTTGTTTAAAAAAAAATTTTTTTTATAAACTATTTTCTTAAATTGTCTGTAAATAATAAACATTTCCTGAAAATTTCATTAAATTTCATTTATTTTCCTTTCAGATATATCATTTTCAAAATTTCAAAAAAAAAATTTTAAAAACCTCGTAAATCCAAAATTTTTAAAAAATTTTCGAAATCGATTTTGGGCTTTTTACTGGCATGTATTCCACTTCAAAATTTCGAAGTTTCAACAAAATCGAAGAAGTAGGGGACAACTTTGATTTTTTAGGCATGGACCTACCCTAATACAGTATAGTTAAAGTCAGTTTATAGCGAGACACAAAAAATTTTATTAATTTTGTAATAAAGTAGTGAAAGTCAATTTATATAGTCAGACAATTAAAATTCTTTCAACTCAGTAATACAGTTTATAAAATCAGTTTACAGTTAGAGAGTTAAAAATTAATTATAAATACAGTAGTTAAAGTCAGTTTATAGTCAGACACTTTAAATTTAATTAATTTTGTAATAAAATAGTGAAGGTTAATTTATTGTCAGAAAATAAATATTCTTTTAACAGTAAAAAAAGTTGTTGTACAGTAGTTGAAGTCAATTTATAGTCAGACTTATCAAATTTTTTGAAACTTAGTAAAATAGTGATTAGAGTCAACGTATGGTTCACGCCCATTCGCCCGAATCCACGCGCCCGAATCGAAAATCCCGAATATAATTTCGCCTGAATGACAATTCACCCGAATCCAATTCCCCGAATGGTTTTTCCCGAAGCCATTCGCCCGAATAATATATTTGCCCGAAAATAGTAAAAATTAATAAATATAAGAATGAAAATAAAGAAATTAAAGAAAATTAAATTTTAAAAATTCAATTGTTCTAATAACTCGAAATGAACCAATAAAAAATAAATATTTCCGAAATATTATATTATTTTTTGATCAGTAGTGCAGGACAGTATCAGGTCAGTCAGAATGTTTCCGAATTAGCCCAATATTGCTAGTAGTAAAGGTCAGTTTCAGCCAGACAATTATAAGTATTACCTTTTTTTATTCTTTCTTCCTAACGTACGACTGCTGATTTCGAAATTGTTTTTAACTCAACAGTATAATAAAATTCACCTTTGTTCAGACAATTTTCGTTAACATTTTTTTTCTCTTTTTTCAGTTTCAGTAGAAAACCCCAGTTATAGTCAGACAAAGCACCCCTCAATTCTTGTGAATATTGCATGTCAATCTAGTTCAAATTCACTTATAATTTCACGTTCGAATTGAAAAAAAAATCGATTCAAAAATCACTTGCTTCGAAATTAAACATTCCGTACATTAAATTACTACCGTCAAGAACTAAATAGTCGACTCATAAATAAAAAATAAAAGTAGACCCATAAAATATTAAAAACAATCCATAATTTCTTCTGCAAAAATTACACGTTGCTTTGAAAATTTTCTTTTTGTCAATTAAAAACTTTTCGATTGCGTCCAAGAACAAACGTTTATAAATATACAGTGAACGGTCAACAAACTATATTAAAAAAAGTGGGTTAAAATTTTGAATTTTTCATTATGCAGCACCAGGTCTTTAAACCTATTACAGTTCATTTTGTCTCAATCGATAATTTTCCCATTCTATCTAACCTGTTATCTTTCATGTGTAAAAAAATATCGATGAAAAAATCTAGATCTATAATTAAGAAAAAAAAACATAAATTACAAGACTGTGGAAAATTATAACTGTAAAGTAAGATTTCATATACTTTTTCTTATGTCTTCCAATTTTCAGAACCTATTCTATCAATTTTTGTTCGTAACATTTTTTCCTAATAGTGCATTCCCTTATTTTCCTCTTGCATCAAAGGAATAAATTTCCAAATAGTTTATAAAATTATTATTTTATTTTAAAATTAATTTATATTTAATATAAAAAAATATTATTTTAACATATTAAACTTAAATTATTTAGTATATTAAAATTGTTGTTTTAATTTTTAAACTGTTCTTTTAAGTTTTTTAAGTTCTTTTAAGCTTTTTTTCACAAAGTTTGTAAATTATTATTTGAATTTAAAATAAATTTAAATTTAAAATAAATATAATTTTTTTAAATTTATATATTAAAGTTGTAGACGTTTTATTTTCAAAACTTTTTATTTTTAGACCGTTCTCATTTTGAGAGACGCTTTAATTTTCTTATATTTAAAAAAAAATTTACCATCTATGTTTCACTTTAGTCTTTTTCATAATTTTCTTACCATTTTACTGTTATTGTTATTATTTTAAATGGAAAAATAATATTATTTCTTTGTTAATTGTCAAAAAAACTTGTAAGTAAAAAATAAAAAATAATAATTCAAAGCAATATGATCAGTTTTGAATGTAAAAAATATCTTCTCGTTATGTTTCTGTTTGCCTTGGCAACGTCAACGGACATCGAAGTAAGGGCAAAATTTGCTAAGGATTATTTTCAAAAAAAGAACGTTCATAAGGTTGTCAGTTTTGGATGTTTCAACAAAGATGGTAAGAAGAAATTCCTATTCTATTTATTGAATAAAAATTTTAATTCGAAAATATTTTAATTTTGAAAATAAAGTTTTTGATATAAAACAAATTTACTTTAGAAAACGAATTTTTCAGTTTAGAAAACAAAATTTTTAGTTTAGAGAACAAATTTTTTAGTTTGGATTTTTTTTAATTTTGAAACTGCATTTTTAATTTAAAAAACAAGAATTTTAATTCAGATAATAAACTTTTTTAATTACTTAATTACTTTATTTATTTATTTCCATATGTAAACGAGCTTAGAAAATTGTCATTTTTTAGAAAATAAATTTTAGAATTTAGAAACTATTTACTTAAAGTTTCGAACCTTCAAATGAATGACAATATTTTTATTACTTCGTTGAATTTGATTTTTTATTTACTAAATATTGTTTTTTCTAATCCGAAACTTAATTTTTAAGTTAACTAAATAAATATTTAATTAAAATATTTTTAATTTCATTAATTTTAAAAATATTGGAAATTTGAAACTCAGAAAAATGATTCGTTTACTATATGAACGTTCAAAAATTAGAAGAAATAGAAAATAAGTTTTAACTTAGAAAATAAAAAGCAGCTGTTCAATTTCATTTTTAAATTAAATTTTTTATTTCTTCATATATTTAAATATATAAATGGCCTTACAAAAAAAAAAAAATTTCGAAAATCAATTGTTTAATGTAAAACGTAAATTTTTTTTTAATTTAATCAAAGAATTGATTAATGTAGAATTTTTGTAATTTTCTGATTAGAGAAAGTGTCGTTTTTTCGAAATTTTGAAACGGAAGTTTCTTATGTTCCAATTTCGAACGTCATCAATATGCGAAGAATTTTAAGTGTTGATTATTATAAACTTGGAGTATTTTTGGACATGGATTGTTCTGATCATGACAAAATTTTACACGAGGTAATCTATTTTTTCTAATTCGAATTAATTCCCTGCTTCTTTAGTTATTAAAATATTATTTATTTGTTTAATTCAATTTAATAAAAAATAAAACATTTTTAAAATTATCTTTTAATTTCGACTAAAATAAAATTTAATATAATATTTTACTACCTACTATATAAAATGAATTAGCAAATCATAAGTCAATTTATTAATTTAGTAGTAAAAATTAAATTAATTAATAAATTATTTAAATAGTACAAAATAAATTAATGAACATATTGATAAATTACTAAATTTTACAAATGAGTAGAGTTTAAATTTACTAATTTATTAAATATTGTAATTTTACGATATTTCGAAATGTCCTGTTTGACTAAAATTATTTTCTACTACTGTTATTTACACAAGAATTTTGAAACTCTGACCAAAAGTGTATTTGTACTACTAGAGCCAAGTTTCTAAAAAATAATAATGAAAGAAAATTTCAAAATATTTCCAAAACAAATATACTTTTTTAATAGAAAATTATAAGCCCTATGTCTGACTATAACTGTCGTGTACTACTAATAGTACCAGAATTTTGCCTCACTAAAATCGTCATTTACCACTGAGAACAAAATTATTATTATTATTATTATTATTTGGGAAAATTCCAACCCTTTTGGGAATTGTCTGACTATACACTTGGTTTTACTACTGATATGAAAGTTATTATTAACTGGATAAAATTTTAACTTCTCTGGCAAATGTCTGAAAATATGGTAACAACTTGAAAAAAATTAGCCTTTCTGACTAAAACGATGTTCTACTACTAATGAACATATTTATTATAATTATGTACTATTTTCAAGCTTTTCGGAAAATATCTAACAATATTATTGATTTTTCTACTTGAAGCGAATTTGCAAAAAATTAGAAATAAGTTGTCTGACTAAAATTGACTTTTATCACTCGTGCAAAAATTATTTTTATTATCAGAGACAAAATTCGAAATAAACCAAAAAATGTCTGACTGTATCATTTCTTTTACTACTGGTAGTGAAATTATTATACAGGCAAATTTCAAGCGCCTCGAATCGACTTTCAGTCACAAAAAGATTATTTTTCTGACAAATTTTTTTAATAAAAAATAATTGAAAAATAATTTAAAATTAGTCCTAAATTAATATTTATATTCAAAATTATTTATTTTTCATAATTAAAAATTGTAATTCTCCCGGAATTTAGGGACATGGTTTTAATTTATTTTTCAATTCTTAAAAATCTAAACTGAATTTAAAATATTTTATTTTAACATTTGTAATTCAATTCAGTTTAAGTAAATACTACTCGATGATACATGTTTATATTATTAATTTTTTTTTTAATTCAGTTTACCCGGAATAAACTTCTGTACAACGAATCATATTACTGGCTATTAATAACAAAAGAAGAAGCGCCGATAAATCTTTTGGAAAAATTGCATTTAGCAGTGAATACAGAAATGACACTTGCTCTACAAAATACAGAAAATATTCTACTCTATGATGTCTATAATCCCAGCTTTCGTCATGGTGGAAAACTAAATGTCACCTTCATGGGAACGTGGCAATCTCACGATGGCCTTAAAATCGACTTCGATCAGTATAAATACGAGCGACGTAGAAATTTAAATGGTCTTCAATTAAATTTTTCAATATTTGTAAATTTAATACGATTATATTATTTCATTTTTATTATTAGTTTAGTATTTCTAGCAAGATTTCTATTATCCCATGCTCTCTAATTTTGAATTAGTGAACATATTTAGAAATTTTAAACACTGACTGAATTTTTGCTTTTGATTTAGTAAATTTTACTAATATTAGTAAAATTAAATTAATTAAATTAAATTAGTAGATTTTCACTAATTTGAGTCAGTGAAAATAATTTCTAATTTGAATTAACAACTTAATTTCTGCTTTTGATTTAGTAAATTTGACTAATAAATTAGTAGAATTAAATTAAATTAATAGAATTAATTTTCACTAATTATTTAAATAAGTGAAAATATTTTCTAATTTGAATTAGCAACTTAATTTTTGCATTTGATTTAGTAAATTTTACTATAATAAATTAGTGTAATTAAACTAATTAAATTAAATTAGTGAATTTAATTAGAATTACTATATATTTATTGGTAAAATTTTTTAATTAAAAATTAAAAATTAAAAATTAAGTCGCTAATTCAAATCAGTAAAAAATTTTACTACTTCAAATTTAGAGAGTAAAAATAAGTAAATTTCTCGAGTAGAAAAAGTCTAAATAGAAAATTTCTGATTCGAAATATTTTTCAAATTTTTTCACAGCTTAGTCAGGAGCCGAAACCAGATTTAATGACCTATTTGTCAGTACCAGAAAATACACACTTAGATTCTATGCATCGATATCATTTTAATTTAATTCGTCAACTGAAGGACATGTACAATTTTTCGTAAGTGCGAGAAAATATATAATAGTTAAATAATATTTATAGAAGAAAATTTAGTTAATTTATAAAAAAATATTTTTTAATACGTTTGATAATTTAATAATATAATATATAATTATTAGTTAATTAAAGTATGTAATTATAATGAATTTAATAATAAATAATTAAAGAATAATAGTAAATAATAATAAATAACAAATAAATATTTATGATGTTTTATAATAGAGAAAAAATGTCTTTTTTATGTTTTATAAATATAATAATTGTATCTATGTTTGCTAATAAACAATTACTAATTAATTTGCATATAACATTTATTAATTAAAATTTAGTTAACATTTGTAAATTAACATTTGTTAATTAAGATTTAGTTAAGATTTGTTAATTAAAATTTAGTAAATGTTTGTTACAGAAAATTATAAAAGAATCTTACAATTTTATTTTTGTATTTCATATTTTGTTTGATAGAATTCATCTCACTCAGGGCACAAATTGGGGTTATCTTGTCAATGGAACTTACACTGGAATAATGGGTGACATGGCAAAGGGAATAGTGGACATTGGAGCCACTCCATTCATGTTTCTAAAGGATCGTTTAGATATTTGTGAATTTACAGTTCAATCCTACGTGGCTAAGTAATATTTATAACAAAATTAATTAATTCCTATTTAATAAATTTCTTTTTAAAGCGTCATTTTCATCCAAAGTTTAAAAATATATTTTTAAACTTTTTTCCAATAGAAAAAAAGAATGCGCGCGACACATGTAAGGAGAGGGGATAGTGTTTCTATACCACTGACGCTATCCCCTCCACCTGAAAAGCGCGCGCATTCTTTCCTCTCCAGAGATGCCATTGGGCGGAGGAATTTCATCCCCACTCTTGCACCATTTTACATTTAAGTCAATGTAAAATGGCGCAAGAGTGGGGATGAAATTCCTCCGCCTAATGGCATCTCTGTTCCTCTCCAGCAATCAGTAATGAAATAAAACACATTACAGTCGAACCTATCGGAATGCAACTCTATTTTTAAATTTTTTTTTGTATTAAAAAATATCCAACAAGAATTATTTTCACTTAGTTCCAGAATATTGTAAAAAATATTACAAAATTAAATTATAAAACAATTTTTTAAGGATTTTTTACTGTAATAAAATTTAAAAAATCAAGTTGCATTCCAACAGGTTCTACTGTATAATATACAAGAAACTTTTCTCTCCAATCGAAAATAAATAAAACACATTTAAATTTTTAATATAAGAAAAAAAATTAAATAAACCAGAAGGTTTGTTTATTATTAAAATAAATTAAAATAAATATTTATTTTCCTTTGCTGCAAGAATACTTGCTATCTAGGTCACTATTAAAATATAATAAATCTTTTGATGTATTACACATAAATAATTTTATTTAATATTAATGTATGACATTTTTTAAAAATATTTTTAATTAAACAAATTTTAGAGGCGGTTTAATGTTCCGTCATCCGAAGAAAAATAATATAAGAAACTCTTTTCTGAAGCCATTTGAGGAGAAAGTATGGTGGCTCATGATTATGACGATGATATTAATTTGGATTTTAATTATTATCACTGCCAAAATGGAGCAAAAATATAATGCCGATTTTAAAATGAAGAAACCATTAGTCGCTCTGGACGGCGCTCTTGATGTGATGGGATCAACTTGTTTACAGGGTGAATTAATTATTTATTCATATTTCTCTTTTTATGATAATTGACGATTAATACTAATAGTATTAATTACTATTAATTATTAATTAATTAATATTATTACTATGCTTAGTAATTCTACTAATAGTGTTAACACTACTCTCCAAATTTGAAGTAGTAATAATATATTTACTAATTTATATTAGTGATTGAATTTTTGCTTCTGTATTAGTAAATTTTACTAATTAATAAGTATAGAAATTACTATTTATTAGTACAACCAGTGACTGGCGTTTGATTTTGAATTAGAAAATTCTACTAACAAATTAGTAAAAATTATTACATTATTAGTAAAATTTACTAATTTAAAAGCAAAAAGTCAGTCATTAATTTCAAATTAATGAATATTTTTACTAATTTAAATGTAGAGAGTAATATTCATATTAATATATTATAAGATATTAATATTATTGTAATATTAATTATGTAATTAATTTAATGAATAAATTATATAATATTAAATACATATAATTATTGTAATTAATATAATTATTAATATTATTAATATCATAATATTATATTATAATTAATTCATTTAAAAAAATAACTCTTCACCTCTTCTTTTGAAAGATACGCTTGAGTATTGGGTGGAGTTTCAAAGAGAAGGGAGAGCGCCCATATGGTGGGGAGTCGCTTCTCTTAGTCTCGTTCTTACTGGCTGTTTTTTCAATTAATTGTTTATTTATTAAAATATATTTACTCTTAGTACTTTTTGTAAAGTTAGAAAAAAACTGTGAGTATTTATTTAGTTGTTTATTACAATTTTTATTTAGTTATTTATTCATTGACATATTTACTATTTTTCTTCAATCTTTATTTACTTATTTACTTATCTATCTAATTATTCATTTATTTTTTGATTTACTCTTTGTACTTTCTGTTGAATAGGAGAAAACATGCAATTATTTATTTAACTATTTATTTTTTTAGTTATCAAACTATTCATTAATTTTTTTATTTATTTTTAGTAATTTCTGTTGAATAGAAAAAAATGCAGTAATTTATTTATTTGTTTATATAGTTATTTATTGATTTAAATATTTGTATGTTTATTAATTTAATGTTTTATTTGTTTATTTACTCTTAGTACTTCTTCTTAATTAGGAAAAAAATTGCAATATTTATTTAGGTACTTAGTTATTTATTTAAATAAATAATTATTTATTTAGTTATATTTATCTTATTACTTATCTAATTATTTGTACATTTATTTCCATATTCGTTTATATATTTATTTAAATATTACTTCCTCATAGAGGAAGTATTTGTTTATACATTTGTTTATAGAATTTATTTATATATTTATGTATTTACTTCTTTATTTAATAATTCCAAAAAAATGTCTTACGTAATTTATAGACGCTCCCTTATTTATTTTTTATTTAGTGCAATTTTTTATTATTGTAACTCTTCGCCCTCCCCTCTACTTTGAGCGATGCGCTTGCGTATTGAGTGAAGTTTCAAAGAGAAGGGAGGAGCGTCTGTATGGTGGGGGTCGCTTCTCCCAGTTTCGTTCTTACTTTTTTTTAATTAAGTCAATTTCTTGTTACTTAATAAATTTAAAAATCTATTAATTAACTTAAAAATGAATAAATTCGTCCTTTCACAGATTGTTTCGAGATTCCTCGCTTTTATTCGGGTCGCATTGTCTATATTACATTATTTGTTTGGGGATTTTTAATGTCTCAATATTATTCGGCCTCGATAGTTGGTTCTCTGCTTGCCGAACCAACTAGATTCATTAATACCATTGAGGATCTTGCCAACAGTGATTTGGAAGTTGGTGTCGAGGACGTTGGCTACATTCGTAATTTTTTCGCGGTACAAATTTTTAAATTTCACTCTATTTATACTTTATAATAAAAAATATATTTTATATATTTAGATGTATAAAATAAACTCCCACGGCATCAAAAATTTTCTGAATTTTTTTTTACTTTATAACATAAAAAGAATAAAAAAGTAAAATCGTCCATAAATTATGTAAGACTTTGAGAGGAAGAGGGGGGGGGTTAAAATTTCCAAAAAATGTCTTACGTACATTATGGACGGCCCCTTATTAATCCAGGACAATATAAAATACTTTTTTATTATATTTTAAATTTTAATATTAATATATTATTGCCTATATAATATTTTATATATAGTCAAAATATTCCCTTGGCTTAACAAACAAAATATTAATTAAAAATTTACAGACAACCAATGATCAACACGTTATTAATTTATATAATAAAAAAATAGCACCAAATAAAAAAAGAAAGACGGCCAATTATTTGAAAGCTCACGACGGTCTTCAACGAGTTAAAAAAGGCGGTTTCGCTTTTCAAATAGAGTCAGCAACTGCCTACAAAATAGTAGACGTAATATTTTTTATATACTTATATTTAATAATAATAGAAACCACAAAATTTAATTTTTACAAAATTAAATATGAAAAAATTTAAATACAACCATTTTAGTCTTGTTTCAATAAAAATATTTATTTTCACTATTTTTGACTCGTTACAAAGAAAGGTATAGCTAAAAAGCAAAAAAAATTTGAGGTTATGATCGTAATTTTTGTATTTAAAATATACAAAGCAGATGAGCTCTGAATAAAAATTGTTGATGTTTAAGTCTTTATTACATTTAAAATCATTAATAAAAACTAATTTTTGTTTTAAATTAAACACAGAAACTAATAATTAAAGATTAAAAACAATGCAAACATAACCAAATTTTTTGCTTCTTAGGTACATACATTTCTTTGGAGCGCGACACACTTATTTTTTTGTAGAAAAAATTATTAATATTGCAATTTATTTTTATATTAATTTATTAAAAATGTTATTTATTATGCCAAAAAAAAGAAAAATTATTTTTCTAATTAAAGGACACATTCACAGAAGAGGAAATATGTGAATTAGTGGTAATTCTTATGGTACCTACAGAGTCTCTAGCAACTGCAACTGTGAAAAATTCGCCTTTCAAAAAAATGGTTACTTACGGGTAAAAGTTTATTATTATTATTATTATTATCATCATCATCATTTTTATTTTTCACTATTATTTTAAAAGTGATGAAAAAAAAATTCTTTTTTTTATCATATTATAGACTGAGACAAATTGTTGAACATGGAAATGCAGAAAAATTAAAACGTATCTGGCAATATAAAAAACCAACGTGTCCAGAAAGTTTCAGTTCAATACCAACACCGGTTGTATTAACAGATTTTTTCCCACTGATATTTTTAATATCAACTGCATCGGGTCTCGCCGTATTTATCATGATTCTTGAAAATGTGATGAGAAAAATTCACTATAAATAATTTATTATTGACAAATAGCCAGGAATGTTTGACTCCTAAAATCAAATGAATAAATATTAAAAGAACATTTTTACTGCATTTATAATATATATATTATTTATATTATTTATTTACTTTTATTATTAATATTATTATTATTAAATTATTTATCTATTAGTTGTTTCATTATTTATTTGTTTACTTATTTATTTAGTAATTTCTGTACTATATATATCTATTAATTTAATTCTTTATTCAATTATTTATTTTTAATACCTACTTTCGCATTAGAAAAAAATTTGCAATATTTATTTATTTAAATCAGGATTTAAATGTTTTCATAAAGATATCAATCACTCTAAGTCTTCGACTCGGAGTAATTCACATCTTCATGTTTTATAAAAATTTAGATTTCCATAAAATTTTTCAAAAAAGAATGAAATTATTTACAAAAATTATAATAAAATTCGTTGCAAGAATTCAATTATTTTCGTAAATAATAAAATTCTACACAGGGTTTCAATTGTTTTTAATACAATTTATTAAAGTAAATTCCTAGAAAAATGGAATTATTCACTTAATTTTTTTGTAAGAATTTAATTACATTTTATAAATAATGAAATTCTTAGCTGAAATTAAAATATTTTCAAAAGCTACTATTTTAATAAAAATTCTCAAAAGAATTCAATTGTTTTTATAAAATAATAAGATTCTTTACATTATTTCAATTATTTAAAAATTTGTTCCAAGAATTCAATTACTTTCATAAATTAATAAAATTATTCACAGGATTTCAATTATTTTTAATACAATTTTAAGTAAATTCTTCGAAAAATGTAATTCTTTTGAAAAATTTTATTAAAATAGTAGATTAGATATTGAATTGAGGACAATTTTTTGCAAATAATTTTATTATTTTTAAAGATAATTAAATTTTGACAAGAATTTTTTTTTAATTTTTTAACATAATTGAATTTCTGCGAAGAATTTTATTACTTTTGAAAATAATTGAATTTCTGCAATCATTTGTAACTTCTCCAAAATTAAATTTTTTCCAGTACTTTAATAAAAATCCCTGACTTTTCCCTGAATTCCCTGATTTTCTTGACCTGTGGCAAACCTGTTATTGTTTATTTAGTCTTAGTATTATTTATTTATTATTTTATTTACAAGTAATGTAACAATAGGCCTGTAGCCTTTTTACATAAGTGTTTCTTCTTTTCTCATTTCTCCCTATTCACACAAACAAAACGCTCTTATCTTTACTAAATTGTTTACAAAATAGAATAATTTTTTTAGACTTTCACCGTTATCCACATTCAGCAATTCTGTTAAAGAGTTTTGTCGCACATTTTCACTACAACATTCGTTATACGCGGGACAATCCATTAAGACGTGTTTTAAATTTTCATTCCTGTCCATATTACACATTAAACACTTTTCTTTGTCACTAAACTTATACACATAACCGAGTTTTATGTTCAATTGCCACTCTATTCTACCGGCCATTCTTAGCTGTGCCAAGAGTCTTGTGAACCTTAAGGGAATCTTCCAATTGAGGTACAACTCAGCATTTGGTTTTTTCATTGCCTTTATATATTTGTAGATAGGACAATACCTTGATTTAACTGCTCTTTCTCTATCCTCTATGAACTGCGATGTTCTCATTTTTGTTAAGCAGTCCTCGATGTCACTTGCACTTTTTATTTTTAATTCCATTCTTCCTTTTTCGCTGTTGTATACACATTTACTTGGATCTATTTTCATAATTTTATCCCTTAATTTCCTAAACCAGTTGAACTTCTTCTTCGTGTCATATTTTTTATCCGCATCCTCCATTAGTTTTATCAAAAAAATCTTTGGCAGCCTCGTATCCTCCATTTTTTCTATTCTGACCAATAATCTTAAAGCCCGTTTCATCACTTCTACTATTAATTTAGAATAATTAATTTCCAGTCTCAGTAGATATCCTGGTGTTCTACGAGGTAGACCTAGCATTTGTTTTACGAATCCAGATTGAACAATTTCTAATTCCTCTTCATAGTCTAGTCCCCAATTACCTGCATTGTATAAGAGAGTTGATGTGACGATTGCGTCAAATAGCTTCTGTCTCGAATTCCAACCTTCGGCTTTAGTTGCAATCAGTGGTTTCCAAATGGTCCCAATAGCAATTTTAGCTTTCGTCGAAAAATAGTTTACAGTCTTTGCAAAATTCCCAGATCTGTGAAATAGAGTCCCCAAGTATACATACTCGTCTACTACCTCAATACATTTCCCTCTGTATTTAAAACTTTTACAAGATTTTCTCTTTCCCCCCTTCTGAAATATCATAACTTTTGTTTTGTTAGTATTTACATTCAATTTATTTATTTCGCAGTAGTCACTTAATGTTTGTAGTTTTCTCTGTAGATCAGCCTCCGATTCTCCCGAGATAGTTAGGTCATCCGCGAAGAGCTGAATCTCTCCTTTTTCCTCTATACATTTGTACCCGTTTGACTCGAAAAAGTGCACCAAGTCCTGAAGGAAAAGTATAAATAGTACAGGACTTAAAGAATCTCCTTGGAGAACTCCCATAGTTATTTCTATTTCATCTGTAAATTTCCCGTCTTGCAATTTAACTTTCATCTTTGCGTTCTCGTAAATAGATCTGATGATTCTAATACATTGTCCACTTAATCCAATCTTATGAAGTTTTTGCCACAGCAATCCGTGATGAACCGAATCGAAAGCTCTCTGGAAATCTACAAATGTTGTGAAGAGTTTTCCTCGCTCTTTTTGTATAGTCAGGCATATTTTTGCTTGAAGCACAAAAATGTTGTCCTCACAAGATCTTCCAGCGCGAAAACCTGCCTGTCCTTCCGGTAAGAGTCCCATATTTTCCGCCCAGATACCCAATCTTTTAGCTAATATATTAGTAAATATTTTTAATATTGCGTTGGCTAAGGCAATACCTCTATAGTTCATGATGTCATTTTTGTTTCCTTTCTTAAAGAGTAGAATTTGCGTAAAATTACACCATTTTTTTGGGACCTCACTCGTATTTATAATCTCGTTAAATTTGTTTACAAGATACACTTTTGCGTTTCCAGGAAGAGCTTTGTAGAATTCATTGATAATTCCATCGTCCCCAGGAGCTTTGTTATTTCCTAGTTTTCGAAGAGTTAGGTTTAATTCATATATACTTATGTCCTTATCCAAATATGGGTGTCTTGCATCTAGGTAAATTTCATCTAAAATCACTCTTAATGGGAAAATATTCTCGTAGAACTCGAAAATTTCTTCACTTTTGAGATCACAGAAACTACCGCTTCCTTTTTTATTTCTAAACCTTCTTATTACCCCCCAGAAATCTGAACTGCTTTTAACTTTACTAACCTGTTTTTTTAAATCATCCACATTTCTTTTCTTTTCGCTTCTCACCGTTTCTCTATATTCTTTTCTTTTATCCACATATTCGATTCTAGATTCTTCCGAGTTAAGTCTTTTAAATTTCCTGTATGCTCTTCTAACTTCTCTTTTCTTTTCTTTACACTTTTTTGAGAACCAGGGATTATTCTTAAACTGCTTTCCTTTTCTATTTCTTAGGGTTTTTATCATATCCATTTCGCCTGCAGATTCTTTTATTAAATCTATCATAATTTCGAAATTTACCTCTTCATTCTTTAGTTTGCGACTTTCAATTTTATCCTTTATCTTCATTGAATAATTTATTCGTTTGCTTGCATCCCAAATGTATTTATTAGTCAAAATCGTATTGACATCCGAACTTTCGTCACCAATAACGTCTTTTTCACTTTCTATTTCAATTCTTTCAATAGTTAAACTTTGAGCTAAATGATCGGAAGTGTCCAAATTGAGAAACTCGAAGTCACTGATATAATCTAAGCCGTTCAAATCTGACCACGTATAATCTATAACACTTTTCCCCATTTTATTTATGAAAGTGAATTCACCTCCTGAATCACTCTGGGTTCTTCCATTAACACAACATAAACCTATATCACTCATTAAGTCGTACAGCACTTCTCCATTTCTACAGATAGTTTTGTCTCGTGAATTTCTCATATAGTTTATATTTACGTTTTCGCACATATTTTCATCCATATTATTGAGATTCCCTATTCTGCAGTTAAAATCCCCTGATATCAAAATTGCCGCATTGTATTTTTCCCGCATTTCCCACACGAAATCTCTAAATAATGTTAACCTATCCTTTATTAAGTCCGGACGTATATAAACACATATAACTATCCACTCTTTATTGTCTATCCATCCTTTGATTGCTGTCCATCCTGTACTTATATCCAAAATTTCTATATTGCGTACTACGTTTTCGTCAATTAGCATACCAATACCTCCACTCGCTCTTCCTTTATCATATTGTTTTGTTGCCGCATTTCCTATATATTTATAATCTTTGAAATCATGTTTTAATAACAGTTCGTCTTTAGTTAACCACGTTTCTATTACACATATAAGAAAGTAGTCACTCACTAATTTACTTTTTCACTACAGCTTAACTCAAACAGATTTTTTATTCCATGTACGTTCCACACTAATATTTTACTTTTTGACACTTTCAACAGTTTTCTCTTACTTGCTTCTCCGGTGGCGTTGTGAATTTTCTTCTCTTGGTTCCGTAAAGATTCCGTTGTCAGAATTATTCCTCCCTCGTCCATTATCCCTTGTCCAATCGAGATTTTCTTTATTTCCGTAGGCTCTTGTTCCTGATTGAGTGTAAATTCCGTTGACGTCTGTATGGTTGTCACTTTCGTGTCGAAAGGATCTCGTTTGTTTCACTATACCCTGCTCGTTTTTCCATACCCACAATTGATTGTTTATGTAGATTTTCTTGTATCCAATTTTAGCCGTGTTTCCTCGACTTCTTTCTTCCCTTGCTCTACTGTATATTTTTCTTTGTATTTCTCTATCCTCTTTGGTCAAGTCATCATCTAAATAGATTTGGGTACCTTTAAGTGTCGCCTTTTTTTCTATAATACTTTTCTTATCCTCTGCACTTTTTACCCTAATTTTGAGGAAGTCTTCTCCATTTGCCGGTTTAATTTTGACTGCTGATTCCAAGTCGATTTTAAGATTCAGATTCGCTTCTATGAAATCTTCCACTTCTGTTCTTATATCGTTATCGTTCTTTTCTGTCTTCAGACCTCTAATGATTATATTCTTCCTTCTATTTTCTTGATCTCTTCTACGGTCAATTTCTTCTAGCTTATTAATTTTATCCAATAGTTCCTTTTTTTCTGTGTCCCATTCGCTGAACTTTAATTCTACTAACTTATATTGCTCGAAAACCTTTTGTTCGATAGCTTTTTGGGATTTCATGATTTTTTCCTCCGTCCTTGATATAAGTTCTTCCATTTTGCTTTCCACTTTGCTTTCTATTTCTTTAAGAGAAGCATTAAAATCACTTCTGATACCTTCTAATATTTCATCTTTCATTGCATGAAACATATTTTCCCATTCGCCTTCTACTTTTTCTTTCACTTCCGTATCTGTCCCTTGTTTACTTGTTGTAGTTTCCATAGTCTTAAAAACTTCATGAATCAGTTTGTTATTTTTATCTTTATCGAGTTGGTTTCTGCTGGTAGGTCTTCCTGGTCTATTATTTGGGATATTTTTTCCATTTCCTTCCTTTTTGTCAATCTTACCTGTTGCTTTATTACCATTTTCCTTTTGACTTAATACATTTTTTGCGGATCTATTTTTCCGATCGACGGCCGACATTTTGGATGAATGAATGGGTCCGCTGTGGCGCACCCTATTGCGTTTCACTTTCTAACCTCACTTTTATAAAACTCACATTTACTTACAAAAAATGCAATCAAATGTATATTCAACTCAAAAATTTTATGTTCAACGCAAACTGCAACTCAAACTTCACTAGAAAAAATAAATCTCTCAACTGTTATCCACTTTTCACCAATAAAAGATTAACATATTCTCAGAGTAACTTCGACACGCGTACATTCGCTTTCACACCACAACCGGAAGTCTCATTTAGTCTTAGTACTTCTTTTTAATTAGGAAAAAACTTGTAATATTTATCTACTTAGTTACTTATTTAAATAAAGAATTATTTATTAATTTTGTTCCTTATTTAATTATTGACTTAATTATTTATTGGTTTAGTTATGTATCTAGTAATTTATCTAATTACCTATTTAATTATTTATACAATTATTTATATATTTATTTACAGATTTATTTATTTACTCACAGTACTGTCAGTTTTGGTAAAAACCTAAGTGCCATTAAATATAAAAAATGTTTCTATTTTCCTCTTTATTAAAAATTTTTCCATTTTCTTAAAAATATATATTCTAATTTTTCTTCTCTTCTTAAAATAAAACATTTCAGTTGTTATGTAACTTAGCATTATTACGATATACATGAACTGTTACATAGATTATTCCAAGAAGTATTTAACATTTATCTTATAGCTTATTTCCGTATATTATACTCTTCCATTCAATATATTGTAATTTTCAAAATAAGCGGTATTGAAATTTTCCAATGAAATGTTCTATAGAATAATTATTTGCTATTCGACATCTTGAAACTCTGTATAATCATCTTCTTCACTTAATAACATAGTAAAATAATTATATTATTTTTCTTTTCTACAAATAAATCTTACTAGATTCGAAAATTATTGGTTCGTGCCGAAACACGAATAGTAATCGAATTAATATTTAACTCACTTTTCGATTCAGTCTCAAATAACAGTAATTTATAACATTGTACCGTTTTTAAATCATATTTCTCAAGATTCCTTGCAGGCAAAATATGTTCACTGATATATTAGTTGAAACGAGTCTCGAAAATAATTTTTTTTTTATTGAAATTAATTTTTTTTCAATTTGCCTAAAAATGATAATATTTTAATATTGTGTTTTAATACAAAAATTCTTATATTTATTGTATTATAAATTTTTAATTAAACTTTAAATTAATTTTCTTTCAATTTGAATAAAAATGGTATTTAATATTATATAATTTAAAATAAAAATGCTTATATTTAGTACATTAATTTAATATTACATATTATTATTTATTATACATAATTTATGCCTTTCGGCATTAAACGAGTATTTTATTTTTTAATTTGTTATAAATATTTTTAAAAAATTTTATTCTAATTGAATACATAAATAAATATTAAAATCAAAGAAAATAAATAAATAAATTTTATAAAATTGCAATCTGTTTTGTTACTTTTTTCTAAGATAATAATGAATAAAATAAAACTATTCATTTTCGCCACAATATTTTCAATATTTTCTCTAGTTACAAGTGACGAACTCAATTCTCTCTTCGTTAGAGATTATTTTTTAAATAAACAAATAAATCAAATAGTGTCATTTGCTTGTTGGAGTTCACTTGGTAACAATTTTTTTATTTAATAACTATTCATTATAATATTAGTTAACTATTTTCACTTTTTTCCTCTTAGCTTTCTATTCCTATTTATTTTTATTCTTTCAATTTATTTATATTTGTTTAGTCTTATTTTTCAATTTTATCTTTCTGCTCGTATTTTTTTAATCTTCAATTTATTTATATATTTGTTTATATTTATTTTTCTTTGTTACCTTTTAACTCGTATTTATTTTTATTTTTTCAATTTATTTATATTTATTTTCAATACCTATATTCAATTATTTTTGTTAATTAATAAAAAAAACTGTTAAAATTAAATATTAATGATAATCTAGAAATAATGCAATTCGTCCGCCTAATGACGGAGTCAAACATCAAAATTTCTTATATTGATGATTACGAAAAGCACAACATGAAATTAGCAATGAAAGTCAATTATTACAAATTAGGAGTTTTTTTGGATCTCGATTGTCCACAGAAAGAAGATATTTTTACACAGGTAAAACATATTATTAATAAATAAATAAATTACATTAACCGAATAATTTAAAAAAGAATTTTTTTTAATTTCCTGTATAATTTCTATTTATCTGTAAAATTTTAATTTTCTTTGTGAAAATTCTATTCTTAATTCTTTATTTAATAATTAATTAAAATATAATAATTCTTTACTTTGTTAGAAAGATTGTATAGAATTTTACTAGAATGATTAATATAAATAAAATAATATTGTTTTACCTACCACTTGATTTGCTTCATTTCGTTTATGAGAGAATTTTCATGCCCTCTAGGCGGAAAGTTAAAGAACTCTATTGGCGCCAAATTCAAAAAAATGAAAATAAATTAATTAATATTATATACATTTATATTAATAATAATATAATTAACAGTATATTAATATTAATCAATTTTATTATTTTCTTTTATTATAAATAATAATAAATATAAATAATTACTTAAAGAAGAATTATTTATTTCACAGATATTAATATATCTATGAAAAAAATAATTCTCTAACTTTCTACCTGAATAAAAAAAAAATTTTTTTGTTTTCAGTTTGCAACAGTAAATAATTTACCATTCAACGTATCATATTTTTGGCTGACAATTATAAAATCGGATAAATTTCCAACTGAGACGGTTGCTAATCTTCCATTGACAGTTGCATCCGAATTGACAACGACTCTTATTCATGAAAATAAAACTTATGTCATGTATGACGTTTATAATCATAGTTATCGTCACGGTGGACGCATTAACATAACTTACATGGGCTTTTGGAACGAGAATAATGGAATAAATATATTTTTTAATCAATACAAATACAAACGTCGTGGAGATTTTCATGGACTTGTTTTAAATTTCTCAACAGTTGTAAGTTTTTAATTACAAGGTGTCTTTTTTAAATACTTAAGTTTTAGGTATTAATTATTTTTTTATTAATTTTAAAATATGAAAAAAAAACTTCTTTCTTTTTTTTAATAAAACACAGTATACAAATACTCCGCGACCGGATTTGAAGACCTACATGACAACATCAATTAATCCGCATTTAGATCCAGTGGGTCGATTTCAATATGAATTGGTGAAACAATTGAGCGAATTGTACAATTTCACGTAATTATAATAATAATAATATATTTATAATATTCATTATAATAATCACCCAAAGTTTACAATAATTTACCCAAAGTTTGCGATATGTAAATCATGAAAAATTTTAATATTTTTATTTGGTCCAATTATATTAACAATTTTTAAACAAAAAATGTATTTATTTAAAAAATGTTTATTTTAGTTATTTATTTAGTTATTCAACTAATTATTCTTTTTTTATGTATTCTTAGTACTTTCTGTTAAATAGGAGAAAACCTGCCTTTATTTATTTGTTTAATTGTTTATTTAATTATTTATTTATCCACTGTTAGTAGTTTTTGTAAATTAGGGAAAAAGTGGAGCATTTATTTATTCTATTATTTATTTAAACGTTTATTTAGTTATTTATTAATTAAATTATTTATAACAATTCTCAAACAATAAAATTTATTTATTTACGAATTCTAGTGAATATTAAATACACAAATTTACATAATTATATTTTAGAAGATATCAGTTGTATTTCACTGTCTCGTCCTTCTAAAGCTTATATATACGTAGTTCCGAAGTACTGCTTGTTGTGCCACATCAATTTTAAAAACAAAAGTTTTTCCCGCTACTAATAGGTGTCTATCGGTCCACCTACGGTTTCTCCCTTGTTTTGTCATTACGTTGTATTGTGCGTTCTGTTACACATCGAACATAGTGATATAATTTTCTTTAATAATGAAAAGTAAAAATGAGTTCATCGTCAGAGAGTTCTCTTTTTTTAATATTAATTGATTATTATAAATGTTCGAACAACAGATATTTTATTAATAATTAAATTAACATGTATCGACCGTTCAATTATTAACCACATAAAATATCAAAGAGGAGATTCCGCTTCAGACCAAAACCGACGGATACAAACGACGGCGAGACAAGACGATGAAACCGGACATGATGACTTACCAACGGCGACTCTTATAAAACAAATCCAACGACACAAACAATTAATAAACAAATAAAAGAATGAAACACAAAAAAGTTCACTAAAAATAATTTGCTCATTTATTAATCCAAAAACTCAATACAACCATCACACACTTAACAAACGAACAACTCTGACACTCTGAGGTTTCCACAAGTGATAAAAAATCCCGAGTAAAACTCGGCCTATTAATTAAATGGCCCACGAACTACTAAAGACGGACCGTCATGTTGACCGGCTCTTCCTTCTTTTCCGTCCTTTTCTAATTTTGATAAAGGCCCACATAAGACCCTCTCACTCACTCCAATGGACAGCGACAACCTGTAAAGAAAACTCGGAAGGGACCGCGGAAGTTCGGGACTTTTCGCAACCTCGCATGCGCAATTAATTTTCACAGAGAATCAATCCCTTAACTAAATGAAATTATATATTCCCAATGACAGGAACCACACAAGATTTATGTAACAAAATGCTTTGTTACAAGGTAAATAGTAAGAAGAGAAATAGTAACGCGCTATCCTAATTATTTAATACAGGTAATGTGGCAAATTTCTTTGTGCCTTAAAACAACAAACTTATTACCTAAACTGACGAAAACTCGTTAAATTTGTGAGATTAAAATGAACAGCTAGATCGATGATGCTTATTGGGCCATATTTTCCTACGTTTCTACCAGCTACCATACTCTCCATCAGGAGAACATAAGGAGGCATGCTATGACTCAAGAAAGTATTTGATTGAGACAACTTATCATTGATCCAGAGTAGATTTTTTTGGTTCCACACCTGGCTAGTTACTGGGGCATCTAGTGGAGAATTATTTATCACGCCCTTAAAAGTGGATGGAGTGATGTTTTCAGCATCCTCGATAGGTAAAGGGATGTTATGTTATATAATAGTAATTTTTTAGGTAGCATTCTTTCAGAAGAGTTGCTATCTGTGGACTTATTTAGAGTCTGACGAAGGGTGCGATTTCTCTTCCTCTGGGAAGGGCGTGTTTGGAGTTGCCTAGAATTTATTGGAGGTGGGAATTGACCTTCGAGGGCTGGATTATTTCGTTGTAGTGTACTGCCTGATAAGAAATCAATGAATTTGCTAACGTCTTGATCTACGGGAGTAAATTGTTGGTGATTATGTTTGTTTACAGGGTCATCAGTTAGTGGAGTGTTTGATACTACTTGTGATGTTCGTTGTGAGTCTGGATGTTTTGTTGTTTGCGTCTCATCTTTATTGACAGTACTAGACTCCTGGACTCCTCCCCTTTACTATCTGAATTACTGTTCATTCTGATTCCACGGATCTAAAAAAATTTCTGTATTTACTCGAATGTATGAGTTATTAATGTTAATAATATTATTTACTTTTTCTCACCTCAATCACCCCTTACAAGAATTTTACTTTAGTGTCCTAAAAAATCAAGACGTTTACACGTCTATATTTAAGGCACGAAATTAATTATAATATAATAAGTTTCCATAGAAAAGAAATATTTACTGACGCTTCTTTGACAGGTTGGGGAGTCTTTTATAAGAGAGAAAAAGCATATGGGTTGTGGAAAGCTGAGGAGCGTAAGATGCATATAAATGTACTCGAACTCACAGCTGCTTATTTAGGTCAATAGAATGGGCGGTATTCAATACCCACAATTGACAGAAATTGCTAGGAAAATTTGGACCTGGTGCGAAGAGCGAGACTTATGGATCTATGCATCATACTTACCATCCAAAGAGAATAAAGAGGCAGATGAAGGTTCGAGAGTACTCCCACTAGAAACATATTCGATTGGCATAGATGCATTTACACTAAATGGGGGAAATATCAGGTTCTACGCCTTACCACCTTTCGCTGTAATACTTAGAGTATTACAAAAAATTCAAGTATATCAGGTGGAAGGAGTTGTAGTAGTCCCTCTCTGGCCCACACAACCGTGGTATCTACTGTTTATGTCGTCATCAATTTCTGATACAATTTGTTTCGAGCCTCATACTAATCTCTTATCTTCTCCACACAGGGAGACTCATCCTCTACACCACACGCTTTCCCTGGTAAAAGCGCGATTATCAGGGAAGCGTTCAAGGCGAGAGGAACCACGAAGGAGGCAGCGGAAATAATGGTTCATTCAATATCCGAAGGAACATTGAGACAGTATTCCAAGCCAATCCAAGTCTGGTGGGAATTCTGCCAGAACGAGGGAAATAATCTTTTTCAAAGCAGTACTTCGGACGTTTGAAAATTCTTAACTGGAACACTGAAGCATACCAAATCTTTCAGTGCTGCGAATACTTAACGTGCTGCATTGTCATTGATCATGGGAAACGAGTTGGAAAACAATGCCCAAATTTCAAGATTTTTTAAAGGAGTGTCTACTCTGCGACCTCGCAGACATAAATTCGATGTCACATGGGACCCGAAACCTGTTCTAGATAAATTATCGACTTGGTATCCCAACGAAGAGCTGACACTAGACGATTTAACGAAAAAATTGGTAACATTATTGGCCTTGATTACCGCTCAGAGGATACAGACTCTCTCAGAAATTCATCTCGAAAACGTCTATCTCGAGAAGGAACCAATTATAATAAAAATTACGGACCATATTAAGACGATAGGAAGATCGGAATATCAACCCATATTAGAGATTCCTACTTTCTCTGAGCAGCCTAATTTATGTGCAGCATCAGCACTGCTCCTAACACCTCTTCCTAACACATAGGAAACCACATAACTTTGAAGAGAAACGCTTGAAGCCTGCGGAGTTGACACGACAGTCTTCTCATCAGGAGTTAAGATTCCCTGTTTGGCAAAATAAGTGCAATATAAAAATATCATCTAATATGCCACAAAAGAGATCCACCTGAATAGACTATACCATGGCACATGAATCCATAAAACTAGTGTTTAAAAAATAAATGAATAATACTGAAAAATTTCAACAAGACTCTGATAACCACATAAAATATTCATCTATAAGTATAATATTATTGAAACTAAGAAATTGAGAAAGTCGAAATGTTTAACTACCAGGAAAGTAAACATTGAGTTATCAGCTAAGTACAAGTATAATTTAACCTCCAAATAATAACATTCCTTGACCCGCGCTATCCAATCTTAAAACCCTATACCACTCTACTATTCTGTTGTCATAGTAATACATTTTAATTAGCATTATATTAATCTCATAAACAGTAAAATTGATTAGGAATGCTTATAAATTTGGTTTTGACTCAAGAATGTTTTTACATACCATTAGTCTGGCATTTTAAGAATGAAATAAAATTAAGTTGCACAAGCTTAATTATATACTTATATTACATCTAATGACCAAAATTACATCACTCAAATAAACTATTATAATTACTCTTATGATTCACCATTTTCGGTAATCATGGAGTCTACCACCATTCAACGAAACTTAGGTAAATTAGACCATATAGCTATAGGTAAACTTGTCTCTAAATTTGTTCACGGCGACAGGAAAATATACGTTAGTGGACGAAATCAGGTTAAAATTTTTTGCGATTCAATGGAGGATGCAAACACCTTACTATCCTCCACAGAAATATTCAGCCTGGATTTAATTAATTTTATTCCTGATTCACTGATTTGTAGTAGGGGTACTATTAACGTTAAAGTTTCTTACTCGGTAACAGAAATAATCAACAACTTAGATGAAAAATCCCGTCTCTCAATTGCTTTTGCAATTAGAAAGCAACAAAGAAATAGTAACAACCTTTTACATTCCATCGAAATTAAATTCAAATCAAAATCAAGTCGTATTTATTGAACCCATCCAATGAGAACCTAGATTTATATATCCAATTTGAAAAAAAATCGGAGAAAATTCTTTCTGAACAAAAAAAAAATCATTCAGAGAATTATGCAACTCTATCTCTCCGTCGATGGGGTCCAAGAGAATATGGGGGCTAATAGGTGCTTTTTCTGGTAAATATTCCAAGGCTGGAATTAATACCAATAACCCGAACTCTGCTGAATTAAAAACACTACAGGATGAGATTGTTAGGGAGGATATCCCTCCAATACCACACATA